GACAAGAATGTCAAAGCAGGATTGATCGAGTTCTCTATAATGAACGGGGCCAATCTCTGTTCTCAAACGCTGCGATCGTCAACCTGCCTTTTTTTAAATCTAACCACCTCTCCTTGCTTCTCCAGCTGGACGAAAAAGTAAGTTCTTGCCCTAATAGTGAACATCCCTTTTAGGTTATTGCTTCCGGGTTCCTTTATGATGATTTTGAACGATTCTTAAGGGAAAGTTGGGATATGAATAAGGTTTGGATTGATAATGTGAGGAAGTTTATAGACATTGTCTCTATATAGAAGGAGGAGGTCTTTGGTCATCTCGGTAGGAGGAAAAACTACTTAATCAGGAGGTTAGAGGGGCTAACTGTAATTGAACCATAGTGTTGTAATTGGCAAGATCTAGAAGAGCTTCAAACTAAGTTACAGGGAAAGCTTAAGGAGGTCCTGGTATAAGAAAATATTATATGGGCTCATAAAGTTAAATGCGATGGGTTTCAAATGGGGGATAAGAATACAAAGGAAGGAGGATGGTACTTGGTTATATGAGATGGAGGAAATTTGCCAACATGTAAAGTATTTTTTCCATAAGCTTTTTACAAAGAAAGGAGGGACCAGGCATGGGCTTCATACTGTGCATTCTTTTTGAGATATTGAAAATGTATCTCTTAGTCTTTTCTCCCACTTGTTTAACTATATTGAAGTGAAGCAAGTTGTGTTTGATATAGGTCCTTTGAAATCCCTTGGGCCAGACGGCTTAAATGCACTATTTTTCCAAGCTTAGCAAAGCTATATGGGCTCTTTGTTGTTAAGATTGCATAGGATGTGTTTCGTAACCCCTTGCTTATTAAGTATATTAATGGTGTGTTCATTATTTTGATTTCAAAGAAAGAAGATCCTGAGATTATTCATGATTTTTGACCCATTGGTTTGTGTAATGTGGTGTATAAGATGATTACCAAAATTATAGCTAACATACTAAAAAAGGTCCTCCTGAAGGTCATCTCTCCAAATCAGTGTAGCTTTATTTTAGGGAGGGTTAGCTCAGATAACATTATTGTGGCACAAGAGGTAATACACTCCATGAGGAATATCAAGAAGAACAAGGGGTTTATGGCTATCAAGATAGATATAGAAAAAGCATATAACTAGATTATATGGGACTTTGTCATTGACTGTCTAGAGGAGCTACGGTTACTTATAGTAATGATTGATATTGTTAGATGATATCTATTTAGTTCCCAAATGCAAATTTTCTAGGATGGTTGTAAATCGAAGACTTTTAATCTATTCTGTGGGTTGAGGCAAGAGGGTCTAATATCACCCTACCTCTTTAAGACGTGCATAGAGAAACTAGCGTACTTTATCTAAGATGAGATACAAGAGGGAATTTGGAAGCCTATTCGCTTACTAAGGATGGGCCGGCTCTGTCATATTTTTTCTTCACAAATGATCTAATTTTATTTGCCTAAGCAGAGGTAGATTAGGCAGAGGTTATTAATAGGTGTTTAAGGAAGTTTTGTGAAGCTTCAGGCTAAAAAGTGAGTCAAGAAAAAACTAGAGCCTTCTTTCATCGAATGTTTTGCACTATAAAGTTCTTCAGCTCTGTCAGCTACATGGTTTCTAAAGTACACCTAACCTGGGGAAGTACTTAGGTGTACCTATTCATCATAATAGAGTCACAAAAAACACTTGTGGGTATATAGTGGATAAGGTTAAGAGTAAGCTCAATAGCTAGAAAGCATATAATTTGGCTTTAGTAGGGAGAAGTACTTTGATTAATTTTATGGCCTCTCTCATGTAGACAGCAATGCTTCCAAACTTTATATGTGAGGAAGTGGAAAAGGTATTTTGAGAGGAAAAATCACTAAGTGGCTTGGGAAAATGTCTATTGAACTAAAGAGAAAGGTGGGTTAGGATGTAGAACTTGATAGCTTAGAACTAAGCTTTCATCATAAAGAAGGGATGGGAGATCATACATCATAGGGACTCCCTATGGGTTAGAGTGGTTCAAGACAAGTATGAATGTAGACAAGATCTTTTGCCCTAAGTTGATAGATTGAGACCTGAGCTCTAGGACTTTTTGGAATCCAAGTTAAAGGAGTTCCCATGAGTAATGGCAAAAGGAATGTTAGATGGAAGTTTGTGAAAAATGGGCTGCTCTCTATTAGTTAGCTTACTCTCTCATATAGGAAGATGACATGGACATACCTATAACTTAGGGTAAAGATGTGGAAACTGAATATTCCATAGAGGTGTAAAACTTTTATGTGGCTAGTTTTGCATGAGTGGTTGCTTACTAATGAACTTTGACATAAGAGAGGTAAGTGTGTAGATTCGAGATGTACATAGTGTAATTTTGGGATTGAGGATCTAATATATGTTCTTCATGATTGTACCGAGGCCCAGGAAGATTGGAGGAAGATGGTGAGAATCAAACATATGAAGAGGTTTTCTGAGCTTGATGCACGAGACTGGTGCAATTGGAATTTTAGTAATAATATAGGTAGAATTGGTGGTGAATAAAGTGCTTGGTTCTCTGTAATGTGCTGGTTATTGTGGCATATGAAAAATGAAAGAATTTTTCATTAGGTAATTGCTTTAAGGGCTTTAATAGTAACTCACGCCAAGGGAATCATGAAATGCATAGATCACACATCAAGGAGGGTGGCTAATACGGGTCTTGTACTACAAGGTATAATCAGGCTAATATGACTATGCTTATAGGGGAGACTGCCATCGTGTCTTTGTTGATGGTATATTCTCTAAATCTACCATGGTGGTTGGATGCAAGGGGTTATTGTAGATGGCAAAAACTAACAACTGAGTGGATTTATGCTGAAACTTTAAGAAAGGGATGCTTTCGATACATCAAGGAGTGGATTTATGCCTGCCTCATGGGATTTTAGGATTAAGAAGTGTGTTGTGTATTGTGATTGTGAGGATTTAGTAACAGGGGCTGTAGGTGATAATCTGGAGATGCATGAATGTAGGCACAAGATTATGGAGATATAGGTGATTTTCCAATGTGAGTGGACTACGGAAGTTCAACTTATCAATAGGATTAATCATTGTTTGTAAAATTGGACCGAATTGATCGGTCGAGCTGGCAAACTGTCTATGTGTCTAGCCCAATTTTTTGTTTTCTTAAAGCACTTGTTGACCTGACATTGACCTAGACTAACTCACATGACTGTTCGAGTTGGGCAGGTAAAGAAAGAAAGGAAGAAAAACCAATAAAAAATAATCAAATTACAGAACAAAAAGAAAGAAAAAGAATAATGAAAATAGAAAAAAAAAGGAGAACAGTAAATACCATGAAGAAGAGGATGATCATTGAACAAAGCTGATGAAAAGTTAGAAAAAAAATGAAAATGGAGGGGAAGAAGCTCGCCGCCTGAACGTTAACATTCATTCTCTCGTATTTTAAACCCAACACTGACAGGTGAACATCAGTCGCCTCTTCTGCTCATTCTCTCCTCTTTCTTTACAACTTCGGACTTCTGAGCTGTTCCATTTTTCCATACCTCACGCTAACCAATGCCTTATTAACGTATAACTCAGCCACTTTTACATCTTTTTACTACCAATATAAGAAATCTTTTTTTAAAAAAAGTATGAGCTACTTTCTTATGCCCATCAGCCTCTATCCTCATCCTATTACAAATATAAATAACTTTTAAAATTATATTATTATTTCTTTACATGGATTGATATTAAAAAATTAAATAATGCGTAAAATTTTATTTATATCTCATTCTTAATTACATATTTATATTTATATCTTAACTATTTAAGTTTTATTATTATTATTTAGAAACTAATTTATTATTTTTTAACTTTACTCTTATTATTATTTGAATTTTTATATTATTTTTTATTTGAGATCATCTATATAAAACTAAAATTATATTTATTTATTTGAAGATAATTTTGGTATTGATTATTATGAGTTCTAAAACTTTTTGATGATGGAAGGAGTGTATGGATAAATATTTGAAATGTTATTGTGTTTTATTATTATTAAAATTATTATTGTGTATGTATGGAATATTAAGTCTCAGATATAATAAATATGTTAAGAATTAATGTATTTTTATTTAAATTATTTTATTTTATTATGATTGATCTAATTTTAATTTAACTCTTAATTCAACATCAGTTAAACCCTTAACTTCTGACTTTTAATTTTGGCTGGTTCAATGAACAATTCAACTTTTAATACCTTGGGATTAGTAATTGGGATGCAAATCGGCATGCAAAGGCTTTCATGTTATCCTACCAGAGGACCCATCTAGCGAAGCCATTCTGCAACCTCCGTAGTTTCATCCATTTATTTTAGTTTTGTTATTTGTTGTTTTCCTTAATTACTATAAAACAAATTAAAGAAGGAAAAAAAGGAAGAGAACTGGGGGAAAAAAAAGGAGAGAACCTTGCTCCCCGAGAAATTAGTGGCTACCAATACCATGTTGATATCCTGGGAACTAAAAAAATAAGTACACTAAAATAAATCTAAATAAAAACACCGCATTCATTGAAAGACTAAAATACATTTAATGCAACTAGCATCAAGTTTTCCTTTGGCCCAAAACTGGCAACAATTTCGGCCATGAAAAACATACTTCCTTCGTTATAAATTATAAAATATTTTTAAAATTTTTTTTATTTTAAAATATAAAATATTTTAAATAAATTAAAATTTTATTAAATACAATAATTTTAATATCACTTTTTTTATAATTAATTTTTATTTATTTTTTTAATATATTAAATGATAAATATTTATAAAAATTTATATTTTTATTTTAAAAAAATAAGATTATTGAGTGAATTTAATGAAATTTATTAATATATAAAATTTTATTTAAAATTATTTTTATTTAAGACGAAAATGAGAACAAAAAAAAAGGCATCATGAGATAATTACATACACGTATTTAACATAAAGAGATAGTTTAAAATTTAAAATTTAAAATTGAAACTAACCTCATGGAAGAACCCCAAAAAAACCCTTAAACGACCTGATAGTTTGTTAGGCATCGCGTTGGCGCCGGCGTTGTGAATGCTTAGTACTGCATTGTCGTTTGGGTTTCGCTCGTAAAACGTAGAAGCCGGAAAATAAATATTCGCGACTCCCAACAAATCTCACTGTGCAGAGAAGGGTCCGTTCGGCAATGGGGGAGCAATTGCAGAGAGACAAATCAAACCCTAGAATCGAGCCTGTGAAGCATGGAAGCATTGACAAGAAAGGCGAATTCGAGTTCTGCAAGGTCTGCAATCTCAATCACAACCAAGGTCTGCGACACAAGTACTTTCCTAGCCACAAGAAGTCCCTCTCGACCTTCCTCTCCCGCTTCCGAAAGAAATTTTCCGATATATCCTTCTTCCTTAAAAATCCTACCATTCTCAGGCTAGAACACGCTTCTCGCAATCGATTTTGGTGCGTTTTCTGCGACACTGATGTCGACGAACTCGCTAGTTCCTTTGCCTGGTATGGATCCCTGAATCTGTTTTTGAGTTTTTATAATGCGTCTGCGGCTCACAAAATTGTTGCCAATCGCTCTAGTTTACTTGCGAAAGTAGGAGTGCTAAATTTCACGGAGATCTTAATTTAGTTGAATTAATAATCTTCGGGAGTTTGCATTGATCCCCTTACCTTTCAAGGTCCAATCATGCGCGCGCTTTTGGTGATTCCATGGTAATTTGGATTGTTGCTTCTTGTTGCAGCGCTAACGCGATCAATCACCTGGCAAGTGTCAATCATTTGAAGAATTTGAAGCAATTCTCCTGGAAATATGGTGGTGCCATGGATCAATTGGAGGCATTTACGGTTTCGGACGCCGATGTTGCTAAGGTCGTGTTTTAATGTACATGTTTCAGTTCAACGAAAAAAAAGTACATGATTCATCTTTATTCCATGTTCTGGATTTGTTGTTGTTCTTAACATCTACGTGATTAGGAAGAGATACCTGTTATGGTTTAGAATATATTTGCTCATCATCGTCAATTTTTTTTGCTGCAGTGGGAGAAGAAGTGCATGACCCTACAAAAAGAAGCTGTTTTATCGAGTGAGGAATGTCATGGAGAAGTCTCTGGAACTTCAAGTGATATCCATAATCAATTCAATCATGGAAATATTGATAAATTTGATATTACTTATTCCCATTCTGTAAATTCACATCCTTCAAATAGTGTTTTGCCTTTACAATATCATACAAATGAGTGTCAGGTATCCAATTCAGGAATCTCAGGAACTAGCAATGCTTGTGTGTTACCCTATTATAATACCTCTTCTCTACTTTCGGAAACCAGCTCTGGTGCAAATTCTTTTCATTATAAAGATTTTGTAGGTATGCATATTCTGTCTATGGAACCTTAACTTTCTTTTTGAAATTATTCAGACTTACATCTCAGAGGATTCCCTGAAACTGGATTTTATCTTTTATTTGCTTGTGTTGTGACTTGGTTGAAGGGAGCTGCCATGCTCTCCGTTGTAGTGGTAGACAATGGTCTGGTGATGGTTGCTCCAGTACTGACGAGGTAAGTTCCTCATCCGTTTTTTTTTTTTTCAGATGGGATAATTCTTAATCATAGAGACTGACTACATATCAACAATCAATATTTGGTAGCTCTACTTTTTTATTCAAATCAACAATAGTTTGTAGTTCCTGTGGTCCATTTCTTGTAAGCGATTATTTAAATTGAAAAGTACCCCTAGCTATATTATTGGCTTCAATGATCAACCGATATGGAGTTTCTCTTGATGGATTCTTATTTAGTTCTCATGTCCTGGTAATTGAATATTTTTTTAATCTTTCACTCCAATTTCCATGCTTGTACGTTTTGATCAGCATTTTATTTCCTTTTCTGCTTTCTCTGTTTCCTGTTCTCTTTATGCATAATTTCTATCTATTTTCTTATTGAATGTTCCAGGTGCCTAGGGACAGAAGAATGTTAAGCAAGGAGAGCAGTTGTGAAGGTATTCTTTTTAATTTTGTTCATAATTTATTTTGCTTCATTTTTTAACATCCAAGTTTGTGAAGTGCATGGGGCAAGTGAATTTGCATGTACAGATTCAGTGAGAAAGTATCATTTATCCATATGAAGAAAACATTAAGACATCATAACCTAGAAGTTCATTAGTGATTTTGAAGAAGACCTGAGATTGGGGTCAGCTTGCATGCATATTATATATATAGCTATATATTCTTCCGCTCCTTTTGCTTTCTCAGGTTTGCCAGATCCCATACCATTCTCTTATGGATGTGCGGAAAAAGTGGGCAGCAATGTTCCTTCTGAAGCTCCTCCTCCATGGTTAACTGATGGACTCCATATACACGATAAACCCATCTTAGGTGATCTTGATTCCTCTTTGAACAAGTCTAGGAAGTCTAGAAAGTTAAATCCAAAACGTATAGGAGCAGCTTGGGCAGAGAGGAGAAAGATTGAGCTAGAGATGGAGAAGAGGGGAGAGACTGTAAGGAAGGAGTATGATGCTAATTGGCTTCCCAATTTTGGTAGACTCTGGCAATCTGGCACCAGAAAAGAATCTAGAAAGGAATTCGAGAGGGAGAAACAGAAGTTATTCAGGGTTGAGGTTGAACCAGAAATACCAATCAAGATACAGCCTTATGTTAGCAAAAGAATGGTGAGTTTTATCTCATGCTATATGTTCTAAGATCATTGGTCCAGATTCTTTAATGTTAATGGCTTTTCAGTTCCTCACTCCCCCCTCCTTTCCTCATGACTGAGAAATTACAAATATTTGCTGATATGGGAAACCGTTTTATGATGAGAAACTGTCATTTATGGGTTATATGTGATTATGTTATGTGGTCCTTTATTTTATATTTTCTTGCTGTTAAAAATATAAAATAACGTTTAAGTTTCCATGGTTGTAATTACGAGGTACTTAATCCTCCTCTAAAGATGTTAAAAATCAGTGGAAGTATCCATGGGTCTGGACTAGGTCACTAATTTAATATAGGCTTTTTTTCCTGCAGTAGACTTTAATTTTATCAGTTGCATTGATATTTCAATGATTAAATTTTAGATAGTTAAATCCTTTTCTTTTATCTATTCTCCTTTGCAGAAAATGGATAATAATGGTGGCCATATATGCGGGTGAATTTTCTGATGACAGCTTGTTTGACGACTGGAAAGCCCCATTTTTGCATTCTTTCAACTCTGGATTTGAGGCTGAATGAAATCAGCACAATGAAACATGGTGAATTTCTGTGAAATTTTCCTGGGAAGAAAGTGCCCGCATGGACTGTGCATACAAGTACCCAAAATAATATTGCACTAAAATATATCAATGGATCGAGCAATGAGGGAGCTGTTGGTCTGGCATCTGCAACAATTAATGCTGTCATAATGACCGTTTTGCTTCACTTCTTGTGCTGTTACTTGAATATATGTTAAGTTATAACATCAATTTTATTATGATTGATCAACCAAACTGTTGTGGCGGTATTAGGTGTTCTGTATTTCTGCTAACCAGCCTGATGTTGGGTGCAGGGATTACTGCTTTGACATTCCTGGATAGGGATAACTTTGTAGTACTTCCCATTTTTCAAATAGGCAGCTGGAATGTTACCATCGCACATCCAGAGTAGTGTGTATTTTAGTGAGTTTTGTTCTGGCTAGTTGAGGAATTGTTGATTAAACTAAGTCTTTTATCAACTAATGGGCCATGATTTGTTCAGTTATAAATATTTTTTCTATTGCTGAAAAGTGTGTGCATTCAATCTATACGAGAATGCTATTCAATCTATAAGAGAATACTAATGATAATCACTCTCAATCATCCCATGGCAATGAATTTATAAAATAATAATAATAACAACAGTAATAGGTATCCCAGTTTTGACTGAACCTCGAATTATGTCCCAAAAAATTGAAAATGAAAAAAAAAAAAAAACTGCTGCTTCTCATCCTCAGGCCCATATGAGCTGAATCAGCTGTCCTTGCGTGGCTCTGCGTGGCAGTGATGTAGAAGTGCTTGTTCAAATCCCTCTGTAATTGTCAGTTGCAATCATGCAAGCAACCGTGATCCTGGGACGTATTGCTGCCTAAAACAAAGTTTGCCAGGGCATCAAACAGTAATGTTTTGGAACTTGTTTGAGGTGAATTATGCTCACTGACTTTTGAGATCTGTTGAACTCATCTTACTATCTCTGTCACTTGCAGGATGCCTCTGCTGCCTGGTTTGTGTTCCATCAGTGCAGAATCTTGTGGAATTGAAGTGATATATCCTAAAGTGCCATAATTTTCCTTTAGAATGCAGCAAATTCTCGTCACAGAGGAACTCCCAGGAAAACCATTTCTCTATGGTGCGATCTACATCGTGCACTACCACGTTAGAGACATCCCCTGCTCTAGCCAGCACACCAGCTGTATAAATGGGTCCCATCCTGCCCGGTGACTCCGGCGAATCCCCATCAGGTCCATCTACTACCACAACGTCCCAATTCTTCTCGTACACTTCTGCTGGCAGGTTCTTCAATGCAAGTTTGCATTTTGATTTTCGAAGCACTTTGGGGTTAGTGGGTGCACAAGCTGAGTTCTGCCTCGCGTCCTTGAGCAGTTCGTAAGCGTCTTTTGCTGGCATGTTATATTCAATTCTGTATATTCGGGTATTGTTCGAGCCAACTCTTGCCTTGCTTATCTTCTTAGGGTCATCCTCGAGGAAGATGGTTCTCCCAGCTGCATTCATAGAAGAGAGGGCAAGATACTGGGAGTGAAACCCGAATATAAGGAGGTTGCAGGGGACTTTGTGGGCAATGAGATTTGATAAGACTCTGAATTCCTTTTTCTTCAGGGTGGTGACTCTGGGAGGCGTTGTAGGCTTCTTTGAGGATCCAGTTTCAGGTGCATGTAGGGTAACCCTACGGTGTTGAGGTCCTGGAGACAGACCAGATAGTCCATGGGAGGAAGATGAAGTAGTCACGATGATGCTCAGAAGTCTGAAAACTGACATGACTGAAAGAATCAGAATAAGTAAGGGGATGAGTTCCCTTTTAGTAAGTCTCATCCTGTTGGTTCCTTGGGACAATTTGTGACGGGAAGGTTGATTTTCCTGTGGTTGAGTTGTGACCGGAGAAGAAAGTTGAACTAGGGATGGCAAGAGAGGACGGAAATAAAGTACTTCCGGTGGCATTTTTGGATTCTTCTTCTTCTTCTCTCTTCCCTTTGAGCAACACGGCAGTACAATTACATCCTTCTCATAGCTTAGGTGTGTTGGGTTTTTGATGAAAGTGGCTGTTCTGGTTTGGCTTTTCTGCAACTTGTTGAGTAGGGGAGAAGGGATGGTTTTTGCTTTTGACACAAGCGTACCTTTCTTTTATTCAGCTGCGGTTGGTTACCTTGTCGAACTTGAGAAACAAATGTAGATGCGTCTTCCACTCTGCAAAGCGTTTTCTGGCCAATCGTTTTCTGGGATACTGACAATGCGACAAGGGTCTTAACGATATTGGATGCTCGGTTCATTATCTGTGAAATCTAAACGTCTTTTTTGATGTGATGAGTGAGCTCGAAGAAAGCTAGTTTGTGGTTTATGAGTCACTTTCAAATTTCCGTACATGTTATTTCCTGGATTCATATATTTTAATTTGCCTTCATTATTAGAAATGATGAGCAATGATTGGTGGTGTATTGGTTAGTTTGGAATTTTCCCTCTCGATTTTTTTTGCCCCGAGATGCAAGTTGGTTTCAACAGGCCGACGAGTTTTCATTGGAAATAGGGCTGTGGTTTCTTTGATAATGATGCCCCATTTTATGATTCCATGAAGTGGGAAAACAAATTGGAACGGAATTATTTTTTGAACCTTTGATTGTTTGCTTTAGAATTTTGGAGAGCAAGAAACCTCCTCTTAGATTAGGGTTTTTCTAATTGATTTCGCATCATTTTACATTTATAAACATCTTGACGATAATGAACTAAATCAGTGAAATCTACCTTTTATCAAGAAACATTGACACATTTGCACCTATTATGATTCAGTTAAGTCAAATTGAAACTTGGTTTGTCCATGCAATTAATTTCCTCAGACTAACTTGATGTAATTAAAATAAAGGTTAAAGTGCAAAAATATTTATATTTTTTTTTTCAAGAGCACTCGACATTTTTAAGTGAATGAGGGTTTAAAAGTACCTTAAACATTAAAAATATTAGTGCAAAAGTGCTCACACCATTAAATTTGACTAATGTCTATTAACATTGAACTTTAAAAAAAAAAAAACAAAGCAAACATACTCATAAACTTTTTATCTAGGTGCAAAAATACCCAACTTATAAAATATTATTTTATTTTTTTAACCTAATTTTAATTTCAATTTATTATTAATAAAATTTCAATATTTAAGTTAAGCTCATTTGGCTTTAGGCTTAGTATAGATTGATAAATCAACCTTTCTCAATCCATTAAGTTTTACTCTTAAAACTTCACCATTAGCATTAAGTTATTTTAATAGATTGAAAAATGTTAAATTTGATAATTTGACTTAAGTCTAACGTGCCAACTGAATAAGCTCAAAAAATTTTAGCATTGGGTTTGAGAGTTTAGAAAATCTTCTTTCTTTTGAAATTATTTAGGCCACACTAATTAAACTCAAATAAATTCAAGTCAAGTTCAAACTCAAATGAATTTAGTTCAAATACTTGAATTATTTTTTTTATGATTAATAAAATTAAATTACAATTAGAAAAGACGGAAATCGACTAAAATAGAAAAGATAAAATAAAATAATGTTATAATTTGGATATTTTTACACTTAGATCAAATTTTTTTAAATATTTTTGCACTTTTTATTTGCCTTTTCTTTTTTAACAATCAACATTAACAGATGCTAATTAAATTTATCAATTTGGACACTTTTGCACTCATTACATTAATATTAAGGGCACTTTTACACTTTCTTTTATTTAGATATACTGGATGCCCCTAAATAAAAAAAAATTCATGAGTATTTTTACTCTTCAACACTTAAATAAGGAATACAAAGGAAATTGAAAGTGTTACAGCTTTTGAACTATTTCATACATTAGAAGAAGTACTATAAAATTAAGTATCCTCTTCACACATAATTTAGAATTTTTTAAGTTAATAAAAATATCTCAAAACTAAAATTTAAAAAATGGGACATAATACACGTGAGCGTATATATAACTTCGTTGGATCCAAATCCTTCTCCCGTTTTCTACTATATTTTTCATTTCAATGAATCCAAATAAAAAAAAAGTAAATGAATTAGATCTAATAACCCCATAAATTTTAAACTTATTTATTATACAAATTATTTTTTTAACTTTTAAAAACGATATAATTTTACTTTTGTCATTAACAAAAATTAACTTTAACCATTACTTCACTAAGAAAAACCTCAAAATTATAAAAAATAAGAAAAAAATTGTTCTATTTTCATTATTATTTAGTCATTATCTATAATTTTTAAATCATTCATTGTAATTTGTTATTTTCTATAATTTTTAGATCATTTTTTATAATTTTCTGATCAATTAACAATTAAAATCAACTTTTTTGTTTTCTACAATTTTTAAGACATTTTTTATCATTTTATGATCAATTAATGATTAAAATTAACTTTTATTAATAACAGAAGTTAGATTGTATCATTTTCAAAAGTTAAAAGAACAATTTGCATAATAAATAAGTACAAAATCTATGATCAACTTTAGTAGGTAACTTGCTCATTTAATCTAAAAAAAAAAAATCAGTATTAATAAAATCAAGGAGAATCAAATGAGAACGACTATAACATGATACTGGTATATAAATACAACAAAATGAGCTAATTACTAATCCTTTAAAACCAAAAACCAGAAGCTCAATTTCTAAAGTAATTGTAACCACCGAACTTCTTGTCATTAAGGTCAAGGTAATTGCGAGCCTTTAAAACCTAAAAGTTGAATTTTTAAAATAAGTTGTCAGACAAAATTATAATTTCATTATCTTATAATGAAAGTTATTATTTATCACAATGAACTTATCATGGTAATGTAAAATGGGAAGGGAAAAGGGGAAGAGAGAGAAAGAAAAAGGAGTAAAAAAGCCAAAACTCTCAGAAACTCTTATTCAATTAAATACAAATAAAAAATCTAACTCTATTTATAAAACTATAAAAATAATAAAATAATAATAACTTAAATTTAAATCCCAAATCTAAATTTAATCTTAAAATTTTGATATTTAAGATAACAACAACAACAACAACAACAAACCTTTATCCCACTAGGTGGGATCGGCTACATGGATTGCAAGACGCCATTGTGCTCTATCATTATCAAGCTTTTAAGAATATTATTAATTAAAAGATCGCGTTCAACAACTTTTAAGAGTGTTCTCTTAGGCCTTCTTCTACCTCTCTCAATCGGACTCAAAGTTATATGTTCCACTCTTCTCACTAGTGCCTCCCTTGGTCTTCTTTGTACATGCCCAAACCATTTCAACCGATTTTCTACCATTTTTTCATCAATAGGTGCCACCCTCACTTTTTTGCGTACGTGCTCATTTCGAATTTTATCTTTACGTGTATGTCCGCACATCCATCGTAACATTCTCATCTCTGCTACTCCAACTTTATGCTCTTGCTGTCCCGTTAGAGCTCAGCATTCACTACTATATAACATTGCCGGTCTGATAGCAGTGCGATAAAACTTTCCTTTAAGTTTATTAGGCACCTTACGGTCACAAATAACTCCTTTAGCTTTTCTTCAATTAAACCACCCAGCTTGAATTCTATGTGAAATATCTCCACTGATTTCGCCATCATTTTGAATAATGGCTCCTAAATATCTAAACTTTTCCACTTGAGGTATAATTTAATCTTCTAATTTCACTTCCAAATTATTGTCGAATAGTCCTTTACCAAATTTACAATATAAATATTCCGTCTTACTTCTACTCAAGCGAAAACCTTTCGACTCTAATGTCCTCCTCCATAACTCAAGTTTGCAATTAACCTCTTCTCTTGTCTCTGCTATAAAAACTATATCATTCGCGAAGAGCATACATTTCGGGATTTCCTCTTGAATATGTTCCGTCAAAACATTTAAAATCAAGTTGAACAAATAAGGACTCAGAGACGATCCCTGATGTAGTCCAATCTTTATAGGAAAATCTTTTGATTGACCACTAGGCGTTCTTATACTAGTTTTTACCCCCTCATACATATCTTGTATGGCTTTAATATAAGCAATCCGTACTCCCTTTTTTTCCAACGCTTTCCAAAGCACTTCTTTTGGTATACGGTCATAAGCTTTTTCCAAATCAATAAAAACTATGTGTAGATCTTTATCTTTACAACGATATTTTTCCATTAATCCCCTTAGTAGATAAATCGCCTCTGTAGTTGATCTACCTGGCATAAAATCAAATTGATTCTCAAAATACTTGTCTCCAATCTCAACCTGTGCTCAATTACTTTCTCCCACAGTTTCATTGTGTGGCTCATGAGTTTAATCCCTCTATAGTTAGTGCAATTCTAAACATCTCCTTTATTTTTATAAATAGGAATTAATGTACTTCTCCTCCACTCATCAGGCATTTTCTTGGACCGTAAAATCACATTAAATAGCTTAGTTAACCATCTCACCCCTTCTTCGCCTAAACATTTCCACACTTCAATAGATATACAATCAGGTCCGTTGGCTCTACCATTTGCCATTTTTTTAAGAGCTTCCTTTACCTCCTTATCACGTATTATTCAATAGAATGACAAATTTTGTTCTCCTTCACCAGTTACTAAATACTCCAAGTTACTAGATGAATCCTCTCCATCATTGATATTTAAGATAACAATAAAATAAATAATAAATCATGACTCTAATGGATAGACATCTTTATTTAAATATCTCTAATAATAATCTTAATTATCTTAATTAAACATTATCCCATATTCTATCACATGGAGATCTAACACTTCAAACCTAGTTATTTATGAAAAGTAATTATCATTGCTAAACTTATAGTTGTTATTAGTCATAATCAAAGTTATCAATTCTTATCCGAAACTTGCTACTGAACTCCAATGTAATTTCATATTATTGGCAATATGGTAATCTGATAAGAAAAATTAATGTTACATTGGCAATAACCTAAAGAATTAAGTGTAATTAACTCATTTCATGAAACTTAATAAAAAAATAACCCAAGGACTCTAGTATAATTAGCTCATTCCGTGAGACTTACTGAAAAATAACTCAAGGATTCCAGTGTAATTAGCTCATCTATGAGACTTGCATGTTAATACCCTATTCCAGTGGCACTATATCTCATTCTCCCTTTAATAAATCAATACTTCTACATGGTCGTTAACGAAGTACGATATGAGACGCTTGATGTCAATACAATAAGCATGGAAAAATAATACAGAATAGCAAGAAAAATCACATAATTCTCGTATATTTTGAAATTAAAAAGCTCTGAAGTTCTTGTTCAATCAATAACGGAAGATAAGGACAAATCGAGCTAGAAGCTATGAACTAGTATGTGATACAACCTGGTCACCCCTTATCGTACTTCGATCTAACCTGCAATTGGACGAAAAAAGGAATAATTGAAAGCCAACGAAACAAATAAAGCCAACATTGCAAAAACGATTAACAATTACCCCAATGCAAAAATTCATAATTAGTAGTTTGACTGCATAATTCCAATGAAACATAGACTAATCCTTATGCAAGTGCAAAGGACAAGACACTTTCTATAAAACAGTCATTGACTGAGAGTCGATGCCACATTATGTCTACACCGTCTCCTGCTTAAAATTTTTGAAACTTCTACCAAAACAATTAAAGGATGATCCAACTTGAAAGCCAACCTAGAGTACAATTCTCCAAAAATCTTGGTTGATGGAAATTATACAGCACGAAGAAGCAGTTCAGATCACCATTCAAATTTTCTTTCACATTTAGTGAGATTGAACATTACATAACAGATGTTTGGCTTTGACTATCACCAATTGATACTATGAAGTTTAGGACAATGAAAGGTCTAACAAGAGCATTCTAAATAATGAACCATAGTAGGGCTTTTCTCATTTATTGACATGCCAAGTGCGAAAATTTCCAACTAGTAGCTACTAGACAGGATTCCTAGAAGAATTGCTTAGACAAATTCCCCAATTTTTAATTCTTCCAACTTAATCTCGTAAAAATGGATGTGCTAGGTCCATGCGCTTCCCCCGTTTAATCACCCAAAGTCCTTGCCGCGTATAACCCCTACGATATTAATTTGACCCTCATCGACGATTAAAGGCTCCGGATATTCGAGATATGTATGTGAAATAAAAACTTGGCTAAAAGTTTTATTCATTCGCATGCATAGTTTCCCAAATAAGAGTAAATCATGCTAGCATTCTTCCTCAACCTTCTAACCCATCAATCGCAAAAATAGTTTACCAGCTCGTATTAGAGAATGTTATCCCCAAGCACGGGCATTATTGACAAGGATCGAAAAATTACCTAACCAGAGCCAACAATAATGTTGTTGATCGGAATGAAAATCAACTTGACGAAAAACCCAACAAACCCCATCACAACGAAACCAATAGCCGTACGGGTTGCTACTTTTGTGAATTCTGCACCAAAATTCAACGAATTGAAGATGGCCAAATATTAAAAAAATAGAAAAGAAAAAGAAAAGGCAAGAAAAGGAAGGAAGATCACATTTACCTTTGCGATCAGGCTTGTGGCAGCGCTTCACAAGACGAACACTGTCCTTGGCAAAGTCTCTGAGAGGATCCACGACGGAATCAATGGCATCCATCGTCACAGATAGCGGCAGATCTGAAGGCAGAGGCAGAGAGTTCTTAGGAATTCAGATTTGTTTATCAGAAGCCAACGATGATTCGCCCCGCACGCGTTTTGCGCTCGCTAATAGCTATCCCGCAGTCGCGGCTTCACACTCGCAGGTCAAAACTGGAAGGCCATTAGCCAGACTGACTAAAATGCCCTTGCAGCAGTCTTTTATTTTATTTTGAATAAATTTTTTATTTTTAACATTAATTCCCCCTCCCCTTTTTCAAGGATGAGTGTTAAAAGTTATATGTTTTATATATATATATATATATATATATATAAAACATGCGATGTTCACCCTGATTTTTCATCTCCAAAAGGCTGATTTCAATTTTGGTCAAAAAAAAAAAAAGCTGATTTCCATTCTCCAAACAACTTCTTTCCATAACAAGTTGTCTTTATCATTATTTTTGGCCAGTACGATGTGTCTTTCCACTAGTTCTCAAGTGTTACAAATAGTTCTTAGCATATTTTATTCTAAATTTTAATATAAATATAAAAAATATATAATTTTTAACAAAAATTTATGAATTCTAAATAAAAGCATAATTTTGTTACATTTGATTAAAATTAAAATGTAAGCTTATTTTAAGTGGAATTAGACCATAAGTAATTTTTTTTTGTTACCATGAGATCCTCCAAAACAATTAATTTCATTTGAAGTACTATTGAACAAATGTGAGTACGTTTTTGTACGAGAATTCAAATTTTGATTTGCAATATTGTGAGTCTAACTCGTTAACAACAAGTAAATTGATATAAGTGTTAAAAATTATCATGCAGTCTGGCAAAACAAAAAAAAAATCATGCACTGCTTTTAAAATGTAATAATATACTTTGAAGTATAAATAAAGATATAGATCAACATGACCTCCTACTTTTAATATCTTGGATTTGTTTGGTTATAAAGTTAAAATATTAATGTTATTCTTAAGCTTTAATTTTAGAATAAGACTTGTACACTTAACTTTATATACTTAATATACTTATATCCAATTAAATCATGATAAGTGAATCTTAATATGTTAATATAATTAATGACAAGAATTAACTATAGAATAAATACTCTATACAAGATACATAACTTGATTTAATTAAAAACAAACATATTAAATATATAAAGCTAAATATATAAATTTTTTTTAATTTTACTTATAAAATATTTATTCCTGTTGAATTGTGTAGATTTGTTTAGGTAAAATTTTAAAGACACATGATTTTCCATTAAGATAAGAAGTTAGTTTAGATAAAACTTAAAAAGCAGATTAAAATATCAAAATATGTTAAACCTGTAGTAAGAAGACATAATATTTTATTTTAAAGAATATTTGGAAGTTTCACTATTTCTGTAATAAGATAAACTACACGTTTATTAATTATAAGAGCGACCGCAAACACAACATATAAAAAATTGAAGAAAAACGACACGTTCTTCTTCTCCCTTTCCCATGAAGAATAAACTACAAAAATGATAAACCAATAGATACACACATCATGGCCGAGAAAATAGACAACAGATGCATTAAGGAGACACCACTCGAACTTGGATTAAGGAATATGTCCAACAGAGATTTTTTTTTTTTGGGCCAAATGTTCAAAGAAAGTTCAAGGTTAAAAAATGCTCTTCAGAACCAGTGCATTATGAGTTATGACTCCCTAATACGATCCGATGTGAATTAAAATTAATTTTCATCTACATCGTAAAAAATCTAGTAGAACTTCTAATGACTCATCGACAAACAGATAAACAAAAGACAGCCATAGATATCAAACACCAAGAAGCATGAACGACAGACACAAATCCAAGTAATCACGGAGGATACTTCCCAGGGAATGAAAGGGTCATATCAAACATGTTGCGGCATGCATTAGACAGAGAGGATCAGCGTTCAGTTACGAATATTTGTACATCAAACAGTTAAATTATGATGTCGTTCATTTGCTAAATCAAGTTAACAGGTTTGGAACGTTATCCTGTATAAATTAATAGTTAACAAAGCATTTCTCGCAAGCAATCAAAAACTCCAAGCACAAGGCCACCATCTGCATAACCCCAACAGTCAACACTGCATCATTCGCATTGTTGCTCAACTGCAGAAAACACAAGGAAATCGCAAACGGCGTCAGCACCCTTTATGGTCATTAGCAAGCATAATAAAAGAAATGATCAACAAAGGCCACTTAATCGCATCTCTGAATGAAATATTTCAATCCAGTATTTCTTCTTCTAAAAGTTCTAAAGCCGATGCATGATGAAACAATATTTCATACAATCAACATCTCGTAATGCAGCAGAGACACATGTTCGACCAGTAAATTATAGTCCTCAGAAATTTGCATTTCATATGTGTTCAGGGGAAACCATATCAAATTTTCCAGGGGGTTAGGGATGTATGCAGGCGGAGCAACAAATTATTGGTATTCCATGAAGGGAAGATTCAGTCGCATTAATGCAGCAACTTCATTCTAGCTTGAACCCGTATTAAAATGCTTTCAAGGGTAAAAATGTCGTCTTTTGGAGTTTAATATAGTGATCTGAAATATAATCCATCATTTACAGCCCTGAAAGATAATGATGAGCTACAAAACTTTCCATTCACGGTATGTCAACAAAAATGTTGCATCAAGAGGGAATTTGTAAAGGGTAAATAAAGAAAGGAATGGCATGTTTACAGTTTATATGGTTGCTAAAATTGAAAGGACCAATTAGGACTAACTGTTACTTTATGAACTCAGCCACACACAAATCCAACAATGATAATAAACATTGTCGAAAAATCTTGCAAACTATTTTTTCTGGGAAATAAAATCTATAGAATAATCTATGTGTTGAGGTGCTCCAAATCTAATATACTTAACCCATTAATGGAATGACAGTTCATATTACTTGATGCAACCAAGGACCCGCATCAACAACATCAATAAAATAAAGAAGCATCACAGTTCATGATGAAATATAATAATTAATATATTTTGAAAAAACCTAGGCTAGTAGATTATTATTATTATTATTTTAGGAAGAAATATGTTTTCTTGTGTTATTTTAATCTATTGTATCCTTTGTATTATTTTAATATTTTGTAAAAGGAAATATGAAAAGTGGCTTTATATGGATGATTGATTAAAGTTTCCTTAATAGGCAGGCAACTTTAGTTTAAATAGACTAGGCTTTGCTCTTGTAAGGGGACTTTTGGTTGAATGAATGAATATTATGAGTTAACTTCTGAAAGCGCTCTCTCCCTTCAGTTCTGTCTCCCCCGCCCCCCTTTTCCTCTCTTTCTCGTTCTCCCTCTCTGTTTCAGATCCCCCCCTTTAATCTCTCCTTCCCTGTCTCTCGTTCTCCTTTATATCATTTTCTGTTCTGCTTCCCTCTCCCATTTACTCACTGTTTGTGTTTGAATAACTGTGTGTGACATCAGTTCTATTCCTCAATATTTGTTACACAATCACTAACTTTATGTCTATATCTTTTAAGTTCCAATGACACATGCTTTTGATCTCTCTCCCTTTAAGATTTGGGTTGGCAGGGATAGGAACAAGTTCAATAGACTAATCAGGTTGCTATTGAAATGTGTTTCAATCCTCATCTCTTCCCTGACTAAAAGGAAAGAAAAACAATATAAAAATATGACGTGGGGCTGAGGGTGGATTCCTCAACAGCCACAAAATGAGTATTTACTGATATACACTTTATGAGTGTGAAGTACGGACGAGGAAAAAGAACATGTTTTCTACCGTTGCTAAAGTTGTGAACTTGCATGCACAAGTCTCTCATCATCAACTGTTCCAGTCATCCTCAAAATTACAGACTGGCCAACTCTAAATCTAGTAATTCCGTCTTTGTACGTGGTCAACCTATAAATGTTTCCACAAAACAAAGAACTCCTTCAAAGCATGTTTTAATTCTGAAAATGACCGTAGAGCCTAAAGGTATGCAAATGGTGCATGAAAAAGCTTAGTGAATAATTCATCAATCTTTGTACATGGTCAACCTATAAATGTTTCCACAAAACAAATAACTCCTTCAAAGCATATTTTAATTCTGAAAATGACCGTAGAGCCTAAAGGTATGCAAATGGTGCATGAAAAAGCTTAGTGAATAATTCATCAAAAAGAATCAAAATAACTGGTAATTCATGATAAGTCATAAGATGCTTGAAAAGAAGATGAATTATGCCAATACATCAAATTAGCATTCCATATAATTACAGATCTCACCACTCAATAAAAATATTGCATTTGAATATTACATTTCTATTTATCTTCTCAGGAATTTCACTGTCAGATAATAAAAAATAGACTAAAAAATCTCGTCAACCACACTTTTAGTCTAAAACATCTCTCCTAATCTGACTATTGTAGATTTTATGAAACAATTGAACATGCTGGTAAAGCTGATGCTGGAAAATCCTTTAACAATCAAAGTTAGCTCAATGTTGCGGAAACATTAATCTCTTTCCAAAAACCTAACTTAATGGGCCGTGCACATACGTATATGCCCAAGTTCTTCTCCAAGTCTCTCTGATGGGGGAAGTGACAACTTATCCCGCCAATCTGTGACGCCCTCATCATGGATGGCCCACGCCCAAAGGACCCACTGACTAGACAAACCCGGGTCCGGCTTTGATACCACTTTATAATGGGGTCATTACTCTCTCTCCAAAAAGCTAACTCAGTGAGATGTACAGCGCACCTGCTTACACGTTCAAGACACTTTCCAAGCCCCTCCGATATGGGAGGTAACATCAAGCTCAAGAAAACAATTGACTTTAATCCTCCAGTTCTAATTCAAACCAAGTTATATACGACAAACTAGCGTAGCAAAGATAATGGCCAGCATCTAAAATCATTTATTCTCAAGGTCCTAACCTATATCATAGAGCGGAGGGTAAGATCCGTTTGACTAAGAGATAAAAAGAATGCAAGACACTTGTAGAACAGCATTAATATCTTCCTGGGAAACAAATAAAAATCAACAAGAGAGGTTCAATATAAAGCAATGAATATAAAGTAAGATCACGAAATTTCATGAATTGGCTTATAGGCAATATGTAGCACATTTATATAATTATATTTATGTTCAAAACATCTGACTTTTATATAGACCGTTCCCACATTTTACCTTGCCCCTTGAAGTTTAAAAGCTTTTCAGAATGAAGCTCTTATAAGTCCCTTCCTATGATGGCCTATTACTTTCATAAATCCCTCTGTTCATTGAAGTTCTTCCCTGAGCTACCACACTCAAGTGGTAATGGACGATATAAAAGTTGAGGAGGACGCCAGTGCTTATACGAGACTAACAAACATGACATTGAGCTCCTAGTTTGCCACAGAAGACTCAGGTGGCCTTAAAATCCTCCATCCTATATCATCCCAGATAAAGAAAATGCTATTTTGAGTAGTTTACAGAAGTTACTATGTAAAAGGTTCAAACCTCTGCCATGCACCACAACAACGAAGAAAAAATCCGTCACTTCATCAAAGATAAACACGCAAAAGCACTCTAATTTCATTCCAATTTTTTCCAAACACAAAAAACTATCCAAACAACAGGAAAAATAGAAAAGCTAGCTGTTTCTCAACAACATAGCAATCGAAATTATCCAAAATCGAAATCTGCAAGAAAAAGCGCCAAATTTCACCCGTAACTCTCAGTTTTAATAAAAATGAAGGCTACTCATTTGGGGACTTTGGAAGAAGCAAAAGGGTAAGATCCTACCTCGGACCATCAAGGTTGCCCTGTCCACTGTTGCCGCCGCTACCGTATGATCCATCCTCAGCAGCGGTCTGCCATACCGACTGCCAAGCCTGCGAGGGGGGCTGCACGTACACCCCAGTGGGATCCACCGCCGGCCGTCCAATAATCATGCCTCCGGGGGGGCCAGCAGGTTGGCCCATGGGAGGATAATAATAAGGGACACCGCTGGCCGTGGTGCCCACAATGCCACCAAGGCCAGCCTCGTCCTTGATCTCATCTCTGGGCACAATATCGACCAAGAAATCGAAGATGTCGGTCCTGGTGATGGCAGCGGCTATGTCGTTCTTCTGGAGGGTCCTCCTCTTGTTCTCCTCGGCGTGAAGCCACGACCGTATGGTGAGCTCGAGGATGAAAAGCTCGCAGGCCTTGGCAAACAAAATGGGAGCCTCGGCAGAGATCATGCGGACGTCCTCGTCGGCCTTCATGATCTTCTTGATTCGAGCGAGAGGGAGCTGGTGGTTCTTGAAATCGTTGACATGCTCGATTTCTTGTCGCTGGTAAGACCAGAACATCTGGAGCTGCTGCTGCTGCTGCTGGAGAAGGTGGTGGAAAGGGGGAGGAGCAGCAGGGGTTTGAGGGGGGTACGAGGACGACTGGGCTTGCTGGTTGTTCTCCATGGGGGAACGGATTCTCAGGAATTGGCCAAATGGGTATCCTCTTCTTCGAGGGTTTGATCGAAGGGCAAGCGACGATTCGGGGGATTTCTGATTTTTGTGTGACAGACGACAAAACCAAACGGATTCGTATTGGATGATTATTGGAATGTGATGCCCGGATGGATGGGATAAGGTGTAACCCAGACAAGCGGGATCCCTCCCCCTCTGTTTTGGTCGCTACTGATTTTTATTTTATCGTCTCCCCCTCTTTCCTCTTTCCATTGTTTTGCTTCTCACCCTAATTTACCGTCCTTCCTTCTTTTTCCCGTTGCGACCTGTTTGTTTGTTCGGAGATTTTTCCTTTTTGGACAAAGATTAAGGAAGCTAATACAGCGATTTCATTCGGCTTTATTGCTTACGAGTTGGCCCCAGATAAATCTTTCCCTACTGCCACACCTCCCCCACTTACCTATCCATCATATTATCATGTGTTGCATGAGACTTTTATGCAAGAACAAAGTGAATCATCTCTTACTTTTTATTTTGTTTATTTCTACCAAAAAAAAATCTTTTTCAAAAAATGAACAGAACAACTTTTTATATATAAAAAAATTATATTATATAATTTAAAAAAGTTAATTGATTATAATAATTATGTTTAAAAATAAAAAAATTAAAATAAAATATCCTATGTTAATTAACATAGACATGCATTAATCACTTTTTATTAATATAAATTATGAAAGGTAATTTAAAAAATATGTAATAAATATTTATTGAAATAAGTAATTTTATTTATGTAAAAAATAAATAAATAAATAAATAATTTTTTTATAAATAAAAATAAAAGGAGTAATTTATTGTGTTTTAATGTTTTATTACTCCCCGAAGCTTGTCAATCTTTGAGAAAATTCTTGTAAAAGAAAAGGCAAGAATTTTTTTTTTTTTTTTACCTGAAAAGAAGAAGCAAGAATGAAACATTTGAGACTTCTTAACTTCATAGCGATGGAGTAAACCAGATGTGATATAATATTATAATATTTGACCAAGTATAAAGAAAGACAATCGATTCAGGTTCCGTTTTATGCACCAGAATCTAGAATATTATTAATTAATTAATTAAATGTGCACCACTTCAATCAATGTCGATATCAATCAGTCTATTTGTTACATAAATGCGCATAAATTAATCAAAAGTTACCTGTGATTTTTGAAAAAGAAAATATCAATCACTTATTAGTTTATTAAAAAAAGCTTCCAAAAAAATAGTACTCCCCAGTTCATGGCTTCATGCATCATTGGTCATTTTAAATTTTCAAAGTCTTTGATTCAAGGGAAGAGAGTAGGAGGGAATGGAAGAAGAGGAAGGAGAGAGGAGAGGAGAGGAGAGGAGGGAAGGAGAGAGGAGGAGGGCATTCTCCCAAATTTAGGGGAGGTTTTGGAAGGGAGAAAATTTTTTTAAAAACCTCCCCTTCCTTCCAACCAAACACTATCTCAAGATAAAAAAATAGTTTATTTTTTAAATGTATTTTTGTTTTTATTTATTTGAATCAAAATGAAATGCTGGCTCGAATTATCCTTAGAGAAAGCTGGGAACTTCTCTGCAAAGTTGCAAGACAACTTACACTCAACAGTCAACAGCAATAACAAAAGCTTCTAGCTCATTGAAACAAATTTCAAATTTGAGGAGCCGAATCCATACTCTAATGTATGACTAGAAACAAAATACATGGAGCATACTTGTGAGAAATTAAAAAAAACAAAATATAAACATCAAATTCTGGACTAATTTATATTAACTATTGATGGTAAGGTATGGATTTGGTGAGATTGATATCTGCTATTATTCCCTGCTGTGAAACCATAAATGGAAGAAACTCTGCATAAGCCTGACCAAGAAGAGGTGACGCTAACATAGTACTTGCCATTTTACATCTCTCTATTTCCCCTTGTACGTTTCCACCTATATACGATCAAATTCTCTTGCATATTTCCCTTCTTTTTCATTGCTACAGCAACTGCTTTCCTCAAAATATCTGGTACATAATCCCTTTCCTTGGTTATCTGAAACGTCTGGACCTCCTCATTTTCTCCAGAAGTCTGTCTAGGCCCTGTCCTATCTTCTAAAGATTTTTCGATCTGCATTCCTGTTCCCTGCTCTGGTGCTTCTGTTACCACCTAGAGAAGTTCCATGGGTATAGCTGCAGGATCAAGCTCCAAGCAACCTCTAGGAGCAATAACACCTTCATGACCAGTAAGCAAGTATGAAGGAACCTGGTGCAATAAACAAAACATCTCAGCGCTGGGAATATTCCTGATATTTTTAGGATCAACTTGCCGGCAGAATACTGTCTTGAAACCTTCGACTTTAACAAGTGAAGCAACATTCACACCTCGTCCCTCGTTGTAGTCGTCAAGTACTTCGACCATGTCATATTCATGTATGATTTCATCAGAAGTCTGTTCGTTCCAATCCAGAGACCAGTTCCTATATAAAGCCCGAACATCCCCCTTCTTCGAATATATATGTATCACCCCTCTTTTACCTTTGCTCCACTTAACCCTATGAGAAAAAGAATTCATAGAGCTTAAGTTCATGCTTGCCTATCCGGAAATCGCCACTAGTCTTGGGAAAGCCAGAGCCAATCCACTTTATTGGCGCCAGTTCATCATTGCTTTTAGAGTTAAGCCAGCTAATCTTCATTTTGAAGGGTTTTAAAGAAATTATATCATGGATCAAAGCATAGTAATGAGGCATGCCATCATCATCATCACAAACAGCCCAAACCTGATTCTCACTAAAGGCTTTTTCGGTGCGGTCATTGTCAAAATCATGAAAGTCTGGGTCAGGAACACTTATGGATAGAGAAACAATTGCTTCAGCAGCAGGAATATCTGTATCAGCAAAGGAGGACTTTTTGCCCCTGGTTTCTGAATCAGCTAGTTCTTGAAATTCTTGTACACCAGATTTTACAGCATTCCCACTCTGCTCTTTGTCCTCTTTTACTTTCTTGTTAGTATACCTCGACTTGTCTAAATTCCTTAATACAGAAGCAACTCTTAATTCACTAAGCTTTATTTGAATATCCTTTCGAGCCTTGTCCATCAACATGTTCCTTATTTGCAGTTGGGGCATATCCTTCATTCCATCACCCTTGCAGTTTCTAGTAGTATTAACTCTCCGTGTCTCACAACTACCCTTATGAGATCCATGCTTATCACCAATCCTTACTCCTTCATTGTTAGATGCCATTACTGCTTCTATCTCTCTTCTATCATTATCGTCTCTGTACTTATCTATGTGCCTTTTTTTTTCCTTGGCCTGTCTCTTTTTAGAATGGAATTGGAGCCAAAACAAGAGGATTGAAAAGCTGAACCAGCATCGGATGTATTAACAGCTTGAGTTTTCCCACAATAGGCCTCCTCCATCACGACAGGAGGTGTTTTATCCTCACGCCCTCTCTTCAAATTCTGAGATGATACCCTGAGACCATTAGAAACTGTGCCAGAAAATGAAGTTGGTGTTGGTACACTAGAAATACCACTTGGCAAGGAGAAAGGACTCGATCTATGCAGTCTTTTTGATAAGTTCTTGGCAGGAGTTTTCTTTATTCTTCCTGTTGAGGTGGATGAAGTATTACTGTGTATAGATGGGGTCGGTACCTCAATAGCTACAAAGAGCCTACGACAGAACATGTATGCAAGATTGCAGTTAAGATAGGCTGAAGGGTACTCAAACTGTGCCCTGCAAAAACTGCACATGGTCCAAAATGTTTGCTTTGGGGTCACAGGAGGTATATGAGGAGGATTGGGATGAGCAAAACTCCTAGGGTCTCGATCTCTCCAATTAGCACTATGGAAGGAATTATAGAAACCATTTCCACCAGCTGGTACAGAAGGCTTCCCATACGGTGTTTCTTCATGCGTGCATGATGAACTGCACTTTTGGTCATATAAGATTTTCTTTTCTTTGTCAGACAGCAAATTTCATGCTTGAGAGATTAGGTTAAAAGCCCTATCTGCACCTATTGATTTGTTTTTATCAGGATGTAGTGTTAGAACCAGTTTCCTGTAATGTCTTCGAATAGTTTCATCATCAACCATTGGGTCCACTCCAAGAACCCTATACCAATCAACTTCCCCATTTATTCTTCTTTCAGCAGAGACATAAACCTCGATAGTTGCTAGCAGTTGAGGAAGACCACCAAGATTAGCATACAAGTCTCAAGCCTTTAGGGCAAACATTTTTGCACCAGCAAGATCTATCTCTAAAATCTTCTTCTCAGCAAGCTCTTTAGCCTTCATGGCATCCTCTTTATTGCATTCCATTCTTGGTTCTTTACTTCTCTAGATGACTTCTAACTATTCCTCCTTAATTGCTCTTCCGCACTTATGCGCCAAGATGATATCAATGAGGACTTGGCAACTGATACTTACATGCACAATACAGCAAATTCACATGCACAGTAAAGGTGCTTCTCTCGATTATAGGATCCTAACAAGAGAAATAATTAGTCTGCAATGAAAGAACAACTTTGGCAGTGAAAGGAAAGAAAAAACAAACAGATAATGGCATAACGGTCTTATTATCAATGGACAAGTGAAAGTATTGATAAAATAACATATATAGCGATTAAATGAGATCCAAATTCTATTCAGTGTGATACATTAATTCTCAGATTTTACTAACACACTATTTAATTACAAAATGACTAAGTGATCCACAAATTCAATATACTTCATGTTGAGCTTCTAAATAAGAATGACATGTTTCTTGGTATGATGTTCCCAATATATTTTCATATCCTCAATCTTGACTATCTTCTCTAATTAACCTTTGGAACTGCCAAAACCTTTCTGATTAAACAAAATGATTAGTTTATGTTTCATTGGCAAAGAAAACCAGAACGCATTATAAATTTGAAAAATGCAAGACCAGACAACTATTATAATTATTGTTCTTAGTAATTGAAAAACAAAACAAGGGAGACTTCTGGTGGAAGTAAATTCTCAGAGACAGCTTTAGAAAATGAAAAACAAAAACAACCACGAAAAATGGTATAAGAACATTCACTCTCAAATTTTAAGACGCCAAACATGTATTCTAAGAGCCTTAAAATCTCTTTCTTAAAGTCGAAGTTTCAGCAGGTTTAGACAACTAGCAATAATTATACACCCAATATGCCTCAATTTTAATAGTTTTGAATTTAAACCCTAGATTCTACCCAATGACAACAAATTTCATGACGGAGAAGCAATAATAGACACCATATTCCATTATAGTTGAATGAGAATTTTGGAGTAGATACGAAAATTTACCTACAAGTAGATATTTGATTGGCAGCACCGGCATTGATGAGGCTTTAATCACAAATTGATTTCGCCCTCAGTTATAACATCCAGATCAACCACTGAAAGAAAGAATCGTGACTTCAGTTTCTCTTGGTAAAAATATTTTTCAGCTGTGTAAGAAGAGGCTACCCTGAAAATAAGCTATGAAATATTTTTCTCTTGCCTTGTATTTATAATTTTGCATAGCGGCAAGGCTTTTTTTTAATTGATTTTTTGGCTATATCCAAATACATGACTGTGGTTAGATATTTACTCAAGTTAATAGCATTTATTATATCAATAAATGATAATATCCTATATACAAGGAGGCCTTAATTATTAGAGATTCTGTATGTTCTTGTTTTTTTACCAGAATTTAATTGTTAGAGGATTTTAAAATGTACTCAATTTAAAGCTCATATTTTATTTCAAATCACATATTCTTGAATATATATGATGAGAAATTTTTGCCTAGATCCGGCACACCATATCATTTATGATCTGTTCAATAAAATTATACCAATTCAATTAAATAAAATTTTATATGCAATTATTTTAATGACTTTGTTTTTGAAATAGAGTGCATATTTAATTTCCTGTATTTACTCTCTTTATCATCATCTATGATGAAATTAATTTATATTTACAATCATTTTACATAGCATCTTTTTATTGAATAAAATATAGATAATGTAGCGAACCACGTCTTTGCAAGAATTTTTCAAAAAATAATATAAAGAAGCCATTAATATAAGTGTGTGTGAATCAAAGGCATTAAAATGTGCATATCTTGTAAACTCCCTCCCCCTAATAGTGGTGGTCTATCACAGATTCTTTGATCCAAATATGAATAAGGAGGCAAGCAAATAATGTCCCTACCTACTCCCTAGTGTACATTGCTACTAATATGGCTAAAATCTTGAGAGTATACATCAGACTCCTTGTATTGATATGCATAACCAAACAATAATTGGTCATCAATATAAATAAACTGTTTCCAATATTTCTTTTTGTTCTTTCTAACGCCTGATTCAAGAGTCCTTGTATAGATTACTCAAGTTGGATTAATAGTAAACTGCTAGGCAAGGATATCAACAAGATCATGATGCTTTTCAACATTGCAAATTCCAAGCTGGGCCTGGAAATTAGAGATACATAAATGACTCGAGACATGAAATATATTTTATTGTGACAGATAAAATCTTGTAAGGAAAAGGAATGGATTAAATCCAATTGGAGTACAGGGCACGTCGGTTGAAATATAATGCATTGCATCACTTATTAGCTCAGACTTCAGCCATCCATTAGCCAAGTTATTTGAACCCAAGCAGATTGCATCATGCTTTTGATTAAGGTGTTTTTGTAAGCAAGGCTTTTAACTAAAACGGGCATGCTAATTCAAAGTAAATGGTTAAGCTAATTATTTTGAACTGAAAAACAGAATCGTAAATATTTAATACACACACTTTTTGCAGTAAAAATTTTTTATATGGTCGCAGCCAACTTCATTTTAGTAATCAAGCTACAGCAACACCAAGATTATAGTGTTATGTCTCACTTTTTGTCCAACGCACCTTAACCGAGTAATTGATATACGCATTATATTAACGGCCCGAAAGCAATATTAAAGGTGGAAAGTTGAAATCAACCATACCCAATCCCTCGAGTTTGTCTTATTTTCCCCTTATTTCTTGTTGTCTCCATCCTCACTCTTCTGTCTCTGTCCCCTTTCCCTCCCCATTCTGCATCACATAGCCAAGGGGGATACATTGAATCAAATAATCAACTAGCAGCATTGTTCCATGCCTGAGCTGCTTTTTGTTAACAAATGCGAATGAAACGTGAGAGTTTACTGATATCATAAGCCTCCAACTAGCACTCTCATAAAAGTTTGGCATAAACTATATACTTTAAATGCCATTAATTGATGACATATTGATTTAAAGAAACTGTCACAACATAAGGACCTTGCTTGATCCTTCCCGATAACATCTCGAACACAAACAAGGCATGACAAGTTTAGTTCTCACGTCCCAGTGTTTTCAGAGAACATGTTTTTTGGAGCAGTGGAAGGTATGCTAATGATGCATGATCAGATAAGATTATTATAATTTTTAAAAGCAGACCTACAACATCTGTGACCGCATAGCGCAGTGGATTAGCGCGTCTGACTTCGGATCAGAAGGTCGTGGGTTCGACTCCCACTGTGGTCGCGATATTTTTTATCCCTAAATTTGGAGATATGGGAACAATGTATGGATTTTTTTTTTTTGGCCAAACGTAGTATTGACAAAAATCTCAAACGGTACATTGGTACTGTAGCTTTTTATTGATATCAGAAAAGGAAAATAATATTAACATTTTAGAAATTAAATCAATGGATCAGTTTCTGAAGGGCTCGGTCGATTGCGGGAGATCAAGCAAGAAAATAAAAAGGTTAGGGGCATAAACGAGATTACAAGAAAGGGAACATCTTTGAAGCGCGGAACTTTCCTTCATTATTGACACCATAAGAAAATGTGCCGACGAGTTCTATATCCACTATAATTACAGAAAAGGAATCATACATGAAAGAATGGCTTCAGAAACAAACAAAAACCATTCTCTCTCATTGCCAATGGTCGTAAGAGCCAGCAAGGGATCCTCAAGAGCGTGCCCTCCAATCTTGCGAAAAAACGAAGAAAAGAAAAGAAACACACACACAGAATCACACCACCAAAGAACATGCCCTTCAGGTATGCACACATGCGTATAACGTGAATATGGCTGATTGATTCCCCTCTCAAGTCAGAGGAGACTTTCCATAGAGTCGGGCATAGACCCTTTTAGTCCGGTGAACTACGGTCAAGCTTAACACTATTCCGAACAAGCAAGTCCCTGCCAGGATTACACACGTCAAGGAGTAGCATATGTTTCCTTCACAAACAAGCAATTCATTCCCATCCTTTGACGCAGCTTCTCGCTGCTGCTCTGCATAATAATCGTATATAGTGCTTGATACCAAGCCAAGAGAATCAAAGAGCCTGTTGGAGTTGCTAACGTGTAAAAATTGTAGATCGCCCCGAAATTCTTCAACCCAAATAGCTCCGAAGCTGTTGCTGGCCCAATGGCCCAGTGGGCCCCGTATCCAAGCCCAGTCAATATGGTCACCACGTACAATTGCCCACTCCATCCCATAGCATAATATGACACTCCCGCTATCATGACCGCCTGAACCACCGCCAACGCCGCTGGTCTTGGGTACGCAAATTTTCTGTTCAAATACATAATTCTCTCTCAATAAATCTTCTAAAATTCAAGCCTTTCAATTTTGCCAAAGCAGTGATGAGTTTGATTGAATGTGCACCTTACGATTACTTCGGAGAAGTAGCCTCCACCGACGCGACCGAGGAAGTTGAATATGCTGATCATGGATACGTATACATTTGCATTGTTATCTCCCAAAGATTGGCAAATCTGACCCATATTGTTTATAATTGTCAAGCCCGTTCCGGACCCCGTCACCAGAGCGAAGAAGACAAGCCATAGCTCTGGCTTGACCAGTGCTTGAATCAAGGTGAAGTCTTCTCCTATTTGTGGCCCATTTTTCTGCTTCACTTTCTTCATTGCTTCTGTCAATGCCTGGAAAATCTGAGCTTGCAATTGAACAATTTGCCTGGGTCCTTCCGCTGCTGAAATTCTTTTATTTTCCACTGTATCTCCTACAACAGCAGTCTCGCTCTCATCTTCTGGCATTGCTGGGTCAACAAGAAGGGTCTCTTCCTCGTCTGGAGACCTGGGTTTTGAGAAGAAAACTAATAAAATGGGAACTGTAATGGGAAGTGATATGAGAATGATGAGAATGATTCCAAATATTTTGATGGTGGTCTGGTTCAAGTCCATCACATTCTGCAGCATCAAAACTCCCATAAGATAAGAGGCCAGAAGTAGGCAGACGCAGTAGATGAACAAGAAGCCAGGACCGTCGGAGGGTCTAGCTTGTTTGTGATTATGAACGGGTCTGATGATGAAGGATAGAGACAGAGAAACCATGGAGGGTCCAACAGCTATAATGAAAATGAGAGAGGCCTGATCAGGAGCGTTGAAGATGGCAACAATCTGAGTCATAATTGCACCGCTTAACCCAACGAAGCCCTTCAATATCCCCACCACGGGTCCTCTGTTTTCCGGGAAGTTTTTTACGCACGAAACTAGCGAGGCTGTGTTGTAGTACGTGCTGGCGTTATTTCCCACAAAAATACAGATGCATAACTGCAAATTAACACCTGGTTAACACATTACTTTAATCCTACCATACTCCAAGTCAAAATCAATCCCTGACGCATAAGAATTAATGAATAATTAAGCTACTGATGTGTCAACAGATTTAGGATGAGTGATTAAGCTTCTTTTGACTGTGGGCCATAGCGGAGGAAGAAATATTTGTACTCTTAAATGAGAGAAAAAATTATGGATTTAAATCCTGAAGTAATATTGTGAATTTATGTCAAGTTTTCAATTTTAAACATTCTCTCTCTTTTTATTATTTTTTATGAACTATAAAATCTTCTCTTCTTTCCCTATTTCTTTTATAACATCTTCTCTCTTTTTCTTAATAAAGGCAAACTTAACAAAAATTCAGATCTCAACTTCAGCGAATTTAAATAAAAAAATTACAAAATTAAATGACAAATTAACTCTTAAACTATAAGTTTAAGAGATTTCAAACTCATTTTTTATGTAATATTTTACTTTAACTTTTAAAAATAATATAATTTAACTTCTACTATTAATAAAAATTAAATTTGATCAATAATTAGTTGACCAATAATGTTAAAAAATTACCTTAAAATTATAAAAAATGATCAAAAAATTACATACAAATGCTACAAAATTATGGACAATAATTCAAAAAATTACAGAAAAAGGTCAAGAAAATTTCATTGGTTTCCCCCTTACTTTTGAGGTCATTTTTTAATTAAGTAAAGGTCAAAGTTAATTTTTTGATAAGGCTTGATTCGTACCATTTTTTAAAATTAAAAGAAAACACTGTACCAAGATTAAGCTTAGGATTATAGACACTCATAAATTTATAATTTTGAAGCAAATTTACTCTTCTGCTGTTTTAAATGCCTACATCAACATGTCATCCTTGTTTAAAAAAAAAAAAGCTAATTTTTTAAAACGAACTACATTGATTGAAACAAATTATTTGGGAGAGCCAAGACCCCACTCCCATATATTTTACTTTTGTTGTGGAAAACTTGATCTACACAAATTTTACTAGAGGACAAGCTGCTCTTTTGAGGTGTAAAATGATAAATTAAATTTAAAACTGTTGTAAATAAAAGGGTTGGATCTTTTAAACTCTCTTATATATTTTTTAAAAATTTAGTATAAAAATAACCACTACACAATAAAAATAAAAGAATTAAAAAACTGAAAATCCTAGCTTGCCTTCCTCACAGTCGTTTGATTTTCGTTATTCATGTTCCTTGCATGGTTTTGAATTGAATGGTAACTTGTTATTATTGGTTTAATTTAAATTTTTTTTCATGTTTTAAATATATTAAAATTATGTTTTTAATTTATTATTTGTTACAAATAATGATGATGAAAAATGAATACATGAAAAGCTTAATATCTTTGCCACTAATGAGACTCCATAAAAAGAATAATTAGATTATATTGACATTGATGGCAATAAAAATTATTAAAATTTAGCTAGTAATGCTAGCAAAGTTTAATTGTTATCGTTGTTAATTTTGTAGTGTTACTACTTTTGATTATACTTGAATTTGTTATCATATGTATTCTCTTAAATTTATATTTATAGACTGAATGTTATACGTACTAACTTTTTAAAAATTGTAAATACTCTCTCAGGTCAAAATTGTAAAGTATTTTTAACCAAATCTCACCACCCAATAAAATAATTATTTGTATTCAAATTAACTTATTTTTTCATATTTACTTTTATTTAATAAGGTGTTTCACCTTAAAATAAATATAAAAATAGATATTTAATAAAAATTTTTTTAAAAAAGATAATAATTACATCTTGAAAGATTAAAAATATTTTATATTTTTTAATGGAGAGAGTATATTTTTTAAATTTTTAAATTAAAAAATAAAAAATATAAAAGGTCAAGGCTTCAAAGGTTAGAGTGGAGTCAAGCAAAATAAATTTTTAAAATATAATTAAATTTAACAGAATCAACCTATTTAAATCTTGACTCTTTAAAGGTGTTTCTTAGAATCAGCATAACTCTAATTCACAGCGCTATATATATATAACCGAGTCAAGCTGTCCGTTGGCATTTTCCAACATTATTATGTGAGAAAAGATCTCGCTCTAGGATTTTATTTGACGTGTCCTGTCATGTCATTGGAGTTAAAAAGTAATTAATGGGAAAAATGCAAAGGCATGATAAGCACGGGATTGATTTTTTCGCCTTTTAAAAAGCAATCAAAGGCTAATATATTATATTGTCCATTATTGGTGGAGGACAAAAGGAGTGCTGCAAACATAGGAAAGATTCAAAGAAAGTTTTGTTTTTTTGTTTTTAATTATTATTATCATTATTATTTCCTATATTCTCTTCGGCCATCCTAAACACCGCAAAAGAGGGAGCATGACATCCACCGAATATTCTAAAAACAGGAGAAATAATGAGAAAGCAGAGTTGAAACAGGTCCAGATCCTGGGTTTTGCAGAATGTAAGTTTATAGCCTTATAGGCAAGACACCCAATACCATCCTATTTGTTTTTTTCCTATAACGTCACAGACGAGTTTTGAAAGTGAAGTGACTTACCGCCCAGAGGGGCAGAGAAGGGATGTTTTGGGTGATGACAAGCCAGAGCAGGAAATAACCGGCGAAATTCTGAAGAGCCCCGACGATCAAAACTCGAGAGATGGGCGAAACCTGACTGAGTTTGCCGGCGACAAATCCTATATTGTCGCCCAAGTCCTTGGCCACGGCTAAGAGAGCCAACTGCTTCTGGTTGTAACCCATGGTGGCTTTGATGGCCGGAGATATGGCCCCAAACATGTAAGCCATCCCTGCAAATGACTGCACCCACATCGAACACACGAACACCACCCATCTCTCCCTCATCAGCCCCTTCCATTTCTCACTCTCTCTCCTCTCCATTCTCTTCTCTCTTCTTCCTTGCTTCTCTCCATAAATATAATTTATATATATATGGAGGGACACTCTTATTAAATATCTAGTGACGTGTTCCTATTCTTCTATTCAAGTTCCTTGCTTTTTTAGCTCGTCAATAAAAAAGGTTTTTTAATTACGAATAATACAATTCAGAAAAATTTAAGAGTGTTTGGAGGATGATTCTCGATGTAATTTAATTTAAGCAACGAATTATTTGGAGAATGCCTTCAATAGGAGATATTTAATGGAATTCACAACATCTTTTTCCGATGAGGTTGAGATGGAATCAGATATTTAAGGAGCTGGGAAATATCACGAGTTTGGTCTTTACATAGCCTTTCCGTAACAATCAAGAACGATATCCATGTCCCGGCAGAATCTTTATGAAGGAGAACCACAAATCCAAAGTTCCATACTGCCTTATCAAAAAAGCAACAACAATGTTGACATGCCTTCGAAACTAGTCCATAAGCTCCTATCTTATTTTCCTTTTTTTTTTTTTTAAATCAACGGTCCTTTAAAAGCAACAAAACAGCTCGTGAACCATGAAACATACCATGACCGTGAAGTCTCGGTCGAAACTAACTGCTTGCTGCGATGGCAGACAAGAACCAGAATGGATTTCACAGTGAATCTATTGGTGGCATCGTGCTATGTCCTGTTGAACTGAGCTGTGATATTTCTATAGCACCCTGTAGAATTTTATTGACTTAAGCACGACGCAGGAAAAGATGGTGCAAACAAAAAGGAAAATGAACGAGAAGAAAAAAAGGCAGGTTAATGACTGTGGGATTGAATAAAGGTAGAGGACTCATTCCAATACAAAATGTAGAAACAGAGCCATTTGGCAACACGTCAAGTCATTATCAGAGAGCTAATCCAGCAACAAGAAGCGCCATTATTCCTCGGAATCAAAACCAGGAGCATACCAGCCTAACTGATCCCTAATTTGCTCGAGTCTTGCTTCTTGACCCTTGGAATCTCCAAAAGCCGTAGTGAAAGGATACACGTAAGTTACTTTTGTAGCCATACACCTGTAAGTAACCACATCTCCTTTCACTAGAAACTCAAGCACGTCTCTGCCAAATCCCCCATCAACCTCAGCTTGTAAATATCTCCCTGCACGTTCACTTTATTATCAGTGAAGTTATCACTTCAAAGTAGGTTGCCATATTATTATCCTGCAAACCCCTCATTTTCATAATACAAAACTACGACTGTAAGACCTGAACTCTATACTAGTTTCTTCCTCATTCCAGTATCGCATTCTGCTGGACAACAGGGTTTCTTCTGCTTGTTCTTTGGGCTTAATGCCACATTTATTTGCTGTTTTTCCATAATCTTGTACGTAAAGCATTTGTTGTTGATCAGATTCCAAAAACTAGGGGTTAGCATTACCGTACGGAGTGTCTTCCACAGGCTGTAATTTCACATTTTTCTGGGTCTTTTGGATTGCTTCGCTCAATTTCTGGAGAAGACAAAAAGGGAAAATGGGAACAACTGTTACCACTTACCAATCAGGAATGCTGACTAACATAATCCAAATGAAAACATGAATAGATTGAGAAATTGGAAATATTGAACAGTCTTGAAGTGACCTGAATTACATCATCCGACGAATTTTCGGGAATCACCCAAGGAAATGCAAACGATGATGACCTGGGGTTTGTGGATATACAGCCCGGATTGACCGAAGGGCAAGGTAAAATTTTTCTGCCAGCATAAGAACACCAAGAAAGATTGAAAATAAACCAACAAGTAAAGAAAAATGAGTATCGGGTTGAAAATTGACATACCCATTTTCTAGTCCAAGCTGCAAGTTCTTAGATTGAGAAAAGGGAGTGGTGAGAGAGATGGGAGGAGGGGACTGAGAATTGAGGGAAGGGATAGCGGAAGCAGGTAGTGGAGAAGTGAAGGATGCAGCGAGAACCAAAGAGAGTAGGATGGGCGTAGGGTTTTGATTGTGGGATTTCAGAATCGGAGTCGGTAGTTGCAGAGTAGAGATTGTGGGTGAAGAAGGAAGGATTGGGAGAAGAAGACGGCCAATGAAGCTCATGCTTTCTGGGCTCCCTTATCCATTTCAGTTGTTTTGCTATTCCCATTCTCCTTTCTACCTTACAAACATTATCATTTCTGTTTTCCGAACCCAGGGTCAAAAGAAGTTACTCCAACCTCAAGTTACTCATGGATAATAAGTTTTCTAAAATTATGATAGAATAATGATAGATTTAATTAACTCAAGTGCGTTATTCTTCTAGCAGGTTGAAGGGACTGGTGGCTTAGATTTAGGTGTGATGAAATTCATATATTATTGTGCTTTTACCAACAGTGCATACCAGGTATACTATGTAAATATTTCTATGTTTATTTGTAATTGGACATTTATCACAAGAATTAATTTTAAAATCCTTTAACATAATAAAATTTGCATTATCTCAAATTTTCCTTAAAGAAATTCTCTCTATATATATACATATACTTCCTTTATTAAAAAATATAAAATATTTTTTAAGAAGTTAAATATTAAAAGATGTAAAATATTTTTAATATTTTAATTTATAATTATAGCTTTTTTTTAAATGCACCTATTAAAAAATAACTTTGTCTTCATTTTAGAATAAAACACTTTATTACATAAGAGTAAATATATAAAGATAGTATTAGTTTAAAAACAAGTAACTACTTCATCGAAGCAAAAATCGATTAAAAATACCTTACATTTTAAAATGAAAGGAGTATATTACTATAATGTAATACTCCTCTAGTCTTCTTTATATGTTATTTCTACAAATTTCATTAATATCAATGTAAAAAAATAATAGGAATAAAAGTGTATAAATTTTTAAACATGCCTTTATATAACATATCTAAAAAGTGATATCATATTATTTTTCTTCATGAAAGATAATTTTAAAAATATATTTTACATATTATTTTAAAAGCTACACTTTGACTTATAAATGAAATTAAATAAATTTTAACTAAAGTATATATTTAATTTTTTAACTTTATAAAATATTTTATTTAATCTCTTAATTTTATAAAATATTTTTTGATCCTAACCCTAATGTTGTTAGTTTTATTTTTATAAATTTTTACATTAAACTTTTAAATATTGATAAAATATTATTAAATATTGACATATTAAATTTATTTTTTTAAAATAATAATGATTAATATAAAAAATAATCATTTAAAATTAATTATATTAAGATTAAAAGATTAAAATAATATTTTATAAAATTAAAAAAGTACTTTATAAAATTAAGGAATAAAATTAAAATTTTATATAAAATTTAAACATTAAAAATATATTTTAATTTTAATTTTTTTTAAAATGTGCCTTGTAAAATAAGACTGTAAGGAGTATGATGACAGGAAAAGGTGAATGAAGTGGTGAATTTTTTCCCAATATCCTCAATCAATCACTGAAGTACTTGGCCATGGAAAAAGCACCTCACAGAAGATTAATAACCGAACGGTTAGGTGTGGAGTCAACGGATTTATCCGCAGGCTCGCGACTCGTCCTATCCAATCCAGCTATTGACATCTATCTACTCTCTCTTTGTTTATTTTTGAATAGTTAGGGTTTCAAAGATTTTTCCCTCTCCAATCTCCAGATTAAGCCACAGGTCTACCATAATCGCACCTGCTTCTGTTTTTCTCAAGGATCAGACATAAATTTGATCTGAATTTCAACAATCTTACTGGATCACTGGTTCCTAGCTGTTTGGATATGGAAGAACATTCCGTAAATGGCATGATGTCCGGCCCCAAAACGACGCAAGAGCTGGCCATGGAGGGCCAGAAGTATCTGGAAGAAACCATAGAGTTCGCTTTCCAGATCCTTTCTTCCATGAACGACGAGCTCTGCAACCCTTCCTTGTGGTCTACATTTCCCATGTCAGCGGCATCCGCTAATTTGTTTCCTAACGGGCCTTCCTCCCACTCTTCTAGCGGCGCCGTTAGTAGTGATGCCACTTCCGATAACTCCATCCACCACGCGGAGAGTAGCGTTGGTGCCGGTACTGGAGGTGCTCTTGAAGAAGCTCGGTTTCGTTACAAGAATTCCGTCGCCGCACTTCGTTCCATTCTCACTGCAATTCCCAACTCTCAGAGCGTAATGTCTTCATCTGTTTTATCTTTTCTTAATTTTTCTGCCCTATTCTCATTTTCATATTTGGGAAGCGTGATTAATAATGTAATAAAACTCTCTTGTCTAACGTATCTTGTAAATCATTGGCATCTGTGTTTCTTTGTATGAAAATTATTATGAGTGAATTGATGGAATTTGCATGTCCTCGAAGTTGAAGCTATTCACTTTATTAAACTGAATCTGCGCTAAGACATTCAGTAAATTGATTTTCTGCGCTCTGCGCGCACCAAAAAAAAAAAAAAATTGTTTGAGGAATTTGGATTGATTTTGCTTGAGATGATGCAACCAGTCAAAATTATGGTCACTACGTTGTTTCTCTTATTGGCAGCCATACTTTATTTTTGGTTCTCTGTTTGTTTTATTGTACTGCCTCTAAATTCGTACGCGTGATGTGAGAATGAGCTTTTGAACCACTTTAGTGTCTAGTGAGGCTTTCGTTTTTCCCAGTGAAACTAATTCGGCTCTTTCAATTGCAACAGGCTAAAGCATTTGATAGTGGTTCAGCTGCTAGCCCTGCGGATGAAACTGACATTGAGAAGTTGGAAGAACGAGCCTTGCGGTTAAGAAAGGTAACTTTTGTGATAAGGTTTTAATTAATGGTTTAAACCTCAACCTCTATGTTCATGTTCTTATGAAAAGGCCTAAACGGAGGAATTGGCGTTTTGGCCTTGGGACCCAGGTTTTAGTTTATTGAAATTTGAAAATAACTTGATTTTTGTAAAATCCTGTTCGCAAATGGCTAGTATCAATAAAATTTTATTTTGGGTCGTAAGCTATTTCTGAAATAGTTTAATTTTACCTAAGGATTTTACTGCTCTTGAATGAGTCAAAAGTTGTTGTGTTCAGCTTCCACTAAACTTCTGTTAATAAATATAGGAGCTTGCCAACAAGAACATCCACCTGAAGGCTCTTATAGATCAGATGCGGGATCTTATCACTGATATATCCACATGGCAAAGTCCTTGCTCAATCTAAAATTGAATGAGAACACTTCGATTATGGGGTAGTGAGGCCTGGTAACAGAAACCTGGATATGGAGTGTTGTAAATGGCAACTATGCTTCCTAGTATCTTCAATTTAGCCTTATCAATAGCTTAAAGTCTACCTTCCTGAAACTAGTTTGAGAAGTGAGCATGCATTGACTTGTAAATGTTCATCGCTTTATGAATTGTATCTTTACTAACCGCATCATGTAATCCTTCATTCAAATAACATTAACACATGCCGTTTTCCTTAGTAGGGAAATTGTAGTATCAGGGATAAGACTGGTCTCGATAATCTTTTCCACATTTTCCTGACAATTGGTAAATTCAAGTTACGTCCACGCATGCTATAGCCGATTGTGCAACCTTCTAGAACTGCTAATTGTCAGTCTTTAATCCGTTTGTAACATGTCAGACTCAATCATCGCCAAAATAGTTTGCAGTCTCGGATTCCAAGGCTCAGTTGTAGGTGGCTAATCAAGAGTTGTTCTGTCTTTGCTGCAAATAGGCAAATACCGCTCAAGCTTCAATTATCATTTCACTCAAATGGGTCTAACAAATGTCTTGCAAGACAGTTTATCCCTCACATTTGCGAAACAATAAACAAAGTTAAAGCTAATCATTGTGCGTAATCTATTAGGTTACTCTTTTGAGAGTAAAGACGGATGCAAGGACGCAAGATTCTAATTCATGATAATAACAATATGGCAAAACCAAATACTAAGAATGTCATCAACAAAAAGATATTTCAAAATCTGCATCCATTAGGCAAACTAAATGTATAAACATATTCTGTAGTAGCTAGCTCACAGCACAAGGTAAACTCTAGTTATTTTCAATTAATGTTGTCCAATGAAATTTATCCCTTTAATGCTTAAGAGAATTATCGAATGGGATTTATTAATGAATACTATATCTAAAGAATTGGTTATCAACATTACACAGACGTCATGTGATACATTAAGCTCATCTCACTCAGTGAAATAAAACTTAGCGTTTTTATTGATGTCGTTATTTTTCTACCATAATATGTTTATTTATTTTAAATTTTTAATAGTATAAATCAAACCTTAGAGCAGTATTGAAATTCCGTCAATGTAAACAAAGCATGGGTACTCCATGTGTTACATTGCTAAGATACCAAAATAAACCTTGGAAATTGGATTCAATGCAGGGGTTAAAATACGCATTCATCTCAATTACTCTTTACAATCTCATTTATAAGTTACATTTTAAAAAATTTATTTGGTCTCATTTATAAGCCACAATGCAACTTTTTAGATAATATTTAAAAGCATTTTTAAAATTATTCTTTATGAAAGAAAAAAATAACATGACATCACTTTTTAGATTTGTTATATAAGGACATATTTAAAATTTAATAGACTTTTATTCTTTGTATTTTTTTTTATATTGATATTGATGAGATTAATAAAAATGACTTATAAAAAAGATCGAAAAACAATAATTCAACTTCTTAAGTAGTAACTTTAAAAACAATGACAAAGGTGTTTCATTACTTGACATGCCTAACTTCTTACCTGTTGAACATCTATGACACCATTTTTAATTACCAACTCATTCACGGACACACATATGTAGTGAACAATTCATTAATTATTTCCAATTTGTATGGACCTGTACATTGCATGAGTTGAAATATCTAGTTAAATACAATACAAAGCAATCATTGAATACCACATTTCAGTTGTGAATTGAGGATCTAGTTGTGAGGGACGATCTCATGTCTACAATGGCAGAGTCAGCAGCACCTAAATTGATGGCCTCTTTGCTGGCTCTCGTGAATCTTGAAACCGCTCCCCTAACATAGTCATGAGCTTCCTTCACACTCATCTTGTTGCTCATCTCGTTTGGGAAACTGCTTAAGAAGTGGTCGCCGTTTAGAACAGCAGCCAATTGGACCACCTCACTCTGAAACTCCGACAGCCCACCCTCCTCTTTTGCTTCGCTGCTCCTTAGAGCCTTCACCTCCGGCAATGTCACTAGGTCACACATTTCAACCTGTTATTCACTTCTCCTAGAATTTGGAAACCTCTCTAGCCTCTCAATAAATGAAGAAGTTTAGATGAAAGTGGGGAATAGATATACCTGGGCAATCTGTTCTGGGTGAAGTTAAGTCCCCGACAACGTGCTCAAACGTGCCGGCCCAAGCGTCTCTGTGAGTCAAGAAGTTAGATGACAGGTTGAACATCTTTTTTATGGTAGCTGGGATGGAAGAGTGCTCAAATTCCGAGTTCTCAGAAGGTCCTTTGGGACTGCTTATCACTGTAAAGCAACCAAATGAAAACAACAAGGCAAGAGGTTGAGAATGCAAACATAAAAGCCCAAATGATTCACTGCTTAGCACTTGCTACGTGCTCCACTCAGAAGTCAAAACATACATGACAAAGTAAAGGTATCGACTATCAGCTAACACAAAGATGAAAAAATAATGATCCTCTAAAACTGAAGTTAGTCCAGTAGAATAAAAAGATGAGACTGTCTTCCCAATACAAGTTTAGCCACTGCTAAACTGTGAAGAGTAGAAGATGACAAAGGATAATAGGAATGAGGAAGAAAGCTTACCAGTCCCTTTCTTGATCCAAGGAGAAACCATAATAGTTGGCACCCGAACCCCTAATCTATCAAACTTGAAGAAGTACGGAGCAGGTCCTGTGTTCCCATCTGGACTTGGAATATTAACAAAAGGAGTCTTCACATGATCGTAAAACCCACCATGCTCATCGTATGTAATCACCAGAAGAGTCTGGTTCCACTGAGGGCTTGCTCTTAGTGTCTCGTACACTTCCTTAACCAGCTTTTGTCCATTTGCCACATCATGGGATGGATGGTCATCATTTGCAGGTAACCCCTTTAAATCAAAGTACCTAGGCTCAATTACAGTCAATGGTGGAAGCTTCCCTTGCTTGGCATCTTTCTTGAACTTCAAATCATACTGATGGAACTTGAATATGTATTTCAGCTTCCTTAAATTTCTGTAGAACAAGGTTGTTGGAATGTTCTGGTAATAGATTCCGAAGTCCAATTTATTCTGGTGTAGAGAGTCAAAGATGGTCTTCTGAGGATACCCTTTAGCCAATTGCTTCTTAATATGGCTTGTTGAACCGTGAGAAGTAGCAGAGTACACAAAAAGCCTATTGGGTTGGGTTGGACCTGGAATTGAAGAAAACCACCTATCAAATACTGCAAATTCACGAACCAGAGCGGCGTAAACGGGCACGGATTCGGGTCGAAATCCTTTCATGACTGTCTCAGAGAGGTTGGGAGACATTGAGGATGCTTGTTCGACAAATCCAGACATGGAAGGAATGGGACTAGAGCCGAACACTTGCTGTTCCACAGCTTCAAACGAATGACCCGGATCCGGATCCACAAACTCTGCATCATCTGTGAAACAAATGGAATCATCACTCGGGTTTTTGGTAGAAACCGGGTTGCATTCTCGTCCGGTGACTCCGTCGATCAATGGGTTGATGCCTTTCTTCATCCATCCCAACATGTGATCGAAGGACCGGTTTTCCATGACCAGAACTACGATGGTTTTGATGGGTTGCGAAGCTGCAACATGGCACGATTGCAACACACATGACAGGACGAGAAAGCACAAGAAAACCGAGGAGGGGAAATGTGGTGATCGGGGTTTGGTTCTTCCACTCATTCTTGCTCGCAAAAATGGTGTTTTTAGGAAAGTGGGTTTTCCTCTCTGCAATGTTCAATTCCGGAAGTAGTTCTCTGGACAAATAGGAGCTGCTTATCCAATCACCCCGAGCCCGAGATGCTGTCTACTAGATCAATGTGTTCGAACGTAGAGAGCAGAGACTAGATTAAAAGCATCTGGTTTCGTGGGAAATGGGATTAGTGTGCTTTAGCTTAGCCTTGATGGCGCCTACAGACAAAGGTGAAGCGATTGATTTTAAGTGTCTTTTGGCCCCCAGATTTCACTCTTACGTGGCTAAAGTCAATCCGCGTAGTGGAATCACATAAACATGTGAACTATGAAGGAGACAATGTTGGCTTTTTATTTTATCTTTCGCTGAGAATCTCTTTTCTAAAAGACAAAAAAGGAGCAACGAAGGTCGAAGGACCAGATTATGAATAAAAATATTGGTAGGTGAATTTGTTTTTAATAAAAAAATAAATAGTATAGGTGTGGTATGAGTTGGCTTCACAAGACGAAAAGAACAGAATTTGAGGGAGATTCTGAGTACATTTTGGGAGGAATCGATTTGAAGGACGTGAATCTCAAGTTAAATTATAAGGATGAAAGCATTTCTCAGGGCTGGCATTATCTGGATGTTGGGGGGACCCTTGACTCTAGACTGTGTTAATATGCTTGTAATTATAATATAATAATACAATAATTCTGGAGGCTCTGGAAAGCGGAACTGCTAAATGAGCGCGTTTTGAGGGTGATCAGTAATTGAAAGCCGATCTTCACTCAGATTGGCTGCTATTCAATAAACAACGATGCACGCGAAACGCTTATTCAATATATAAAGGACATATTAACTATGAATGAATGAGTGTATATATAACACTGGGCCAGATATATTCTAGATTCATTTATCCTTAATTATAATTTAGTTTGTTTTGTTAAATGAAATACATCCAAGAATCTATCATAGATGGAAACTAATAATATCATGCGGTGAAGTCCATGGAGGACAACTTGTTGACAAACTTGGTCCTTCCCAAATTCAGCCACCAAACTACATCCTGTCGGTGCTCTTCCTGGTCAAAATATTACTGTGAACAAAAAATTATTACAAAAAGAGTGATAGTAATGAATGGCTGGGACTTGCGATCATAAATCTAACTTTATTTGTTTTACTCTTTGCTTGGATGGGGGAAAAAAGGGAAGACTGTAAAAAATAGTAGGAAAAACACTTTAAAAAAAATATTATCTCCTTTTTATTTTCACTCCCCTCCGAAACAGAGCCAAGAAAAGCTAAGTTGACAGCTTTAACCATGGAGCATCATTATTTCGGCTACCTTTTGTGATTTATTTCCTCTGTCTTGATTTATAAAATATTTTAAAATAAGATTATACTTATTAATAAAATTTATTAACTATATTTTATAAATGACAATCTCATTTTTTTTAGGACAATAATATAAATATTCAAAAAATATCTTTCAATTAATATTTCATTTATAAATAAATATTAAAGAGGAAGAATATAAAAAAAATAAGAATATTGAAAAAATATTATTAATAAAATTTTATTCTTTTATATTTTAAAATACCGAATCTTGTCTAAAGTATCTTGAAAGAGAGGCAGTAAATGTTACATAGAAGAAAGAAGAAGCCACAAGAGCTTATCCGCCTGGCCGAAGACTCTGCTACGATCACGATGAAGCAACTCTGTATCCCCATTGACTGGGACCAAGTGTGCAGTGCAGGGGATCCAAGGTTGTGATAGCTATTCCGAGAATTCTGATGTAGGTAGAGGAATCTGTGAAGTCTGGGATTGGTGGACCAAAAGACTTTTTTGGTGGAGTGAGGAGCAGTCCAAATATCATCTTAGAAAAGGCTAGATTCGTTGCGTTAATGGTTAAGGCTCTAGTTTAAAAGATTCAAAAAAGTGAGGTAAGGACTGTTACAGTGGAAGCTGAGAAGTGCCAGATACAGAGTGAAAGTGGAGAAACAGAAATGTTAGTCACAAGATTGGGGGAACGTGGACCAGAAGTGGCACATGAAGTTGTGCTTTTAGTTTGGTGGGTGCGAACCCGAAATAGATTCTCCACCAGTAGTCATTATTCAGAAGCTATTAGTTTCATTAATAGGCATCCTCAACTCAAACTGACCACCCCATTTTCTAATGTTTTGAGTTACTCCCTTCATTTCTTAAATATATAAAAAGAAATTAACTACTTCATACATTTTAAGAAAGTTAATTAAATATAATAATTATATCTAAAAATAAAAAATATATTAAATTATCCATATAACTAATGAAACAAATAAGTATTAACTTCATGAGAAACAATTTGAAAAAAAATATAATAAGTGCTTTCTAAATTTGTAATTTTGTTTATAAAGAAAAATATAATAGTTTCTTTTACATTTAAAAACAGAGTAATAGCTAGAAATATCATTTGTACAGATTGGGATATTAGACTAACTTTTGTTTTTATGAAGGCTAATCAATGTGCTAATTTACTTGTTAAAGTAGCCATGATTTAGAGGCTGATTACTATTCCTTCCATCAACACCACCTTATTATATTAGGGTGATTAAGAGCACTTAACTCATTAAATATACTATATAAATTTATTTTTTTAAAAAATAATAATATAAACTTTTAAAAATATCCTTCATTAATATATACTTCATTATGAAAGAATACTACAAGGAGAATATAATGAGAACAGTAATATTAAAAAAATATTATTAATAAATTTTTTTTTAAAGTATCTTAATTTTAAAATGCCAAATCTTTTTGATGTGTATTATAATTTGGGAGAAGGGGTGACATATAATGTCATGATCTATAAATAAAAAAACTGTGATGACTGCTAAAAGTCAACCCCTCCTCTGCAAGAAGGCCTCCCCTCGGACCCAAGAACATGAGCCAGACAAAAAAAGAAAAGAAAAGAAAAAGGAGGCCCGGCAGGGTCTTTACGCCTGTGAGGAACAAAGAAACTAACTACATATGCCTCACACGAGTCCACAATCCTAAACTGACCGAGAAGCCCTTGAGAAGATTGACAACTGCCTTTTTAAAATAGAAAAACCTCAATTTTAAAATGTAATATAAAGATCATTTATCCTTGACAAGATGAAGACGCCAGTATGAATGACGCATTGAGTTCCGGACCGTATAGTGCAGTGATACACTGTAACTTTTGTCATACAAGAACCGCATGTACAAGAACTAACACCCTGGCAATAGGCCAATCATCGAAAAAGAATGGCAAAATGCCAGCATGTTAACATAGCCTTTGTATGTTAGAAATATTTTAAACTTCCTTGTATTGATTGGCTGTATATTCTCTTTGTTTTCTCTGAGATTTAGTCTCCATAAGAATTTTTTGCACGAGTTTGAACCTCAGTTTGGAGTCAAAAAGTGCCACTGCTGCTGTCGTTTAAGCTCGCTTCAAGTACGTGAACAAGCATAAGACAGCAAGAATTGCAGCTCCAGCAGTTACGGCACCATATGCTGAGTTCCATCTATCTGAATGAGCATAATCCAAGCTTCCCGCGCTGTTTTTTCTCCCACCACGTCCTACTTCTGAATAGTCTAAATGCAACATCAAGGCCTACAAAATTCATAACTCAAAGAGTCAGATTACTGGTTTTTCTATTCCATTCTGAAACTTCTCAGAATCCTTTAATCTTTCCTGCTTTAAATAAAAATTTTGTAGCGTGCCTCAGAGCATAAACAAATACCGTACCTTTAGACCTGCCATCCTTGCATGGTCCACAGCTGAAGCAAGATCATTGTCTGAAGCCATTACAATGTGATCATGATCTTCATCCTCATACTATAAACAATAAATTTGACCAGCTTGGGTTAAAATAGCAGAAGAATTGAGTCAAGCTGGAGAAAATACAACTTCTTGAAGAAGCATACCAGAATTACGGGCATGTTGTATGGGTCAACGTCATTGACTCTCTGGATGATTGAACTCATAACCTCTACCAAGCTCAGAGTATCTGAAGTTGCAACCAACAACATCAAAATCATTCAACCCCTACCTTTTTACTGATTCGGAGTAAAATTTTGACATGGAATCCAGTCGTATGGTAGCCCCCTTTGCTCATAACTCAAAAACACATAAAGAAGTGTTCGCTTAGCACTACAGTCCTGCTCCAGCTGATGCAGGGCAACATTGAATAAAAATATAATGACATGCAGATTAACTCATCAACATGAACCCTGTCATGTGCAAGTGAACAGCGAAGGCCAATACCATCATCTGCATGCTGTCAGAGATAAGTAGCATACCGCATGTAAATCTATGCTTTCGGCCTCTTTTATCTTGAAGTTTGAAGGAAAACGCATTTGGCATCCTAGTCGAAGGTTGACCAGTAGATCTCCCAGTTTCTCCGACCTCAAAAGTCATCTTCAAAGAACTGCCGCTGGTATGTCATGAATAATGCATGAGTACACTAATCAATTGAGATTATTTCTACCAACAACATCAATGCATATATAAAACCTTCGCGACTCATCATCACCATCATCAATAGTCGAAGTTAAGGCCATGGTCGACTCCCAAAAGTTTTGAATTATTGAGCTAGCTGCTTCGTTGTTTAAGTTGGCAGTATTTCCAACCTGATTAGTATGAGAAAACGAAACAATCAATACGAATTTGTCAATATATTACATTTAGATCTCAGAAAAACAGATTTGGCATCACAGCGTCTGTAAATTCAACCTTTGACTGTTGACAGAATAGTTTAGTTAGGAAGCTATAGTCATTCAGCATGTTGATTCTTCAGCAGATATCTCAACCAAAGCTGTCCTAAGCTCCCAACTTAATTTCTTAACCCTTTTCCACTCCTATGCATTGAGCACTTGTTGTTTTTTTGGGGGGGGGGGGGGGACTCATTCCCTCATTTATTGAGTTTTCTGTTCCTCCCCCTATCCGAATCATTTGTTATTGTACATCAACCTTAATCCCAATCCAGTTGGCAGCTAATACATTCTTTTTTGGGAAAAGTAATTAAATAATATATATAAATATATATATCTCCTATAACGACGTGTCTACAAATGTAACATCAAGAAAAAAACAACACATGCATGGTCTTACATATCTCAACAACGGTCGGAGAGAAAAAAAGATACAAGATCCAAAATCAACGTCTTAATGAGAAAAAAGCCTCGTGTGTAGTCAGGACTCTGATGGTCATGAAAGGGAAACTGATGGAGCATAGGAAGAGAAGCTAGGGTTTAGGAGAAATGTGATAGTGTAAGACTTACGCTAAGTATAATAAATTCTAAATTATTTATTTAGTGCATATTAAAACTTCATTTCAAACTTTCTTTAGTTTCAGTTCAGTATTATCCAATGTTTATTAGACTTGTTTCATTATTAAATTCTAAATAATGCTCTCACTAGTTGTGTCAATTCTAAGAGATAAGTTGAAGTTAATTTATCTTATCGGTTTTATCTCCCAACTTCATCGCTCCCCCTAATTGTCTCGTATCTCCTCTTCTTCCTTCCTTTACCTCCATTCTCTCTACTGTTCTGAATCAGAAACAGGTTGTAGAACTTCAAAACTCTTTCCAGCATCCTTCATGTCTTAGTAGATGACTAGCGGTGGATGTTGAAGGAAGGAAAGAAGTTCGGAATTAAGTAAAGTAAAAAATTGCGCTTTCATTTACATTTTGTTCCCATTAGAGAAAAGGAAAAGAAGGGGAAAAATAAATATCATCTTCTGCATGAAACATTAGTTCCTTTCTCTTCTTTAAGTCCAGTTTTGTAAGCTATGTAATGAAACAAGGATAATACCAATTACTCAACTTGGAAGGTTAAACATTTCTGGTGGTTAAAACACCAAGCTCTCATGAGTAGCATTATTTTGTCAGACTTATGATCGGAAAGCAGACTGCTTATAGTAAAGTACCCATACAAGTTGAGACGACACTTAAAACTTACCAGTTTAGAAGAGGAAACCCGAAAATTTATCTTATATTAGCGAACTGAAAAAATCAATGAGTATAAAATTCACAACTTAAGCTGACAGGAGTGTGGTGCAAACTTCACACATATCGAGCTATATATATATATATATATATATATCCCATTTCAAGCAACTTGGACTTCACAGACACTCGTAGTAGTTAGGAGCAGTGTTTATAGTGGAGGCTAACACATGACTTACCGTTGCAATGGCAAAATGAGTAATATGAAGCGCATCGACCACAGCAATTATACTGCCATCTGTTTTCAACCGACCTAATCAGAAATCGTATCAAAACTTAAAGCCTCCCCCCAATATGTTACTACATTACCTCTATCAAGCACGGGAAGGTGTAAAACTTTTCCATCATGCATAGTGCGAAGTGCATCAACAATTGGTGTATCGACTGTTGCACATTCTGGATTTGGGGTCATGACCTGTAGATTTTGTCGTATAGGCATTAAAAAGGAGAGAAAGGAAGACAAGAAAAGGGTAAACACCCAGAATGGCCACTTTTTCTTCTATCACGCAGCAAGAAATACATTGTCCTAAATACTACAAGTTGTTTCATCATCTAACAGTGGAAAATGCTAGCAAAATAAATTATCTCAAGAAATTACACATATGAAAAGAAAAAAGTACCGTTTCAACAAGAGTTGACTCGGGGGGGAGATTCTGTGCAATTACCCGCATCAAGATATCCTTCGAGCTGGAATTTTGCATAGATGATATCCCAATAGAATTAAACAAACGATGCATAATGACAATAAAAATCTCCAATTGTCAATTTCATAAACCGGAATTAAAAGTCTAACTAAAGCTACTTGAGTAAAATAAAAAGAAAAGGGGACAGATGGTAATTTCACTCGAAACATAATTACGTGAGGATTCCACGAGGTTTGTTGTCAACCATTACAATTGCAGCGCTTGCACCGTGTTCAAGCATCTTCTTTGTTGTCGTCGAAACTGATTCCGTTGGTGAAACTCTTACGAGCCTGAAAAGTGTTACTATCGGTTGGAAGAACTAGGATGGTATTCCAAGCATGCACACATGTCATTGAACATAAGTTTCTCTTCAATCCAAATAAAAGAAGGTATTACCTACTTTGGAAACTCAGGAATGATTGTAGACAATGAAGGTCTGAATATTTTCTCCTTAAGAGTCTCAAGGAATGCATTGGAGCCTGCACAATAAGCAAATTAACATAAACAAAATATAGTGCTCAGTTTAATGAGATGCCAAAACTTTACTGCAAATTGCAAAAGTATGCCCAGAATAAAAATGCAAGAGCTTGGCAAACCAACCAGAAGCCGGTGTTCCCCATTGTTTTTCGATACCTTCAACAGCTGCTGCGATTGCTTTTCCTTTCTCGGATGCCCTTTCCAATCGAGCGATAGCATCATACAAACATTTTGCAATGTCAAGTAAAGCAATGACTTCTCCATTGTTCACCACAGGTAAATGCCTGAATCGTCCTGTGAAATGTATCAGCCTTATATTCAAAAACCAAGAAACAGAATAGCAAGTAGCATTTAAAGGCGTATGAGCCTCCCTGGATAAAACCAACCTTGCACCATCTTTTGAAGGGCTTCCACAGCAAGAGTATCAGCGAGGACAAATGTTGGGTTCTTGGTCATAACCTTGGAAACAGGTGTGTCTTCAAGATTAATCTCCCGAGCAATAACTCTTTTTGCTATATCCTTTAACAACCAAAAAAAAAAAGTCATGCGCGTTCAAGCAAATAGATACAAACTTTTCTTGTTCCGAGGGCAAGATCATACCGTGTCCGTGAGAATTCCACAAAGTAAAGCATTAGAATCTGTTAGTAATAGAGCAACAACTTTACGGGCGGCCATCAGACGGCAAGCTTCATATACAGATGTTGTTTCAGGTACTGTCAAGGCCTTTGAAAGCCTAAGTGATTTTACTGTTCTCTCTCCCGTTAATCCCCTAATCCAAGTCCAAAACAATCAACGGTATCATCGCATTATTTAAATTCTCTAAATGAATGTTTTCGTTTTACCAACTCCTATGATTATGGGACTCTTTCCAAAGTGAAGAGCGCTCAAGCATCTCTGCTCAAGCTTCTAGACAAAACGAATTTGCCATTGTCTTTCATCTCTGATTAGCTTTGGATTAGATAGCATCGCACGATCTTTTCTCACTATCACTGATCATTCACCCAAATTCTTTAATGGGACAGAGGACTAAAAAAAAGGCAGAAGTACATCACAAATCTCTAGATATTTATGTAAAGCACCTCTAAATCAAGAGTCTTAATAATTAGTATGTAATCCCTTCTAGATAAGATTTCTTCACGCATACACACACCCAAGCATCGTATGGCAATGCAGTGAGACTCACAGATTTCGATGACAAGAAAATAACGATTAGAGTCTGATCCAGAAGAAGTACAACATCAAGAACCTTCATTCATATCATTGTAAACTAATCGATTGGACAAGCTGTACAATCACATTTGTCTAACACTGATATCATGAAAATACCGACCGACCTTCACAATTACGGCATACGCTAAACAGCTGTTTCTATATCTGATTAGTGCAAAGTCACAAGATTAGTGCAAAGTCACAAGTTATAACTGATAGCAGAGAATGGCTATAATCATGATATCGGAATGTCACAATTTATGTTTTCCCTTTAGCATTGAAAAAAACAGAACAGAGGATGATGAAAGCGACATACGTTAATTTGAAAATTTGATGAAAAAGGATTTCGATCCTGATACATAGAGGGGTAACAATAGGATTGATTCAACGAGGACCATCTCTTCGAAGAAGCACGAGCATAGACTACGTACAGAGACATCCATATGCAGTAATAAAATACGGTAGGTCTTTAGAATAGCAAAATAAAACTGAGCAACGTACTTTGGCGGGCGCGAAGACGAAATAGATTTTCGAGCAAGGGATTCAGGAAATCCATTCTCATGGGGTTTCTTCTTTGCCAGCCCAATGTTCGGTGTAGAGTTATTCCTTCGAAGAGGACTTCCTAGAGTGGACATCTTTGCCAACTAATCAATACAATCCGGTCCAGTAGCTGCAACCAAAGCAATATTACAACGTAAAACATCTTTCTCCTTTCGTTTTCGTCCAACGAAGCCCAAAAAACCGAATCCTCGAGGGGAAGGGAAAAAGGAACGGTGTTCTCCCATAAATCCGGTTTTATGATCTCGCTACATTTCCTTCTTGATCAAACTGAGGCGCGATTATTATTAATAACATTCCAAGTTATAGTCAAATTTGAAAAATTACCTAAAAACTACGATACCGAGTTCATGCACGAGAAGAATGATATTGCGACTTCGAAAGCGCAAAATTCGTCCGGGAAATGGCACTGTAGTGATCGGTACTCTTGTCGCCCGGAAAGGCTCACGGACGAGCCGGCGACCGGGAAAGATGATAGGGAGCGAGCGAGCGCGGGAAGAGGACCTGGAAAAATTGGAGCACGAGAAATTTAAAGCGATTATAGTGGGGCCAATAGTAATCTTCCACGTCAGCGATCCTCCATCAGAAACAACTCTAAATTCAGTATCCACGTGACGAACGGTGAATTCGGCAGTTGGTGACCGAAGTTTATGGCCCTTGATCTCTAAAAAATTCTAACTTGGGGCATTGTTTTGTTGGCAAAATTTCTCTGATGAATAATAGGCTAACATACGATCAAAGAATGAATGGTAACATTTTGTTATGGCTTAAAAGTAATTAAACTTTTTGAATAAAACGACAACTCGACAGTATGTGCTAAACTTGGAGGGCACTCTTTTCATGGACATGATCCATTGCTTTGATGGAAAGAAAGATGAAAAGAGGTTTGCGTGAGAATGTTGTTTAATAAAGCGGAAGCATGATGCTCATGAATAAGAATAGAAGTAACTGTTGAGGATTGAAGTGTTGCAGGTGTGAGTAAGGGAAAGAGAATAGAGAAGAAAGAGCCATGTTGGATTGGGGACCTGTGGTGATAGGGTTACTGTTATTCATACTGCTCTCGCCGGGGCTGCTATTCCAGATGCCAGGGAACTCACGCCTCGTGGAATTTGGCAGTTTTCGCACCAATGGCAAGGCCATTCTTGTTCACACCCTCATTTACTTTGTCGTTTTCACCATTCTCATTTTGGCTATCGGTATCCATATTCACGCTGGCTAGCTATATCTCCATCTTCATCCTAGCCTCACTTGTTTCGGCTTTCAGGTGTTTTTTTGATCGATGTTGATTTTTTCTTTTGTTGCCCATTCTCATCGTGTAACTGACGCAACTCTCAACCAAACCATGTTGGTTTTATTTTGTTTCGTTCCTTCTTTTCCTTCTTTTGTTTTTGTCTTCACTGTGTTCACCAGTTCCTCTGTTATCTTTCCACGCTCTGTTGATTTTTTTTTTTTTTTGGTAGCAAAGCCATGTATGTCTGTCAAATAATGTTCGAGTTCGGATGGTGAAATTGATGATCCGGGATAAGTTAAACCAATTTATTTCTTTCTTTAATCTATTGGGGTTTAGCCATACCTGGAATATGAAAAACCTATGAACATTGCAAATATGTAACGCAATCATTATCCATACTTTGTGTTTTCCTATACTAATTAATTAGATTAGATTAGAAGTGCCCGGAAGGGTTGTATTTTCAACATGACTGCAATATTTATATTCTGTGAACAAGGTAACTTTCAATAACTTCTACATCCTAAGCTCAAAATAAAAACTAAGTATACCAGTCTAAAAATTTAATAGAAAATTAAAATAAACTTTCTTACATAATATAATATAGATCTAACAACTTTTCAATAATAAAGATTATAAAATTTACTCATTTTTCCTGACCAACTCTCTACTCATGCCTACAGGATCATTGTAATATAGGATTATTTTTATTATATCGTATCAAATATTACTGCTCCGAACATATTGAAAAGAAATATTAGTTAAAAATTAATTGTCTTATGTTTTTTTTTTATAAATAACGTAAAAAAATAATGTACGATAGGCCTATAGGGAATGCAACGGTGAGATTTTTTTTTTTTTGGGGGGGGGGTAAAACAACAGAGAGATGGGGACAAAACAGATCACACTCTTTTTTTTTTTTTTTGAAATGGACGTACGGTGACACTAGAATTTTTTATAAGGGAAAAAAGTTGTAAACTCCAAAAAGGTTTTGAAGTTCGGGATTAAGTATCCCCAGAATAGTGATGTGGAGCATCAGAACCGTTGAAGTCACACGCGACACGATTGCCACGCTAAGCTATCACTCTTGATCTGACGTGTCACGAGAAACTTCCCGTCTGCCCCTCCTCTTTCCTAATAATCGATGTGTCGGTTCACATCCTCTTCAGCAACTGTGCCCCCCCACTCCTGCGTTACAGATCCTTCCTTCTCAAAGCTTCTCTCTACCATCTCCTTCACCGCCTACTTTTCTCTGCCAGATCCCGTGATCCTTTCTGTCGCTGTGTTCAAAAAGCTTGAGGAATATGGCAGATTGGGGTCCAGTGATCATTGCGGTGCTCCTGTTTGTGCTGTTGAGCCCGGGTCTTCTGTTTCAGATTCCGGCGGGTGGCAGGGTAGTTGAGTTCGGCAACATGCGTACTAGTGGTGCTTCTATTCTAGTTCACGCCATCATCTACTTCGGCCTCATCACCATCTTCCTCATCGCCATTGGCGTTCACATCTACACTGGCTAGTTAACTGTGCTTGTTCTTCGGTATAAACTTCTGAAGGATCGCAAATTTAAGATTGCATGTCTTTGATCTGCTACTGTTATTACGTCTCCTTGATCTCAATCAAAGGTGTATTTGTTTTTGCTTGCTTGCTTGATCTGGATGTCTGCGTTTCTGATTATTTTTCTCTGCCTTCAAATTTATTTCCCCTAAATCGTCAAATCTCCCATCGAACCCTAAAAAACCGAAAACAAAAATTGAGAAAGAATGAAAGAATGGTGGGAGGAGGAAAAGAATCGAATAATATAATGTTCGGTAGTATTATGCTTTGCTTCAAGTCTACTGGTCTAATTTTAGTGTCGATGTAAATTGTTTGGTACGTTGGTGGCGCTATGGTGCTTCACTTTTCTGAACTTTCATTCCTCCTTTTCAAAATGATGGTTCAAGTGTGGTGTGATTTCTTTTTTCTTTTCGGCATAAAGTGGCTTGCATTAAACATCTTCATTAGTCGTCAAACTAGAACACCTGAATAAGTACAGGTCTTCATATGAAGAAAAAAGTTCGGAATTCTCCCGCATCCCACGTGCTCTTCTTGGTGTTCTGATGAAATTTAATTTTTCAATTTTTAATGGTACTGAAAAATTGTTTATCCAAAAAATTAGAAATAATTTTATCAAAAATATAATTCAGGAACTTTGCCGCCACTTGGGCCTGCATGAAGTCAAGATTTACTCTTACTGTGATGAGGTTATCAATTTGATTATAGAGATATTATCGACGGAGCTAGATATCTCTTATATGCAACATGTTGAGTGCGCTTCACTTTGTGTTTAGCTTGTAATGTTAATGATAGAATGAGTAGTTTCTGTTATTTTGACCAACCCCCATCTTACTGTCATGAGGTGGTGGGTGATGATGGTTCCTATTTTTGTGTAACAAACTATGTGTAATCTCTTGATTTACGTCTGTCATTTTTCATTTGAAAAAAAAAAAAGTGACCTTGATTGTTACGCAGAATATGATTCTCACTTACTTTCCTACTTTTCTCACCTTTTGTAAAAATGATGTTAGAGGCTGCCGTGAGAAATGTATTTTAATGACAGGCCAAGTTTGATCATTGTGTTTTATTTTTTTCGAGTGAAAATCTGCATGCTTATTTTAGCCCATGCACTGTGAATCGTGATCTTGTGATTACTGATAAAAAGTTGATATTTTAATTTTTTTTATCTTTATGTTTTAACTGATGTATAATTTTCTCGTTATTGCAAAAAGAAAAAATAAATCTTCAGTTGCCATTAAAAAAATTAAAATTTAAAGTTACATGATGTGAGTTGGTCGCTGAGCGAGGGACATTTCGGTCTTTTTAATATTAGAACCCTATAACACCTTTTTTAGATGAAAGATCAGATAGTATTAAAAAAAAACGATTGTATTAAAGTTTACGCTGCCTATTAGTGGGTGTAATATTTTTATTAATAAAATTGATTACTGTTTTTTTTTAAGAAAAAAGTTTACGCTACCTAAATGACAACCATAAAAGAAAGAAAAATAAGCGGCCATTACACATTAAAAAGCCAAAATTGATGAGATGAACTTGAGCCTTGTATAAAAGACAGTGGACCGAAAAAACAGCACTAAATCTACAACCTTAAAAATAGCATTACAAAAGTTATTTTTTCATTATATATTTTTATTATGAACATTTTTTTAAATTAAAAATTATAAAAGACTTCAAAATTGATTGTATTTTATTTTATTCCAAAATTTTGTTATTCCATTATATAGTTCAATAAAAATATAAGTATCAAACATTTGTTTTATGAAGTTAAGCAAAGGAGCAAACCAAATGATCCTTGTATTTGGGTTTTTCTTTTAAAGAAAGACGTGTAACATAGTTTGGAATCTATTCAGAAGTTAGTTACCTTTTGATTAACCAGAGAACAGAGATAGAGATTTTAATTTATATATTTTTGTTAATATTTACATGTCTTAAAAAATAAATTATTTTCTGACTTTCCTCACACCTCAAAAAATATATTTATATAGTTACAAGACTGATGCTTTAGGTAAATTATCCATGACTCTTCTCATTCCCCCCAACTCTCACCAGTGAATAATTCCCGTAACGCTCACGGTTTATGTTCCTCTTCTTGATATGCACTATGACTCTACGGATACCTCAATTTTCTCAAACTCAATTTGCTTCTCAAAACTCTATTTGAGATAAGTTGAAATTTGTTTCATTTAAAAAATAAATTCTAAAGGTTAAAACAATAATTTTGCAAAAATATATTTGAATATCTTTCATATATATCAAAATCAATTATGAATTTAAAATTATGATTTTTCTTAAAAATACTTAAATACTCATTATATATGACAAAATTAATTATAAATCTAAAATTATGATTTTTTTAAAAAATGTTCAAACACATCTATATATGTCAAATCAATGTTGAATCCAAAAGCATGATTTGTAAATAGTTTATATAATTTTTAGATAAATTTGTAGAAATATATAATTAAAAAGTTGAATTGAAAAGCAAATAATAATAACCTACAGGATAGTTGTGGATTTTGATTTATAATTAATTTTGACATGTATATAAAAAATAATAATTTTAAGTTCATATTTACTTTTGATATGTATAATGAGTATTGAATATTTTAAAAAATGTGTTTTTCAACATGCAACATAAGTGTTTGGATATAAACAATGGTTTTAAGTGATTTTCAAATTTACTTTTCAATTTCAATTAAAATTAATTTTATTAATTAATTTTATAATTAATTGTATGTCATGTAACATAATTTTTTAACGGAAATGCAAACGCGCCCTAAAACTCATTCCTCCCCTCCACTTCGACTCGCATCTTTTCCTTTACTCCTCCACCCACTGACAATGGCAAAGAACTTCGCCTTTCTTGCGAAGTCTGTGCTGTATCAGTTCACCTTCTCCCTTTAAACTATGTTTTTGGAAAAACGTTACGACCCGGACAAAACACAAAAATCTCTTCTATAAACATTTTTGTTTTAAAATCACCACTATTACCACTGTTCTATTTCTAATACAAGAACATATGTGCGTTTATATATTACACGTTGATCCATGCTTCCTGATATTGTACTGAACTCTACACAACTTGGAATTTGTTTCTTTTTGTTTTCAAATCAATCAAAATTGAATTATGAAAAATTTAGTCAAAAAATATTAGTACATTATAAAAATGACCGACATTTATTATAATTTATTCATTTAAAATTAATTTTGAAAAACTTATCTAAACATTTTAAATTTAACAAAATTAATTTTTGAATATTTATTCAAACGCCATCACATTTTGATAATTAATTTTTTTATAATCAGTTTTCGCTGATTGAAATTCAAACACACCCTACCTGGCTTGACTCACCAGGGAATTATAATGACAAGATTCAACCTGGATGTTGAGTTGTGTTTCAAATCTAATCCGCCCGCACCAATGTCTTTGCTTGCATTTGATTGGAGGGTAATGAAGAAAGAGGAAAAAGTTGAGAGACTTTGTTGGAAAGAAAATTAGGGTCTGTTTCGTTTTTATTCATATTTTCTATTTTTAAAAACTACTTTAGAATTGTTTTTTAAAATAAAATAAAATAAAAAATCATTTAGTTATATTAATTTAAAAATATTTTAAAATTTAAAAATAAATCGATAGTGATAATTATATGTGATTAATAATAATAATTTATGATATAAATTAGTCAAAGTAATTGCAATTTTCAAGAATCATATGTAGTGCATTTTAAAAATAAAAAATAAAATAAAAATAAATTAATTATTTTTTTATTTTTTTAAAATAAAAAAATAAAAAAGTTTTAAAAATAATTAAATTAAAGTACTTATCCAAATAAAATTTTAAAAAAATTTTGTTTTTAAAAGCAGACAAGTCCTTAGATTGTTGGACACCAGCACCGTTAAGCTTGTGGGGCTGCCAATTGGGCCGTCATATTCTCCTTCTTAATAAGGCTTCGGTATTGGGCTTGAGGCCGAAATGCGATAGTGATCTTCAAGCCCACAGAGGGGTTCCTCCACTTCACTGTCCTGTCGTGTAGTTCCATTGGCCACTCTGTTTCGGTTGTGAGTTGTGACTCATGGCAACTCTAGGTCGCTTCTCCAGAAGAGCTCTAGCAGCCGTGCTTGCATCAAAACGCCACCTGCAACCGCAGCTATTAGGTCGTGCTCTCTCGACCGAGGGGACAAAGGCCATCACACCTTCGCCAGATCGGGTGAAATGGGACTACAGAGGTCAGCGCAAGATCATCCCACTGGGGCAGTGGAGCCCTAAAGTCGCCGTCGACGCTTACGTGGCGCCCAACGTGGTTCTTGCTGGCCAAGTCACCGTTTGCGATGGAGCCTCCGTCTGGCCAGGCTCCGTCCTCCGTGGCGATCTCAATAAGATCACTGTCGGCTTCTGCTCCAATGTCCAGGAACGCTGTGTTATTCACGCCGCTTGGTCTTCTCCCACAGGTTTGCCTTAATTATTTTGATTGTCGGTGTATTTTAGCATTAGATTCTCATGCATATTTCAAGTGGAGGAAATGTGACGTCAAGGAGGAAATTCTGTTTCTGCGCGGAATCCTAATGCGTTGTTGGTCAAATAAAATCTAATATGACTAGGTATGGAATTCCTATAATTCTTACGAATAAGCTTAAGTCTAACACAGTTAGGCCTTTGGCTGTCTAGGTTGTAATTTAAGTGCAATGGTGATTAATAATCCGGAAGCAGGGTTAATAGCCTGTGCACATTCTATGTTGAAAGATCTGCTTGAGAATTCTCGATTATCTTATAGTTGCTGCTTCTAAGCTGGATAGCTGGAGCCTTCTCTGCTTAGTTCTGGTTGCTTCTTCTTCTTTTTTTTTTTAATCACTTCGGTTTAACTGAGGCAGCATGGTTGATTATTGTAGTATATATCAATTCCCTATATTTTTCTCCCCCTTTTTAATCTCGCTATAGCTGGCGGTGGTTCAAAAATGTAGTTTTTTGTTGTTGGAATTGTACAAGTTAGCTGCATTTATCTTCTTTAGGATTGCTTACAAAGTCCTTACTCTTTGATGTATTTTCTCCTTCAATGGATCAGCTAATCCTATTGGGTTAACCTGTAAGAGTTATATCCCCGTGTATATCATAACATCGCTCCTTTTTTCATTCCCTTGGTTTTGGAGCCACCAAAGTACTGTTACCCGGGATGATATTCAGTCACTAGCCGTAATTAATATGGTAATATATTTCTTATCTATATTTAACTTTATTTTAGTTAAACATATATGGGGATGGGAGTTTCAACGCAAAACCCTATTTGATTTGGTTATTTTACGTCAAAGGCCTTAATCTTAACATGTCTTTGGTGGAATCTTAATTTAATAGTTACCACATCCGATTTTTCCAGCGGTAGTAAGACTGGCAGAGAATCCATTCTATTTAAATATGAAGGTACATTGCAGTGGTATGTCTGTAGCAAATGTTACTATAGTAGTTGCAACCTGCCAGTATTTTTGTTCCATTATATTAAAGTGGGTTTAGATTAACATCTAGCGAAGATTTTCCTGCTACCTTGTATTATCCCTAGGAGGTTTGCTTGATCTCTTGTTCTTATTTGTGATTTTCCCTGAAACAAAGCTTCCAATGTCTCTCCTCCATTTAATTTTAGCACGATCTATTTTCTGTTATTTGGTGGAGTTAGTTATAATCATACTTATTTGCAGGTTTTTTTTTTCTTCCTTTTATCATGTTTTATGGATTTGAATTTAGTTTTCAAATGAAACTTAAGATCCTTCATAAAATGCAAATGGGGCATACTTAGATACAATTAATAATGAATGAATGCATTATTATTTATCATACATGCATCCTTCTGTAATTCAGGCCTGCCGGCTGCGTCTTTGATAGAGAGGTTTGTGACAATTGGTGCATATAGCCTCTTGAGGTCCTCCACAATTGAGCCAGAGTGCATTATTGGCCAGCATTCCATCCTGATGGAAGGCTCATTAGTGGAGACACACTCAATCCTTGAAGCTGGGTCGGTAGTTCCCCCGGGGAGGCGAATTCCGTCGGGTGAACTTTGGGCAGGAAATCCAGCTAGGTTTGTAAGGACTTTGACCCATGAAGAAACCTTAGAAATCCCCAAACTTGCGGTTGCTATAAATGATCTTAGCAAAGAGTATTTCTCAGAGTTCCTTCCTTATTCCACAGTATACTTGGAGGTTGAGAAGTTTAAGAAGTCCTTGGGCATTTCAATATGAGATGGCCCCTTCGTCATTCTTCTCTTTTAGTTGGAATTTTGCTTGTAAGGAAATAAGAATTCAAACAAAGAGCAAGCTTTTCTGTTTCTTTTGTTTGCCCTTCTGAAAGTGTTGTGTTATATGATCAACTGGAGTAATTTTCAAGGGATACCTTTGAATACTATGCTATTACCATTTAAGTGTTTTTAACTCCAAATTTTATGCTGTATGTTCCATTTGTTTGAAACACAAAAGGAGCACTAAAAAGCTGAAACCGACGAATCAAGGCCTGCTCGGCCAATATCTTTGCAACGACACAGCGCGATAGCTGTTAATTGCATAGCACTGGATTTACATTACATAACTTTATATGCCTTCAAGTAATAAGTTCTGACCCTCATTCCTCATTGAGTTATCTCCTGTTCCTGTGTAAATTGCAATTTTAACTTTTTTTTTTATTATGTTACATGCTCCACCTCCCCACAGAGCTTATTTCTGGCCGGGAATAAGGGTCCATGTAAAACTAGAGGACTTGCTATGTAAATTAGACGAAAGAATGCACAGTAACATGAACTCTAATAGCAAATGTATAATAAAATTGCGTGCGAGTTTTCTTTTAAAAACAAAATTGCAAGTGATTTGGGAATAATGAACCGTGTGAAAAACATATTAGAACTCTCGTAAGTTAAGAATCATTCAAGGTGATATTTCACTATATTATTAAAAAGATTTCAAGACATTAGCTGGACATGAAGAGAGAAACCTGGTTCCGCAAAATTATAGTACTAAAATTCCCCAATGATGTGCTCAAGGGGTAAATCTATGGCAAGGCAATTCTTGATTACAATACTGAAGAATCGGTCGTGGGAAAAGCTCAAAGAATGACTTCTGGAGCGTTGATTTATTGAGACATAACATGACAGTAAACGCCAGAAAAGCCACAGCCGTTAACCAGAAGAACTGAGAAGAAATTTCCTTAACAAAATCCCATCGATGGAAAATGGAAACAATGACTTGATTCCATCCCGTTGAGTAAACCTTGTCACCTTAGGAATTTGGGGTGTGTTTGGCTAAAAAATTTTAAAATTAAAGTTTCCATAAATTAAAGATTGTAAATTGAAGTTAAGATAAAAATCAATTTGTGTAATGTGATTTATGTTTAAATAATTTTTTCTCAAAAATCAATTCAACATAATTTATGTTTAAATTTTTTTTTCTTATTTGATGATAAGCACAGAAATTAAAAGCCAAAAGTTCCAAAAAAAAATTCGGTTTATTACCTAAACCCAGTTTTGAGCCAAAAATCAAAATGGTCTAATGTCAGTTTTGAGATCCAACCCGTATGGGCCACCTAAACTGGGGCTTGGGATTAAACCATACATCCCCTTAGGTTTATGATGATGAAGCAAATAAATGCATATAAAAGGGAACTAATTCCTAACCACATGCATTGATGACATTAGATCGGTCTATATCTGTTGCTGTTGCACAAGATTCTTTCTGCACCAAACTCCCTGAAAAGGAAGATTGAATCATGTACATGTTGAAGACTATGCACTAGAAGGTCAAATCTATGCCTACAGCAGAGGACCAAAAAACATCAACGTCTAAGAACCGTTCGTGTCGAAGACCATGAACAGCATCCCATATTACTGCGACGGCGTATAGGACATCAACAAATATACGCTGCTGTAAGCATGCACACAGCAAGCAATAGAGTTTTCTCCTTCGCATTGGCCATCCACTATGAAAGAAGAACGGGCCATTTCTCCACAACAGAACATTCCAGACAATGGTGCTCCAGGGAAATTCTCAGAGATAGGGGAGCTATCAACATTGGGGCGTCCAAAGAATGATTCACCACGACCACAACATGCGAAAACAAAACCTCCAAACACACAAGTACCATTGCTGGCCCCAACATTGAGATTCTTAGAATTTGCTTCAAGCTTAATCTTCTTCAGTTCATCAGACACTCTAGCGCATGAGGCTAATGCTGTATTACAATCTGAATGGTAGAATTGAAAGATATCTCCAGTTTTTAAGCCGACCCCGTCAACATACAGATATTCTTCATCACCTCTGTACAAAACAAGAGATGTTATTTCAATTAGTGGTACTGACTCTAAATGATCATTTGGGAATTAGAAGATTGGTAGATCAAAATAATCGAAAATAAAAACATCGCTATGAGTCTGAAATCCAATCTTCAATATACTTGGATGTTTCACCAGTCCCATCATGGTTTAACTATTTTAGTACATGATTTGACTTTAACAAATTTTGAAACTTGTATTAAAATATCTGAAACTCAGTAAATTTGAAAAATTTTTAGGCAACTCGTAAATTGTTCTTTAATCCAATTATTATGCAACATACTTCACAACCCCATGAAAAGCAATAGATGTTCCTTGTCTTGGCTTCTCTGATCCAATGGACAGTTTTCTTCGTTTGAATACTCCGATGTACAATTCAGGAGTCTCAATATGATTTGCTAGCTGCCACATTTTTCAACGTCAAAAAACATGCATAGGTTAAAAAGAAAAGATAGAAGAAAATAACAGTTGTAAACACAAGTTAAATCAAGGTTATCATCAAAATACTTGCAGCATATATTAAGGCTTCCCAGCCAAAGCAGAGTAACAGTTAGCACCATAATATTTTATATTCCATTTTTCCTCCAATTCAGCAATCAAGTGAGTGATTAATTTTTCCCTCATCATCAGTGTCAATTGAAGATTAGTTGTCATTGATGTAATTTAAGAAAGTTATGCTGACGTGAGAGAAGGTAAAAAATGCAACAGAACATCAAATCAGAGGCTGATGTAATAGCATGCGCATATTTCACTCAAAAGTGATCAGTTAAAAATCCATTAATAGGAAAGCATCAATAGCAACTAGATTTATTTACTTATTTATGTTCACTGCATTTGAACTTCAAAGAAATCACAAGCTCCTTACTGCATTGGTCTTGTTGAATATTGGGAAAGAAAACAAGATGAATGACCTTATAAAAAGTTTAGTGCTGTTCTGTGATTAACATAACAAACTTTTGGTTCATCAGAAAAACAAAACAAGACGACTTAAAACTTTGAGAGAATTGTGAACCTCATCGTTAACACCATCCAATATTCTTTGACCATCAAGAATTTCCTGTTGGCCTTCCCTCCTGGCAGTCAGCCATGTAGAACTCTCAGAGCTTCTTGTTCGCACTGATGCTGTCTTGTATTTGTCACCCACAGGCAAAATACCATTTGACAATGCAACGTGGAACTTAATTTCTCCTGGAGCTTTAATTAATCCATGGCATATATAAGTAATAAATAAAACATATTAAAAAAAAATCAAATAGAAGACTTTCAAGCCACATGTTACTATGACAATGCCTCATAGCACTTGAACCAAGCACACTGATAACGTTATCTGTCTTAGAGATTCTATTTTTCAGCATCGACTAGTATACAAAGTAGCACAAAGAAGGGTGGAGGCAAGATAACGCCAATGTTAAATTGTTACGAAAACTGGTTATTCATAGCTGCCTTCAGCAAGAGATTTACATCAATTTTTCCATTTTAGTAGTTTAATCCTAAACCAACAAATTAATTGGCACTACAGTAGAAGAATTAAACATTTGTTGACATGACTTGAGCCTTGCTCTCTCTCTCTCTCTCTCTCTCTCACTCTCAAAGTCCATACAAGATGTGCAGCTGGATAGGAACAATTTTGTGCTTGAGGGGCATGCGCGCAGGGACTCTGGGTAACAAGAAAATGAAGTTTGAGTTTTCTTAAATGTTCTACTCATGTGAATGAGTCGCTTCTAAGTTTATTTTGAATATTTCCTCATCTGGGTTAAGAGTTATTTTATAGTTGGGAGAGCAATTGGTTTTTCAAGTTTATGGGCTTGTCATTTGCTAGTGCTTTTTCTAGGTTAAAATAATTTCATCTAGCTGGATAAAGAGCCAACAAATATTAGTGCATGACAAGGGATATGTAATTAGGATTTCCAAATATGAAGACTTGAGCCTTAAAAGGGAATCCATTCCACAATCAGCAGCTTCTTGCGTGAGTGCTTTATTTGGGAGAAAATAAACTTTTCCCACAGCTTGCATAGAATGAAATGGAATTAGCTTGCAAACCCTCTTAGTCATGGTTCGTCATCGGGTAAGCATGCAAATGCAGGGAAAGTGGGGGCATTGAGTCTATAAAGGAAGAGAGGGCAGCTTCATTTGATAAACCTTGGATTGGGTTCTTATTCCCTTTAAGGGCCCATGGTCCTGAGAGTTGAATTTTTTCTTTTGAACTGGTTTATATAAGCCATCTGGTACTTAATTAGTTCAACATTTTTTGACAAGCTATTCCAGTCCATGACCAGTTTTCTTTTAGGCCGGTTTAGGCTTAGTTTCAGACCAAATTAATAACTGGTTTACCAGTTTTCTAGTTGAACTGGCCAATGTGGTCCAGTTTTTAAAACAATGGACAAAGAGACAGAAAACAACATTCACAATACTTTTTTCTTTCATTTTTAACCAGGAAACACCACAGAACACAATTGCATTTCGCATGGAACTTTCCTTTGAGAGAGCAGACATGTCTAGTCTTAAGGGATGAGAGATCCAGTTTCCTCGTCAACAAAAAATAGAATGATATGAACTGCAGCAATTGTATCAATCGTATTGTGTATTGGCAGAATGATCTACCAAAAAGATAGCATGAAGTACCAGAAGATCTGTTTATATCCTGAGCAAAAACAAGAGCAACGGCTTCTACAGAGTACCCTGTTCTAGTACAAGCATTTCTGGAGTCATTTCTACTTCTGTATGCAACGCAGCCTCTCTCGTTACCAATAATGAATGTGTCCTTGGGCATGGCGTAATCTGCATAACATTTACCATCAACAAAGGCTAAACAAGTAGAAGCCAAGAACAGAGGGGTGTGTGTTGAAGTTACTAAAGTTCTCACTTCACGTTCACGGTTACAGAACTAACACAAAATACACATTTGTTCCATACTTACATCTATTTATGTAAATCCCCCACAATGATAAGTTGTAACACAAAATTATTACAAGGCAGTCAAAGATATTCTTAAATTGATTGATCATAAAGGCAAGTTTGGCAGAAGCGAAGAGTAGAATGTGTATAATTATAAGGACATGTAAAATGTCACTTACCCAACTTCTCCATGACTGGTTTCATGTCACTACTTCCTTCCTGTGCAGCTAAATAGTGTTAGCAACAATACCAAGGAGTGATTTAAATGAAGGAAAACAAAGATTTAATCCAATAAAATGAACAACTGATGAATAAGTGACTACCATCTACTTACTCCAAATAAAAGAATCCCCTCAGGGAATGCTGAATACTCCTTGATATCCGTTACAAACTTGTCAATGGCTGACTCTAGAGGTGTCTGGTAGGATAAAATTTAACAACTTTAATAATTTGGTCAACATCAAGCTCAATATAGTCCTGATTGAATCCTGAATTGGTAGGTCTTTCATTTTCAAAACTGGCTAAACAACATACATTGCATATGCAACAATCAGAATAGGCAAGGCAAAATTTGATAAAGGACAACGCATATATTGAAGTTCAAACTTAAACCCCAATAAGGGTAAATTGATTACTGTTGACCGTCGAACTAGTGGAATAGCGTCAATTTTTAATCCTGGGAAAAAGGCAATGGTCATAACTATGCCTTCATTCATCTGTACAGCATCTGCTTCATCACTGAAGTCACTGAAATGAGCATGCCAGTTGACCTGCATAATAATTGTGGGTCAGTACTTTAGTTTACCAAACTGCTAATATAAAAATTAACAAAGGTCAATAGATATTGAACCTCTTTAAGTTCATCAGTTAGAGCATCCCTTCCAATGATACCATTAGCCACAGAAACAACGATGGGAACAAGGCATCCCAGTTTCATTCTAATCTGTGCAGTAGACCTTAAGATCAATGGCTTAATACAAACAATGCTTGGACTCAGAAAAGAAGAGGAGAGAATTTCCATACAAGCCTTAGAGTCATCTGTAGTTCAAATCCACTGCCAACATTTGCAATGGCAAAATGTGGACGGATCGGCTCAGACAGAATCTTATCAAACACTTCTTTTAAAGCGTCCTGTTTGAATGTACAATATTTTCCAAGAGAAATAAGCAAGTTGTAAGTTGTTAGTTGGGCAAAACTCAGAAGATTTAATACCACGTATGAAGCAAAACGGAACTCAACTAATCATCAAAGGGAAGCAATCACAACGTATATCGGTATATTTCATTATTTAATACAAAAAAGAAAATTTTGACATAAAAACCGTCTAACGAAAGCAATAAAAAAATTGTTCATAATTGATTATGAACTTCTCTGATTCGGAAACTGGCAAAGTTAGGCCCTTTGGTCTCTAATCCACCATGGGCGCCCATTTAAGTTGGCTTTGTCCTAGTTTCCTGCCCCCATGCAAATAGTGCAATACCGAAATCACCGAGAATACAGCATGCCTTGATTCCAGTTAAATGACTTGCATGATGAGAAGAGCCCATTCCACAAAACCATCCTATTAGGTGAGAGTGCATATTGATGTAAGTCACATCTTATATTTTCATTGCTAACCAACGTCGAACATGTCATCAACCTAAGTATCAGGTGCCAATTTGTCATAGCTTACTTGCCCCCGATTGTGTTGTCAGGTGCGAAGCGGGGCAAAATGGTGATTGAAAACCATTAAACAGCGTTTGATTTCCTAGAAATGTAGGAATTAACCATTTGATGATGGAATGCAATTTAAGTTGTGGAATTTTCCTTTCTTTCTTACTACGGGATTGCCAGAAAACATGAAATGCACATGACCAGAGACGGGGGGCTTACGTGCAAAGAAGGTTTGAGAGAAAGAGCAGAGGCGAGCTTAGGACGAGAAAGTACGCGATTGCAGACGCGATTCCAGGATTTGTTAACGCAGGCAGCTGAAGCAAAGGATTGAGCAGGAAGTCTGCTCAGAATTTTGAGGAGAAGGTCCTCGTTCATCGCATCAAAACCCGAAAAACACATAGGTGAATATTTTGCCTTAGCTTTGGCTCTGGCCGTCGATGATGACTTCGTCTTCTCCATCGGTGTCCTGCTTCCCTGAATTCAGTCTCCGATTAGTAGTGGAAGTAGTGGTGAAGGATCGAAGCATATGGGCTTCCATACCAGGTTTAAGGCCCATCGTTTTAGCCCTAAACGAATTCATCTATGTACTATGACCCAAAATAGAAACAGGTCCTGCATCCAGAAAAGAAAGAGGAATATTTGGCACCAAAAAAAGGCAAAGGAATAAAACAGAAATATATGAATAAAGAATAAAAAATTCCACAGAAATAACACACACACACACACACAATATTTTATATCATAAATGAAGATATAAAAAAAGTGAAATTTATACAAAATAAATATTTTTTTATGCAGAATAATTCTCTCTTCTCCATTTTTATATGAATAATCAATCTATAATTTTGCAGAAAATGTAACAGCTTTTTTTATCCCGCACGAAATCTAACATGAAATAAACCATTTATAGGTCATAAACAATAGTGTTTGCTGTATTTTTTTAATTTAATAATGATAATGATGATTTATTAATATTGTTTGATGTATTTTTTTAATTTAATAACGATAATGACGATTTATTATTCTAAAAAAATCACCATGATGAATTAAACTCGTTAATACATTTCAAAAACGGAAATTCGAGGGAAAAAAGAATTTTTTTTATCAGCAAGCATTTAAACATAAGTGGCTTCTATTTCCACGGAACTTTTTTTTTTTTTAATTCAACTGTTCGGTTTCCTTACTTTTCTTATAACTTAAATGTCCCATTTTGTATCATTTTTAACCAATAAGAAGACTATCTACGTTATTGATATTTTATATTGAATATTGCCAACTACTAAAAAAATTGAGTAAGAATTAAACTTACAAACATATTTTAAAGGATTAATATGTAAATTTACCTCCCAAGTATCACGCGATGAGCAATTTGTATTCTTAAATTTTATAAAGTGCAATGTTGTCCTTAACTTTTCAAAAGCAGTGCAATTTCGCCTAAAGCTAACAGATCCCATTTGTTGATTGTGGATGAGTTACATTTGACTGAAAAATGCTTTGTTGGCTAGATACATCTAGCACATGCCATGTGACAGTAACATCGACGTGGCTAGAATAAGGGAAAGAAAAAAAATAAAATTTGAAATAAAATTTTAAAACCATTAAAATTAAAATAAGCAAACCATGTTTGAAATTGAAAAAAAAAAAGAAACTAAATCTGAAAACCAAGTCTGAAATTAAAAAACAAAAACAAAGAGAACTAAAAATAGCAAAAATCACTCCTAGATCAGAGTAAACCATGTTCGACATAAATGCTAAAGCTTTTATCTGCTGATGAAATTTATAATCATGTGGAACAAGAAATCAACAAAATTCACTTTTAGAAAATTTATGCTTTGAAATTCCTTCAACTAGAAAAGAGTAGTGGCTTCAATATTCCTCCAAAATTGGAGCAGCAACTATTCAAAGAAATCAATGAGTGCACATGCTTCCATTAAATTGAAACTGTGGTCAGCATTACTCCATATTCCTTGAACCTTCACAAGATTGTCCATGAAATTAAGTGGAAGAAGCCAAGACACTAGAACTTAGATTCAACATACACGACATCACGAGATAATCATCAAAAAGGAAACAAAAAATAAAAGAGGGGATCAGTGTAAATATATCATGATCTAATTGTAATCCTTAACAAGATCTTCAAGTTTGGAGAACTCATTCAGGCTCATCGAAGGTGGATTTAGAGAAATAAAGGAGAGTAAATGGGCCTTTGAGATAGAAAACAACAGTGTTGTAAGTGCAAGCAGCCATCGCCAGAATGGTAGGGCCCTAACCATAGCCTAGACCTCTTGTTAGGTTCTCCAATACCACCTACTTGTCCCACTTCCCTCATCCTAATCCCTCTATACAATTTCTGTCACACTTCATCTTGCTTTCACCTCCCTCACATATTGTAAACCTTAAATTTGAAAGTGATGACGTCGTTTGTAAACCTTAAATTTGAAAGTGATGACGTCGTAAGCCCTGAACTTCAAACCCCAAATAAATATTGCTTCAGACTTCCATTTAAATCTAGACTTTTATTTTAAATTTGGACTCATCTCATGCATTTCCCTCTTCTCTCCCTTCACCTTTAATCCAAATCTACCTTGCATGTTCTTCTTCCTTACAGTTTCGCAAAAAGTTTATTTTTTGTTATGAACATGTTTTAATAAAAAAAATGCCGTACAGACATTACTCAATCCTACAAGGCATGCCACCAAAGCATAAAAACAGTCACAAGATGCATGTTAGCGGTGAACATTGAGGAACTATTAATTTTGGATGACATTGCAATGCTTTTGAAAGGTTAGGGGCAACATTGTATTTTTTAAAAGTTAAAAATATCAATTGCATCTCATGTAATACTTTAGAAAAAAATTTGCATTTTAACCCTATATTAAAACAGCAATTGAAAGGCATGCTTTTTTTTTATCTTGGACATCAAAAATTCGAAGACATGCTTAAAGTCGTCATAAAGAATGAAATTCTTAAATTTAAATACAATCTTCAGCCTGGATGAAATATCCTTAATTAGTGTTGACAAGAAACGATATAGGTATTAATATGAACATATAATATTCAATATTTTAATAACATGTGTGTGTGTGTGTACAATCAATAAGCCACATTATTCAGATATAACAAATAAATGTTACTTATTTCTCATATTATTCACATTATTCAAATACTCCCTCTGCTAAAAAATGTAAGGCATTTTTAATTGAATCTCACTCTCAATAAAATAGTTACCTATTTTTAAACTAACCTTATATTTATTTAGGAGTACTTTTTTTTTAAAAAAAAAGTAATGATTACATCTTAAAAGACTAAAAATGTCTTATATTTTTTAATATTTAACTCTTCAAAAAATACCTTATATTTTTGAACAGATGGAGTATATACTAATGCAAGCTCATGGAATTATTGGGTAATTAAGGAAACCCTTGTGTGTTGTTAAAACTTAAAAAAAAAAAACTCAGGAAAAAATAAAAAAGGCATGCAAATAGTACAAAGTCGCAACTTAAAATGATTGATAGCGGGCAACAGAAGTTGTGCAAATGCATGGATGCCAAACATGAAAATATTAACATCATGTCATAATAGATTGTAAACAACATCTGAATCCAAAAACGGTTATGTCAGTGATCATCATCAGCTCCAACGAAAGCAGGAACATAAGACATAGCCAAACAAAGAACAGAAGAGGCATGAAGAGAACAACGAGCAGTGGTTTCAGGTTCATTTTCTGCTCCAGTGATGAAGCTACAACAACCATGTCCAATTTCTCCTTCGCAGAATGATCCTACCATTGCAACCGTACCCCTGGAAAGTTGTCACTGAATGGCGTCACATCAACGTTGCCCTCTCCAAAAAATGCCTTCCCACAGTGATGACTCGAGAATATTAAGCCCCCGAACACGCCACTCTCATTCCCACCACCTGTTCTCTCCCTCAACGTCCTGAGATTCTCGCAGGCTATGTCTCTGCTTGTTAGTGCAGTTTCCATGTCTGTATGGTAAAACACAAAGGAATCACCAGGCTTTAAGCCTGTCCCTTCAACCATGAAGTTGATTCCTTGTCCCCTGTTTTTGCACCGTACCACAATATATATCAGTTTTTTTATCATACATTATATCAGTGCTTGTGAATTAATTACTCTAGTCTTACACCATAAGCCAATAGAAGACCAGGGATTCTCCTCATCCTCTTCGTTGAGCGGCACCGATGTACAATTCAAAGTGGGGATTACTCACCTGCAATTAATTAAGCGCAGTCACTTGTTTTAATATAATGTAATTAAAAGATAAAAACTGTTAGAATAATACACATCATGAGTTCGTGAAATATTGCTATAATGACATACAGTTTCAAGAAGTGTCTCCGAAAGTGTGTCACTGCTCAAAATGACTTGACATCCTTCCATTCTAGCAGGGAAAACGGAGCGTTCTCGAGAAGGATTCATTCCCACAACGATCACCTCGAATGGTGGACCAAATGGCATTAAATTCCCAGTCAATATCACATGGAACTCTATTCCCCCAACGTCTGATCATACGACTGTGCAAAAATTTTCTGATCCTGTCGACCCAATTTAATTTAAGATGATTTAATCTTTTTTTATCTTTATAAATATTAGTCCTTCAAGGTCAAAAAGATTAAAAAAATCATACTATTTTTTCGGGTTAGACTGGACAAAAAATTAGACATCTGGATCACTTAATTCAATTCAATCTTATTAATTTATTTAATATAATTATAATTAATTTATTTTTGACCAATACTTCAGATGTAATTTACGCTAAGAAGATGACTGCATAAATATTTGTTGAATTTATTTTTTAATTATTATTGTAATATAGTGTTGTTAAAGTTTACTGCGTGTTATTTTTGTTGAAATTGTAAATTTAAATTATTTAGATTGTAACTGAAATATTTTTTTTTATTGAAAATTATTTTAAATTTATTATGATTATAAGTGATCTTATTATTTTAATTAAGTTTATTAGATTGAAATAAATTATTGCCTCTCATAGAGAAAAAAGTAAAACAAATAGCTAAGTGAGTATTGAACTAACAGAATTAATCTCTCAATTCTATAAAATTATCATTAGACAATATTAAATTATGGGTTTCCTAATTTAATTTTTTTATAAAAGAAATTACATTTTGGGTTAAGTTAAACTTTAATATCGTTCAGTCCTTTGTACAGCACTATCTGATCAATTCACACACAGCACGCAACCACGCGCAAATAATTAATAAATGCAATGAATCTATATGGGTACGCGCATTGTGCTATTGACCAGTAATACGATCGGCATTAATATGGTTCTATGATTAGTTAACTGTAAGTCAAATACTACCAGTAGACTTGTCTTTGTCCTTGGCAAACACCAACGCGGACAGCGTATCATACAGAGGAATTCGGAGAAGTTATCATATAATTCAAACTGTTGAACAAAAAACAACCACCTGCATCTCCGATCACGACGGTCTCCTTTGGCATGGCATGGTCTGCTCCATGAAATCATCGATATGTGAAGTAACCAACACAATAATTTTATAGCGTTGGATGATAGAAAGGAAACCATGATATTATGGAAGATAGAAAGGAAACCATGATATTACCCATTTTGGCAACAACGGAATTTAAGTCACTCCTACAATCCTATAATTACAAATAGTAATAATAATAATAATAATAATAATAATAATAATAATACCAAGAAGCATCAATGCGTCAGGGTATGTGGATTGTGGAAGTTGTTGAGGAACAACGCAACACTTAACTCCAAACATCATGATGGCGGAGGGAGACTCACGGCCAGAAGCTGCGGCTGTGAAATCCTTAATATCTGTTGAAAAATTGTCAGTCTTGTCAACATCAGGATCCTGTAACCACAACACGAAAAAACGAAGTAAATGAATGAATACTTAACTCAATGCTTTACATGATAATGATGTAATTTACTCTCTCTTTTATTTTAAACAAAGAGAGAACTTATATGTAAGGGTATAGCATCAACTTTGAGTCCAGGAACAAATCCAAGAACCAGAACAATCCCTTGATTCATATTGCCATATACGTTGCACTCACGAGGATGATTAGCACTGTAATGAAAGTACTCCCATTTCACCTGCATTTCCCCTCAATCGCGTTCTTAATATCTTAAATATTTACTATCATTAGTGATGTGTGTGTGTGTGTGTGTGACACGCATAAGCACGCATGCAGCTCATCAAAACAAACATAGTTGCGTAAATATACTTCTCGAAGTTCATCAGAGAGCGCGCATCCTTGCCCATCACCATGGCTCATGTGAACAACCAAAGGAACTCTGGCTTTTAGTCTGTCAGTAATCTGCAACATCATATAAACCATTATTCAAGTCAAGAACTAAGAGCAATCAAGACATGAAAGAAGCAAGAGAAAGTATTTAAAGATGGATATACAAGCATATGAATCAGTCTCAAACCATATTGTTATCTGATAAACGCTACAGCGAAGTGGGGGCGAATTGGCTTGCTCAGAACCTTGTCAAGAACCTCTTTCACTGCATTCTGTTAACAACCAAACATAGATAATAAGTAATTTAAATTAAAAAATTAAATAAAAATTTGTCTTGTTGAGGCGTGTATAGTGATTAGTGAATACAATAAGGGAGGGATTGAGGGGAAAAGCAGAGGGGAGCTTGGGACGGGAAAGAATTTGGGTGGAACTACGGTGCGCCAAGTTTTGTTGATGCAAGCTGCGGCTGCAAATGATAAGGCTGGGACCCTCGCCAGAATAGTGCGCATGATGTCATCGTTGAACCGTCTCATTGTTCTCTCTCCGCCGTATGCTCCGACGAGGTGATCTTAATGCACTTAATTTGCCCTCTCTCTATATATAGTATATATAGGAGGAGTTCATTTTCTATGGAACATGAAGGCGATGCGTTATGAGTTTTGACAATTAATGACTGGTTCATACACCACCATGAAACGCTTCCAACTTTAATGGAATTCCTCAATTTCCAGATTTTCATGGGTTCTCTCTTTAATACTTTGGATTGTGAACAGGATTTTTTTTTTGTGTATTTTTCTAGGAATTGGATTTTGCATATATCAGGCCTACTGTTTCTACCTTTTTCTTTTTTAACACAAAATTATAGTGGTTGGTAAGATATTTAATTTGACGCACAAATAATCAGAGACTTTTTAATTTCTTAAAAATTCTGATTGTTTGTGATGAGAAGTTAACGTCTTGTTTAAGATTTTATAGTAATGTCTTGATTAGTTTTTGTGGTTGAGTTTGTTTAAGTATTATGTATTGCTGAATATCATAACGTTGATGGGGCACAATAGAATGAATGTGATAAGTTTTTTTTCTATAATCAGGTGGGATTAGGAGTTACTTGGTATAGGTAAAATTAATGGAGTTAGCTTTCCTCCTCTACAAAGGAGAGAAGAGAAGGAATCATGCAAATCAAGATTGTTAAATTGAATTTAGTAATTTAAAATTGATAATTTTAAAAATATAACTTTAATTTTTACAGTTTAAATTTATAGTAGAGAAGTAGTGAAGGAAAAAAAAGGCAATGAAAAGATACCACCCTAAGGTTAATTATACCTTCAAATTTCATCAAAAGCAGAGCATCAATCATATGATTAAAAGAAAGCATGGTATGAAATAAGTTCTTATCCTGTGAAAGCGAAAGTGTAAGTTGAAATTTTGTTGTTGATGCGGGGATGATACTACTAAATATTATGTAAGCATTTTTATAAGTACTTCTAAAACTATGAGACCAATCTTGATTGTCATAATTATTTATGATCCGACTCATTTAAAATTTAACGTAAAAAAAGGTTCTCATTGGGTTTAATTGGTTCAAGTTTATATATGATATGCTTGTTTAATTTTTATTTTTAGGAAAGTTAGACCTTTCGAAAAATATATCAATTAATGTATGTTAAACACGTATTTTTAGGTAATTTTTTTGTTTATTAATTTATTAAATCAGTATATCTCTAATTAAAGTACAATGCAAGTATACCTTTTGAGAGTTTTGTTAATTTTTTTAAGATTCATTTAATTAAACATCTCTAACTGAAAATAATTAATTTTGTTGACCGCTTAATAAATGAGTTGGATCTTGTATAGAGAATGCATGTATAAGACTAACATGCTTTAACATTCCTTCTATTTCATTTTAATTTTCCAAGATACATCTTTTTATTTTTAAAACCCATACAAATCTCTCCTGCTATGAATAGTAATAAAAACACAAATATTCAAATCGAAGATTTCATTTTTCATCCACCCAAATAGTAAATTACATATATTAAATTAAAACAACCCTTTTAAAATATAAATGTTATCTAAAAATGACTCAGGTTATCCAAAAAATTAGTGCATATATTTTTATTTTAAATTTTTTTATGAATGCGTTTATTAAAAACTCAGCTGTATAAAAAAAAGGATAAATTGGCCCATTGGCCAAAAAAAAAATCCCATACCTGAAAAATATAGACTAATTTTTTAAAAAATTGGGAGTGTGGCTAGTTTACACTAACATACAAGGCATTTATTATTAATATATAATAATATATTATTAACAAAAATAACAAACCGATCATAATGCAAGATATAACAAATGTTGAACTATTTGCTTAATACGTGCACCCTAAATTTTTACACTTATTTTTCACAAATTAATAGTTTAGTAAATTATTTTAATAATTTTGAACTCTTACATTGATAAAAAGGAGTTTTTCTTATAATAAAAATATTTTATAAATAGTCTACCATAATAAAAAAAGGTCTATTATGATAAAAATATTTAAACATAATAAATTTACCATATCATGGTAATTAAAAAAATAGTTATTAAATACTTCAAATGCATACCCTTATTACGATTTCAAAATCATGGTTAAACGAGCAACACTTCACGTACAATATTTTTATTATAAATACTTGACTTAGGCCTAATTATACATTTTCAAACATTGATTACCTTCAAATAAAACTACCACATAGCTACATGCTTGGTCAAAATTTCACTTCATAAAAGCCCGAGCCATGAGAAACAAATAGAATTCTCTTGACATATAAAATGCAATAATTCATAAGTAAAATCTACATGCTCACCTTATATATTTATCCTAAGTTGACATAATATACATCATTAATAAAAACAAAGCGGCTGAATTAGAAAACGGTATCTCGTACACCGAATTATGCCTCAAGTACTTCTCTAACCGAACTTGCTCCTAAAAAAATCCCAATAATCAAATATTGATATATAATAATGCACATGAAGCAATTAATCATGCAGTTAATCACACAAACATACACTATCACACATTAATAATGGTTATCTTCTGTTTGAAATAATATGTTCCTCTATATAACATCTATTTTACCACTCTCTTGGACCACATAATTTATATAACCATTTAATAATATATATAATATTAATTTTATAGTGCTAAATACTAATTTTTATATTGAAATTAATAAACAATTTTAATTCAAGGAGTTAAAATGTATAGGCCTAATTTTCACATTAACACTAATTCAAAATTAGTGCCTCATTTAATTTATTTTTTTTTTTCAAAATTCTCATACCTCAATAGACTATATTTAAGTCTTAAATCAATCATAATGTAAAAATTTTATCAATTTATTTTTCAACAATTCGTCCAAAAATAAATAAAAAAATCAAAAATTACCCTCAAACCTCAAATCACCATTTCATAGTATTAAAAGACATTTATTTATACTTAAATAAACATCTAATAATTAAAAATCTATCAGAACATCTCATATTTAGCATAAACTCAATTATACATGTCTAGAATCTTATTCAAAAATTCTCAAATTTGATTTTCAACATTAAAGAAAAGTTCTTTGACATTTATTACACCTCCAACAATATCAACATTTATTTTTAAATTATCATAACTTCATATTAACTATCCTATAAAAAATTTTAATTAATTTTTTTTCTATTCAGCAAAATAATGTCATTGTTAAATAGCTCTTGATGAGTGGCAAATTTTTATGAAGAGATAATGAAAAATAAAAGTCATTTTGAATACTTAAATGATCTACAAATTTAGAACCTTATTTGAATATAATGAATAACGCTGCACAAAAGTTGAAATGCAAAGAAGAGGAAGGAGGAGGAAGATTGTGTGAGAAAAAAAAATGAGAAGGAGGTTTTATTTATAACAGGATGTGGGTTCCACATTTATTTATTATTATTATTATTATTATTATTATTATTATTATTATTATTATTATTTACTTCTATGCTTTACATATATTTTTTAATTATATCACATATTTTTGTCATAATCATATATATATATATATATTAATTATATCATAAATTAATATAATAAACATTTTTTATATAATTCTATGTCTAAATTTAATCCCTATTTAAATGCCTACATATGTGATTAACTTTAAATAACATTGAATACAAATTTATTTATCATAAAGTTCAAAATAATATGAATTTTTAATTTTGAATCCTGAACAAAAACCTCAATTTCATGATTTATTTATTATATAAAGATCAATATGTTTCAATTTAATTCTATTAACACGAGCTATGTCTATAAAATCCTAAAAAAAGAATAGGTAATTATATAAAAATTCTCAATTAAAAAAAATAATGGATTTTTGACTCAGAAATAAAATAAGTATTTAAAAAAATAAATTTCTTAGAATAATTTAAATTTATTTTTTTTAAATCCATTAATTTAAAATAATTTTTTATTATTTATTTAAATATTGATATATTTAATTGTTTAAATTTTTTAAAACTGAGAGAGAGTAGAGAATTAGATTATAAGAGTAAATTAATAACTTTAAAAATTTCAACATAATCCAAATAGAAAATTAAATATTTCAGAATCTTTAAAATACTAAAATGTACTAAGTTTTAAAAATAAAAAATATATCTCTTTGCTATTTGGGCAACGTAAAAAGTGTTAGGTGATTATATATATATATATATATATATATATATTACAAATTTCACACAAAAGATGCAAATTCTCGACACCACTGCCGCGACTTGCCAACTAGGTGCCACGATAACTATTAACCGTTGGAGAGATCAAACGATATTTTATCCGCTGCAATCACATTGCATAACAACTTCTATTTTTTTTAATGGCCAAAGTATATCTTTGTTTATCTAATTTTATTTAAAATTTTATTTTAATTTTTTTAATTTTATAAAATATTTTTTCAATCATTTAACTTTAATACCATTAATTTTATAAAAAAATTATACATTAAGCTTTTAAATATTAATAAAATATTTTTAAATGTTGATATATTAAGTTTAACTGTTTAAATAATAATGATTGGCCTAAAAATAATAATTTAAAGTTAACGATGTTATGATTAGGGGACTGAAAATATATTTTATAAAATTTAAAATCAGATTGAAAACTTATACTATAAAATAAGAATGCCAAAATAATATTTTAATTTTTTTTAAAATTTATTTTGTTCAATCTATAGCATTACTTTGGGATGTCTGTGAGAAACGCGAATCTCATCCATTAATGCTTGAGGCTCCAAACATGATGTTTTACATTTTGGTCATGGCTGCGCCGCAACAAGGAGCTATGGGTGCCACTGCAAAGACGGGGCTCAGCGTAGATTGCTTTAAATGGAAATATGAAAATATGAGAAAGTAACATCCTGACTCCTGAGTATAGGCAAAATGGGAGAGCGACTGAATCTTGGAGAGAGAAAAAACCAGCAAGTCACGGTGTGAGCCAGGGCCATGTTCACATACACTAACCGATAACACTGTAGAATTAACTGGTCGTTGCGATAAATGCTTGAGTTTTTGTAACGAAAGCCAAAAAAAAAAAAAATCAAAGATAAAAAAAATATTCGGAAATGAAATGTAATTAATTGCAATTTTAGAATAGAAGTGGGCTCAAACTTAACGAAGTGCTTCTGAATTTTATTCCCAATGAAATGGGAGTGACTGGGAAGTATGGAACCCCTGGGACGCATCAGACCCGAACGAGTTATACACATAAAGATGAGTCCCATTGTTAACCAGAGGCGTAGCGTCCACAGCCTCATGGCTGGTGGGGCCTAGAGGCTGCTGTGACAGGTATATGGGTGCGTGCGTCGGCGCCGGTGATGACAGAAGAGAGAGAGCACGGGGAGGGGGAGGAGACTCCTCCGCTGATGAGGCCGTCATCCTCATCAGAAGCGTGTGGCACGCAGAAGCAGCTTCAACACATGGCTTCTCATGATGCTTCATTCTGGTGCTCTCAGAAGACCCGAGATATAGCTGCTGCTTACTATTGCTACGTACCACCGCCCTACCATCCCATTCCCATTCCCAACCAGGGTTCACCATAGCACCGGAAGGATACAGATTTGAGTCCGATGATGTCAAGGATACTAACTGCCTCCCTGAAAATGTGAATCGCCAAACACTATCAACAAACACACCAATTCACTTCAAAATTCAAATACAGCACAAGATAATGTAGATTGGGCGTGTACGATACGAGGGTCCAGTGGTCTAGTCAGATAATGTGCGATCGGAAGCTAAGCTAAAGCCAACCTTGGTAATTGGAGAATAAAGCAGCAGAACGAGTAAGAGGCACTGGCTGGGGCTTTCTTCTCCGTCGGTTGTGCCCGTCCAATCGCTTCCTGCAGCTTCTCTTCCCTTCATCAAATTCTTCCAGGGAATGGAACCTGCAAAATAAAATTCCAAATACGGGCAATTCGCTTTTAAGTCTTAGATTCCATGCACCAAGAATGTTGTGATTGTTATACACATGGGCTTGGATTTTGTTGCCGAGATAGAATAGGATTCTTTGTCATGCAATTCTTGTCGCTAGGGAATTTTGCCTCGAACTGGAACAAGGCGAAAGTTATGAACTCGGACACTTCCTCTCGGCAACTAAAAATTCTGAATGTCTCAGATTTAAAAAATCCTAGCATTGAGCGACCGCGAAGCCAATGTAAATAGAGTGTAACAAAGAAGTGGGAGATATAGTACCTGCTACACTGTTGGCAGAACCTTTGCTTTTGGCCGCCAATGGTGACCACAGGAGTCTTGGAATGGAGTTCGCACACCTTGTGACGCCTATGGTACTCCCTGCAGTTACTGAGATCTGAACTGCACCCATCCACGAGGCACGACGCCGTTTGGGTCCCGTTCTGAATTGCTCGAGCCCTCTTCGATGATCCTGAAGCAGCGGAGGATGCCGTTTTTGATGCTGCGGCCGCAACTTTCCACTTGGGCCCTGAGCCTTCGGTGCCAGAATTCCCGACCCGACCCAGCTTCAAATCGACACAAAATTCCCCGCCACTCGGGTTCACTGATCCGAGTGTGCTCGACCAGTAATAATTATCGACCGTTGTTTCTATGTTGGGCAGGCCTCCTCCTCCATCTAACTCCGTCAAGTCCCAGGAGCCACCCTTCAAATTCCACTCCATCAAGATTACGTTTGTTTTCTTGATCCCCTGGATGATGTATGAAGCCTCACAGTCGCATCCAAAGCAACAGAGAAAACGAGCCCCGTCAATTGCGGACCACTCAATTATAGCGAAACCATGGCAGAGAAAGGAAAAGAAAATCTAAATCAAATAAACTGGAAAGTGAAAGTGAAAGGTATATTTATATATTATATGGAAAGTCAAAAAAACTAGCGAGACCCCCAGGAGGGAGCAGGAACACATGCGTTTGAGACTTGAGTGAATGGGCAGCAGCGACAAAAGCAGAGTTCGGGGGAACCGGGAATCCAGAAGGAAGGGAAGGGGCAAGTTTTAAAATGGAGGGAACAAGGAAAAGCTATGAAACAGGAAGCTAGAGGAATCGGGGGAGAGTGGAAGAGCAGAAAATAGGTAGAAAAAGGCCAAGTACAAATGATGAAGAAAAGAAAAGGAAATGAAACGAAACAGACCTGTGACTGTGAGTGGGAGAGAGAGGAGGAGGAGGAAGGAAGGGACAAGGGAGGCGAGCACAAGTCAAAGAGAGTAGGGGGTGATGAATAGAATTGAATAGAATAGAATTGCCATATATAGGGGTTGTTGCCTTGCCAGTATGTAGAGGGCAGAGAAAGGAAGCGTAGGGATACACATGAATTAATAAAATAATAAGGCCACAGTGGGGGTTGCTTTTAACTTACAAGGGAAGATACAAAGAAACAAGCACAAAGTATGGGGTGCTCAAGGCAGGCCATGTGGCGTTGTGTTTCACATTTGATGGAATGTCTTTTCCATGGCTTTTTGTTTTTTTAATAAACATTAAGAGAATATAATATTGCTCTTACCTTCTTATTCTCAAGGCAGTGAAAGAAATTACTTTATTATTATATTTATAAATTATATCATTAATTTTTTTCATTTAATTTTCATTAATTATTGGTAAAAAATATCTTATTAAATAAATTATATTTAATAAGAATAAAGTTAAAAAATTATTAAATTTTAAACTAATTTTGTTCTTAATTTTAGTCAAAATGTATTGAAAATGATCTCTAAAATAATATAACAATATTCTCTCTTGTCCTATGTATAGGAAAAAAAAATTTCATCTCATTAATAAGTCATGTGATTAATTTTTTATTATAATTTTTTAATTTTTTATTAAATTTTGGTGAAACAAAATATATTATTAAGTAATGTATGTTTTATAAGAATAAAATTATTAAGTTTTAAAATTTTTCTTGATTTTAATAAAAACATGTTGTAAATAACTTAACAGTGAGATGAGGAAGCTGAGGGAGCAATAATTTGAAAGAAGGGGGGAGACTTGTCCATTTGGTATTGGAAAAAAAGATTTTGATCGAAGTGAGAATTAGATCTGCCACCTGCGCTGAAGTGTTTTTGTCTGAGGGGGAGAAAAAATGGGAGGAGAAAAATGTCAAAACTGGCATTTCCATATGAAAATTTTCATGGGTCAATGATAGAAATCAATTCAACCTTTTTTTTTTTAAGTAAAATTTGATTTCACCTTAAATTAGAATTTGGACATAGGAAATGAGTTAAAATATGATCTCCAACTCTATTTTCATACCTTTCAATTTTATAATGCTAAAGGATTATGGATCACGTCGTGTAGTAATCAAAAGTGTTGGATGCCTGTACCATGTGGCAAAATCCATGAAATCCTTTAAATAATATTCCATTCGTTAAAAAAATATAAAATATTTTTAATCGAATCTCACTTCTCAATAAAAAAGTTATTTACTTTCAAACTAACTCTATTTTTTTATATTTATTCATATTAAACATCCTACAATAAATATAAAGTTATTATCGATAGGAGACTTTTGAAAAAAAAAACAATAATTGCATCTTAAAAAATTAAAAATTGCCTCATATTTTCTAATATCCATCTCCTCAATAAAATGTCTTATATTTTTAAACGAAAGGAGTATCACATAGTAAATGCGTACTATATTTCTTGCATAAAATTTAAAACTTTTGTAAACAGTTCATGCCTATATTAATATTTTTATGTGATATTATGATGTTTTGTATCTGTTTTTTGTATTATGATAGATGAGTTCATATTATATATTATTTATGAATGGAGTTATATTATAATATTATTGGTTTTTCCTTCACTCGTTGCTCAATGTCAGAGGAAATGGGGGAAGATTTTATAGAAACAATAAACAAGGAATTTGATGGGGTAGAAGAAACATGTGAATTTTGAATTGTCTAAGAAATTTATATGAATTTGAATTCATGTGTTTCATAATTTAATAGACAGTGCAGTTTTTGTTATGTATAAATAGACATCTAATGCCTGCAATTGCCCAAGCATGGGATCCACACCAGATACCAAATGGATCCTGAGGAGAGTCAGAGAGAGGGCCACGCAGGGTAGAAATTTGAAAGCGGTTCGGTCGGAGTTGGAAGTGCGTAATGATGATGCATGGTGGTAGGGCCAACGGCGGACACTCCCTCTATTCAATTTAAGAGGCCTCCATGTCTGATTGCTTCCCCCTAAACCCATCCTGTCATTGGTCACCACTTCACGTTTTTCAACTCTGATTCCTAAATTTTTGGTCAAGTTTTTTTTAAACATATTAATTTTATTAATTTGTATAAAACATACCCTCTTTATTAAAAAATATAAAATATTTTTTGAGAAGTTTGATGATAAAAAATATAATACATGTTTAATATTTTAAAGTATAATTATTATCTTTTTGTAAGTGCTCTCATTGATAATGACTTTATATTTATTGTAGGGTGTTTAATAAGGATAAATATAAAAAGATAAGGTTAATTAAAAAGTAGGCAACTATTTTATTAGAGGCAAGATTTAATTAAAAATACTTTATATTTTTTTAATGGAAGGAGCAAATGTTTTTCTTTCTTTAAACAACAAATTTTATAAAATTTATGAATTTTTAATTTCAGATAATTCATTCCTAACAAAGACCAACTTTTACTAAGGACGTACTCCCTTCGTTAAAAAATATAAAATATTTTTAATCGAATCTCACATTTTAATAAAGTTGTACCTACTTTTCAATTAACCCTATCTTTTTATATTTATTCTTATTAAATATCCTATAATAAATATAATATTATTATCAATAAGGACACTTTTAAAAAAAGATATTAATTATATATCAAAAGATAAAAAATGTCTTATATTTTTAACATCAAATTTCTCAAAAAATATTTTATATTTTTTAACAAAAAGAGTACTATAAGTTTAATTTACTGAATTATTTTGAAAAAGTTAACTTTCTAAAACACACTCTTTTTGAAGTTCACTTTAAAATTTTATGCAAATTAATTTACTGTTTTTACCACCTTGAAATATCCTTTCAATTGAATTTTATTTTATACCTTTTGAAGATGAATTTGGAAACATGCAATAACTGCCGGAGTAGTAAAACTTACTCTGCCTGATCTTATATAGAACATATTTTAATAAATTCATTTAATTTTATTTATAAATTATGGTGTGATATTTTAAATAATATTTAAAAATATTTTAAAAATGATCTTTTAAAAAGATAACATAACATTATTTTTTTTTACCTTTACATGAACATATATTTAAAATGTTACATTTTTTTATTTTTTATTGACATTAATGAAGTTAGCAGAAATGATTTTATTAAAAAAAAAACACGACTACCTGAAAGTTATTTTACAAGTTACGATGAAAGTCAGTGTGAAAATTGAATTCTGCTTTTCGATAAATTAGGCAATATAAATTTCACTACTTGCTATTTGACAAAAAAAAAAAACTGCTTACTAAAATTCTTATTTTATATTTTTAATAGTACTTTAACTTTTATACACCATCTTTATGAGATAAAACAACAGTAGTTTGTTTGGTGTGATAGAATAGATGGGAAAAAGTGGTGTTCAATCCATCCATTTTATGTAGCGTTTGTTGGGCACACGACTCATTCCCCTAATTATTTTTGTTTATCTCTTTGACTGCGAGCTAAAATGCTCTGTGCAAATTTGGATATTAGTTATAGAAAATAACATAAAAAATCGCGTGTGCAATTTTTCAAGTGAAGGGAAGTCCATGATTAATGACCCATCAGATATGGAGTAGAATTATCTCTAGTAAACATATAAATATATATATATATATATATACAATGAAAAAATAATAATGGGAAGGGTAGGAAATGGTAAAAGGAGAAAGAGAGGAAGGGTAAAGTGGGGGTGCTGGAGAAAAGAGAGACAAGGGCTTTAAAACTGCAACAACCGCCAGTCAGTGTGGCAGCTGCAATTGCTATTGTCAGTCTTTTCCAATAATCGCCTGCTTCGATTAAAAAAAAAAACAAAAACACTTTATATTTATTTTAAAATAAAATATTTTATTAAATAAAAATAAATATAAAAAATACTAGTTTAAAAAAAATGACTATGATATTTGATTAAAAATAATTTTTATATTTTTTAAAGGAAGGGATAAAACGATGAAAAGTCCAAGTCGATGGGAAACAATAATGCAAGTCAAAGTGAAAAGGTTTGCAGGGCTTAAAATGGAGATCATAAATTAATGAGAAGTGGTATTTCCGTATTTGACGGTTGAGGAAGCAAGTTGAAACGAAGCATTGGGTGTCCTGAAACTGGATGCTGCCCAGTGCACAGCCGTGGCAGCCTATCATTGAAAGAAGAACCTGACAACGTGACAAGTGTGTGTGTGTGAATAAAGCGAGATCGGGGAGCAGTTTTTGGAGACCAAATTGATTTTCAATAAACACGGGGCATCAACTTGGAAATGAATGATCAGTTCCCTTCCTTGACTTGGGGACGCCACGCAAGAAATGTGCTGGGAATGGCCACTCTCTTCTCTTCCTTCCTGTTGAAAGGTATCTTCACTTCAGCAATGCCGAAACATATGCGTCACTTGCACAGAGTATTTACGAATTTCAATTTTCATGATCCAGAGGATATTTTGAGGAAGACTAGGATGCCCATTATATTCCATATTTTATATACAATCTAAAATAACTCTTCTTATTCAGGCCCAAATTTTTTTTTTTAAAAAAAAAATCTTCTAACTGGGTTTGTCCCTGAAAGCAAGCGGGCATTCTGTGCGGGAACCAGATGGGTCGTGGACATGGTTTCATATCGCGGAACCGACACTCCATCATATACCTCCACCTCCCTTCATCCATCCATTCATTTTCATTCCCAACTCCTCCGAACATATCTGACATCCAATCCAAGAATTGGCTTCTGCTCCATCATTATTATTTACCAGTCAGTGTGGGCCAGTCGAGGACCGCGGAAGACTAATGAGTAATAACCGAGATAGTGGGCCCCACGCGAGAGCCTTTTTTGATAGCAATTCCTCGACGCCGTGAAAGGACCCCACGATGAGCTTACCGGACTAATGCACTAATCAAACGGAATTTCTTCAAGTCTGTTAATTCCGTTAACCCCCCCCCCCCCCGGGGGGGTGGCCCGGGCTCTAAGCCGTGCATTATTAACTAACCTACTCCTTTGATACTAATTTTAGGAGAGAAGGGCAAAAAATTTTAATTTTATTTATAAAATATTTATTAATTTTTAATACTTTTCTTTATATTTTTTCTTATTAAATATTTTAAATAAAAATATTAAAAATGAGATTTAAGAATATTTATTAAGAATAAAAATGAAAAGTTATTAAATTTTAAAATAAAATTAATGAGATTTAAATTTTTTCTTGATTTTAATGAAATATGTTTGAAGCAATTTATGAATAGAATCAGAAAGAATATGTTGACTTCATTGCACTCTTTGATCTCTTTCGCCTGATGAATGAATAATTGATTTATTTGATTAAAAGAATTGATATTTTTCTAGAACTCATTTGTTTTAGTTTATTTTTAAAAAAAATTACTTATTTTTTGAAAAAAAAATTACCTTGTAACTTTTTAAAGTAATTGTTTAAAATTTTTAAAAAATTTGAATTCCAACAAAAATATACTTTTGATTATTTTAAAAAGTTACTTTGAGTAAGTTTTAAAAATAATTTAATATAATGGATGAGAGAGAATATTTTAAAAAGACGAATACATAAAAATATTATAAAGTTTTAAAATAATATAATAATAATTATTTTTATAAAATAAAAATTAAGGAAGATATCATAAAATTTAAAAATAATTAACCAATAACTAATGATCACTTTTTATTCTAACTAAACATAAAATAATATTTATTTTTTATAAAATTTCTACAAAATAATTTTTTTAAAATCTTTAAATTACCTGAAAATTACTTATTTTTTTTAATTTTAAACAAATCGGGCTCTACTCTCCATCTCTCCTGTTCTCTTTTAGTGTCACAATGATTATATTGTTTATTTGTAAATTATATTATAATTTGGATAAAAATCTAGATGATCAAAACAAACTATAGCACCAAATCTATTTTTCTTTTTCTTAAATTTTAAAAGAAAACAAGGGAAGAACGTGATTCGTCATAATCCCGCTATAATCTCATCCCATTAAAAAAAAAAAAAAAAACGAACCGCCCAATAAAAAAAAGGCCATGATGTGATGCGAGGACTGAGGAAGGAAAAGGAAGACGCAGAGGCCGCCATGAGAAGCTTGGAAGCGAAAGGGAAAGAAACAGAGACACTGGAGGAGCTTTACAACAATTTGGTACGAGACTGGAACGCCTATAAGCAATCTAACCCAGGAACATCACGCACTTGTTGTGCGGACTCATGCATAACCGTCAAAGCCGTTCAACTGCTTCACAACTCTCCAAGACATCTCATGTCTCAGCTTCAGGGCATCACCACAGAGATTGCCGGAGACGGAAGGAAGATGAAGGGACGGCGGCTTTTTGAGGCTATGGAGGGAGAAACTGAAAAGGAACTGGACATGAGTCATGCGAGGAGATCGTTGTCGTTTTGTTATTCAGAGGACGAGGACAGTGGATTCAAGGGGCAACGTCATTCATCGTCGTCCTCGTCGTCTTCACCTTTTGGGTCAGGCGAAGAAGAGGCGAAGGTGAAGGGAGGGAAGGAATCAGTTTGTGTGGAAACAGATGGAGACAGGAGGAGTAGGATGAATGGAGGAAGGTACATTGTAATGTTAGGTGGTTTTGGCATTGCTTTGCTTATATTTGCAGTCTGTGTGATATCTGCCACAAGTTATGGTGGATTCGAAGGGATTCTAGTCCCAACCTGACCTCTCCTTCTTAAGTGCTCTGTAACTGCTGCTACATGTCTCAATTTTATGATTTGATTTTTTACCACACTTCTTCACGCATTTTCTTTTCTTTCTTTTCGGTGTAAGATGAAATTTAAACAAGTCTAATGCAATCAGCGGCTTGTTAATATCGTGCTTAGCGTCTCATCGACGGAGAGTAATTTCTGAAAAAAAATCCCCCCACCCCCGGGAAGGTGGGGGGGGGGGGTTGTTACGATTATGACATGACTTTTCTAGATGACGTTCTTTTCATCTTAATCTCTGACGAAGATCTAACAAGAAGCCTAGTGGAACATCTTGAATCGGGTTCAACTGGGGAGACTCAGGCGCAGGATGACTAAGATTTAGAAATAGACGAGGCCTTTCTCTCAGCTGCATGCCTTTTCACCTCTTATTTCATGATTCATTGAAGCAAACATTTGAAATAGGTCGAGTTGTCGCGAGTCTCATTGCATTAGTTACACACTTACGTGCATGCATGCGCCCCCACATGGGTTAATGGTGAATTCCAAGACTTACTATAAAGTATTCATATGATAATTACCAGTAAATCAAGTTACTGCGCATCAGCTTGAGACTACTTTTTCACGTACAATGTACATACGCTGAGAGAGAGAGAGAGTATCGTATAATTCCTACGGGGCCATTTCTTTGTACAAAAGGGAAGGGACCCTGATTACAGTAGTATGTACAGCAAAAAGCTAAGCAGTCGCTTGAACATCACCCCTCAAGTCGGTCAAAGGTTAAAAGGTTAATTAATTATAGCTAACTTCTGCCAGCGAAGCTCACGCCACAAATGGGGTAGTACTTGATGACATCCGAGCAGATCGAGCCGCAACCACCATTTCCAACTTTAAAATCTGAAAGACGGCAGTTTCTCTAAAACTTCAATCGTTCATCAGGATTCCTTTTTGTCAATCCCAAAGAAGGAGCAATTCTGGAATGCATCTAGGCTGCTGGCTATCAAGCGATTCAAACCACTATCGCTTAAAATTAAATCTTGGCTATGGTACTTCGTTGATGGTACATCTAAATCCAGTGGTCCCAACGAATCAGGCTGCAACATGATAAAATGACATCTCCGAACAAGTCAAATAGCTACTCAAAAAGTTCAAAAATCAAATACAAGTTCATTTTCTGTTTAAATCAGTATAATAGTTAAAATCTTTAAAGCTGCCTCGATTCCATTGATTTGATTAATGATTCACACTGTGATAATAAGAAACTTGTAATGCTTGGCTGTGATGAACCTATTCCTTGAAATTGCCCAGCAGCAGATGAGCCTCACAAGGTGCATACAGGCCACGGGCTTGAAACACAGTGAAAACAGTTGTATGAAAGAGCCACCTACCCCTCACCTAAAAAACAAAAAAGGAGGAGGAAAGAAGCAACATACCCAGTACACATCCACTAGCCCACTGAAATCTTTTGCTGAATGATCCTGGAAATCTGCCTTAGATTCAAAACCATCTATAGGGACAGTATGAGCAAAATTATCCACAAGCCTCTCTCTTTTAGGTGACTGCTGCAATGAGAAGGGAAGTTAATATCAATTCCCAATAAACTTGTAGCAGTAGACTACCAAAACTATAAAGTATTACCTCAACCAAATGCTCAGAGCAAATGGAGTTTCTTCCTGGAACCTGTTTGTGGGATTCGGGAGAAGTAATGGGAGATACACAGGAACCAACTTCACGAGAAACAGGATCTTTTTTAAACAAAAATGCATCACACGTTTCTTCAGCATCCCAGATGGAAGATGTATGGGATGCCAAAGTTGGTTGATGCCCCATCTTTTCTCGATGTCGAGATATGTGAGCGGCAATAGCAGCATCAAAAGAATCACTGCTAAAAGGAATTTGGAGAAGACCATTACAATTCTCAGCACCAGTTGGATTAATGAACCTATCTTCCAGATCCTCAGATGCTCCTGAAAGTAGGTCTCCTACGCTTATGTTGGTAAGGCTATCAGCCCATTCACCAGCTGAAAAACCCGTTCCATTGCTTAATCTCAACTCGTCCTGAGCACACAGTAGAAGGTAAAGATCAACAGAAAGACAACATAGATTTGGATGCTAGCAATGATGGATAATCTGCCACTTGACAAACAACAATAGGGCCAGTAAGACAGCTGACAACTGCCGGTCACAAAAAAGAGAAAAGCTATGTAATAACACTCAGAAGAGAGTAAAAATTCAGTACTCTGAAGCAGGAACAAATGTTATTCCATCAAAGCAAACGAATTATCTCATGACTCAAAAAAAGACGAAAATCTACAGCATATCTTTGAATTAAGAAAGAGAAGGGGGGTTACCATTTCATCTACTTGTTTTGTCATGATTTCATCCCCAGCATCAGTTCCTTGTGATGAAACAGCGAGTGTAGCATTGCCAGACTCCTTAATGCTTGGATTTAGGGAAACATTGTCATCTCTTGCATTAGGCAAATCAGTTGAAGTAGTGGCAGGAGCAAGATTCTTGGCTGTGGATGTTCCTCGATCATCACAAGAATCCTGGTGATAATTATTTGTTGATGTTGTAGGGAGAGAAGGATCCACAATGTGACCCTTCACATTGACCGTGTTAATGTTGGATTGTCCAGGCATGCAGTTAAATGCAATAGGCCCTTGATTATTTGAAGGTCCAAGTTCGGCATGGGAAAACCATCCATACCTTCATTAAAAAAAAAAAAAGTGGACATAATAACAATCTAATCAGTATCTGGTAAGGAAAAGGTTTGCAACGATTGGTTCACCAATACATAGTAAATAGGCTTCTCTCAGTAAAAACAAGTAGGCTGTACTACATAAAATATGTGACTGTAATCCATCCAACCTTCACATTTGATTATCTCAAAACTTCTGCATGAAAATTTTATCTGTGTTTCTAACTCTTCTCCAGAGATTCCAAAATGAGTGAGATAACTTAACATTGAAGGTCCGTGTGATATTTCTTAATTTTATCTCGTGTCTTTCTTTCCTGGCCATTCCCTAATGACTTAGAACTGCATCGACAACCACATTTTTACCCATTAGCCAAAAAACACAACAGTAAACACGATCATAATGAGGCAAATCTATTCGATGAAAACATACGCAACAAATTTTCACAAGTATTTTTTTCATTTAACAGACTATTAAGGTTAAATCATACTCATTAAATTTCTTAAATGCTACTGGTTAGTTGCTTCAAATTTAACAAAGAAGCCAAGAAGAAGGAAAACAGTCAAGGGGTACCTCAAACGGAATATAGGTGGGCTTCCAATCATTCCATATACATCTCCTGCACTAACAGTAGATTCTTGTGTCCATCTCTGATAACTAGCCAAATTCTCTTTCTGAATATTATAAGGAAAAAGCATTAATTGTCCAATTGCCATGCTCGAATTACCCCATTTACGGTTCAGATGATCTATTATTGATGATATCTTTTTTCGAGTACTAAGAGTAAGCTCCAGGTATGGATTGTGACTATCCTGTAAAGAAATTAGGGGGCAAGATAAATATACAACATTCAAGAAGCCATCTGAAATTCTATAGTTGGATGCTTGCAGTTTGTTCTCACCCTTTCCAAGGCTCTTCGAGTACAATCATCAATCGGGAACAACTGGAGCTTAAGTTTCACGATATTCTGTATGTTGTTATCAACAACGTCATTTTGAGGAGGTTTGGGCAATAGGGGCAGAACACTGTCAACAGGTTCAAAACACTTTTCTACTGCAATAAAATGGAAGAATCAGTGTGAAGTCATAAATCTCTGAAGTTTTAAGTCCTTTAGGGTGCAACTAACAGGTAAAAGTACCAACAAGATGACTACCTGAAGTCCCCTGGTCATGTTCAACGTCCTTGACAGTGGCAACCCGCTCCAAATGTTCTGCAGCATCTGCAACTAAAGAAACACCAGCCATTGCAGCCTTTTCCCATTTTTTATATGCAGCTGCTGTGATCATGCCTGCTAACAATCCGTCACTCAAGTCTCAAGGGTCATAAAAAATCCCTTACTATGAAAAATATAAGAAGCATTTATGTAGGATGTTTTCTATTGGATATCAACAATACTAATATGAATGACGAAACTAGTATAAAGTAGATAAATCGTGAAGGTTAGAAGATACAAGGGGAACAGAAAAAAGAATCACCTGGTTTCTTTCGTTGCCTTGAAGGTTTCATGGTAGTTGACTCTCCCTTAGTGTTGTTTCGGTTAATACCCATGTTTACATTGCGCTTCAATGATGCTTTTGAAGTTCCAAGGCTTTGAATGTTTTGACTATCAACAAGAACCAGTTTAACAGTTCGAGCATCATTTCCCAAGGTTCTATTTTGATTAGAGACAGTATTGGTGGCAGCAGGAGGGTAATTTTCCCCCTGCAAAGGTCTCCTGCGCACATTCTTCTTCCGGTCTTTCATGAGTTGGTGCTCCTTCATGGCAATATATGTAGGTCAGCTCAACCACATACTGAAACACAAAATATAATACCTTCAGATGGTCAAAGATATTTTACTAACCAAGGCCTCTACAAATATTTTGAATTTCCGAGGCTTCAGGTGAAGCTTTGAGGCTTTGCAGCTATATTTTTCTAATAATGACCACCTGCAACAAAAATGAGAGAAAGCAGAAAGCATCTATCATTCTGCTGAAAACTTCAATTTTTGAGTGATAGGATAGGATGCTCTTTATCTTGCAGACAAACAAGTATCCATATGGAAAACAGTCGGTCATAGTGTAATTAAGTTTACCAGCGAAGCATTGCAGCGTTTGTATCTTTAGAGTTTTTAGCATCCAAACACAATTCTGGTCCAAGAAGCTTGTTCATCCGTCTTACAAGCCTATAGTAATAATGCCTGACCTGAAATCGAGCAACCAACACAAAGGATTGGAAAAAGAAATCAGTTTAAGAAATTATTGAAAATTTCAAACAAAATTTGCTTGGGAAAAATCAAATGGGAAAAGGAAGAACTATGCCTAGCAATAGATACCTGGTCCTTGTTTTTGCTTTGCACACGGCAAGTGATCTTCTCAAAATTCTGCATTTAAAGATAATGTAATTAGCAAAAACTTTTATAATCACATAAAGGACATATCAATTTACACACACACACACACTTACCTTGCCCACTTGTCGTAACGCAGTGAAGAAGCTTTCTTCCTCTTGACGAGTCCAAGCAGCCCACTGCCTTGTCGGCTTTTTAGGGGCTGTAAATGTTTGTTAAGAATGGAACCATTCACTCCTCAAGTCTCAACAATCACAAGCATCAAAATGTCTATATTAAGAAAATAATAATAATAAGGTGCAAATATGAAAGCTGACCAGGCAGCTGCGGCAAGACAATATTCATGATGGATGACGAAACTCCAGGACCACCATTTTGAATTGAGACAGTCTCTGGATGAAGGTGAGAATTAGAATCGAGAGAGATCTGCGCTGTAGACTGCATATTTTAGCATATGCTCATATTTTATAATGCTCCAGCCAATGCTAAAAAGCGCAAGCCCAGATTCAGCTGCCTGGGAACATGGAGAAGGTAAGATGTCAGGATATCAGAACACAGGAAGAAAAATGGGCACAGCGGCAGAAAAAATCCCAACTTTTTTTCTTGGGAGGGGGGCAGTTGTTAAGCCGAGTCGTCTCCCAAACTGGAAGGGTCACAAATTAATTCGCAGCCATAAAAAAAATAAAAAATGAAACCTGAGTACAAGAATCACTGACAATCAATTCATGCTCCTATCCATCACAGATAATACTTGCAAACATATAGAAACATTCAATTAAAGGATTCTATATTTTAGAATTTCACAGAAACCCTAAAAACATCGTGGTCATCGCAGGCAACATACATTGACAGTAACAAATAAGAGACTAGGGTTTCGATCTCGAGGTATAAACAGAACTACTGGAACAATCACGCGTACAATTACATGACGAACAATTGAAAAAGAGGAAAAAGAATTCCGAAACTGCAATACCTGAGATCGAGCAAATTCTTTGAGACAAGGTCGCAAACTTCAGGTGTTAGGCGATCGGTCAAGATCGGAGGGAATCTTCCGACAGACGTCTACAGTTGAAGAGCAAGGAAATGGATTTACTTTTTTTCCCCCAGAAAAATAAAGGAAAATAACATGTAATTGATTATTATCCAATTTCTTCAATTCAAAAGTGAAAAAATAAAGGATTTTTTGGCACCTGGAATTGGAAAAAGGTAATAAATGAATAAATATAGCACCACGTCCTTTATTTTTCACTCAAGCTACAACTTCAGCGGGTAATAATAATAACTTGAAGAATAGGGCAAGATATTTGATTTTCTTTAAGCTTCGGCACATGAACGATGAATGAATATAATGAATATGAATAGTGAATACAAAAATAATAAATAAAGGGTGAAAACCATTAGGCTTACTTTTCCAGTTTTCCTACGTGCCTGTAACAAGATGCAAAATTGCAAATGTGCCAATAAAGAAATCAACACACTTTTTCTTTTTTATTAATTTAATAATAGTAAATAATGTCATTGCATTCTCCTTTGGACATAAATAAGAAAAGATTGTATCTACTGTTATCTTGTGGATTGCTTGGACTCGGAGGGCAAGCAAGGAATGAACCAAGGGCGAGAGGAAGGAGGACCCGTTTGATTCAGTTATAATTTTTTTTATGAACCCACTTATAACTCAATTCCTTAATTATAACTCACTGCAACTTAATCTTTCAATTATTACTCATTGCAATTAAATCTCTCAATTTTTAATTCACCTATAATTCGATCCTTATTTTTAAATTTTTTTAAATTTCTTATCAAATAATAGAGATAAAAAAACACTCATATATTATTCTAAAATATCCTCTTCTTACTCATTGATATAAGATATAAGCTAACATAAAAAAAATTAATAAAAATTTAAAGACTAGTTTATAAGTGATTCAAAAGTTGAAAGACTGAGTCACAGTAAGTTATAGTTGAGAGATTAAGTTATAAGTAAATTAAAAGTTAGAGAATTAAAAGATAAATTTTTCATTATTAATAGTAAATAATGTCATTGCATTCTCCTTTTGACATAAATAAGAAAATATTGCATTTGCTGTTGTCTCGTGGATTGCTTGGACTCGGAGGGCAAGCAAGGAATGAACCAAGGGCGAGAGGAAGGAGGACCCGTTTGGTTCAATTATATTCCGTTCTAATAACCCCATGCCATGTAATGTAATATTAATTATCATGTATTTGTTTGGTATGTTAGTAGTTATGGGTTAGTTTTTAAGAAGAATTATAGTTAACCACCTCCTAAAAAAATTAATTATAAATGAAAACCAATATAAAATAAATTATTGTTAAAATTAAAATATGATTTTTTTAATGAGATTTGTTGTTAATCTTTATTTATAATTAATTCATATGAGAAGAGGTTAAATATAATTTTTTCTGGTTTTTATATTTAATTGGATGCGTCAAAAATGAAAAGACCAAAATAATCCCAACCAAGAAGAATCCTCCATCCCTCCTCTCTTCTCAACTTAAAAGATAATTGAAATTTTCCATTGCTTCTCCACGATCATGCCTCCACTATACCTTTTCCTATTGATCATGACCTGCTGGAAAGTTTCAATTGCTTCTTACCTTTTTCCACGTGAAGTCATTCATTTCTTAAATTTCTTTTGTTCAAAGCCTTCCGTTACAATTTTTATTTTAAATCAACCAGAACCTCAAACAAAGTCCACAAACAAACATGCTACAATAACTAGATCAGTGGAAAATAACAGAAACACAAAAATAAGCTTGAATGACAAGAAGGAACTGGAATAGACTCGCAAACGGAGAGCCAAATCAGGGGAGAAGGAAACCCACATTTGTCGCGCACATGGACGTTGTTAACGCTAGCATGGGAATGGGTGAAGGTTGGTGGTGGCATTCGACCTAGTTATTGAAAGTAAAGGTTACCATACCTGAAGAAGTTAGGCAGGCTGACACAGACGTGGTTGGCAATGGCTGGGAGGAGGCCGCCATCATTAGCATTATATGAAGATGGGAGGGGGAAGATGGAGAGAGAAGAGCTTGACGATGATAGAGAGATGAAGAAAAAGACACAAGTGGTGAAGAAGAAAAAGAGGGGTGGATCGGCGGTCGCAACGATGGAGAGAGTTACAAGGAAGAAGGAACAGATGACTGCAGAGATAACAAGGGAGGCGGACAATAGTATTAGTGGCAACGATGAGATAAGAGGGGCTGTGATTCAAAGATGGAAGAGGTGTGGGGAGAGGTAGCAAAAGTGGAAGAAAGCAATTTTAGAATAAGAAGATAGTAATGAGATGCAATGAAAATTCAGTGGGCAAGGGCTATGACTGTGGATGAGTATTATCATATTTATGGTAATAATGTGTAATTATCTTTACCATAAGCCTACCTAAAAAGCTAACCAGCCAACTTTTTCAGCCATAATGCAATGTTGATTGTACCAAACATGCTGCAGTAAGTTTTTTTTTTTTTTGTGGGCCTCGAAAGAATAACTGAAAATAAAGGGTAAATTGACAAGAGAAGAAACATGGAAAATAAAAGTGCCTATGGAGCTAGCCAGTCAGCCTCGTGTAGCATACAGATGGACATATTTGCATTTGAATTAAATCTCAGATTTCAAATATATATAATTTTTTTAATAGTTTAATAAATTTTAAATGAAGAAAAGAAATCAGTTGAAATTTGAAATCAAAATGAAAAATTGAGAACGATGAATTCATCTCCATTTTTCAATCGATGAGAAACAATAATTAAAAATTAAAAAAAAAAAGATATAAAAGTCATCAATGCATCAATAACGAGGAAGGCAAAGAAAACAAAAGATTTAAATTGAATAGAATTTTAAATAATTAAGATACAAAGATAATTTGAATTACAAAAAATTGCAATAAGAGATGAATTTGGACGTAAACCATAAGTGAATTCATAAATTTTTGTGTATCCAGATGAGTAACTTCCTTCAAATCCAAACCTAAATTCTCATTGATCCAAACATGTCACTAAATTATATGTTGGTAGGATGTAATGGATGCTGAGGAACATGTAATTTGCTAGATGAAATTTTATTGAAGGATGTTGCAAAAACCTATGAGATATGAAAATTGTTTATTGGGATCGTGGATTGATTTCTCCGTGATAGTTGAAGTTTCCTGGGTTTTCATAATTTTTCATCAGAGATGGTGTTTGGATTAAAATTATACCATGCCTCATCTAGAATAATAAGATTCATGACATTTTGATTGAGAACCAGCTCCTTCAACACGCCTCTGGCATCATTTCCATTTCAGGCAAACATGTGGATAAGATTAATATGGTGATATGATGTTAGAATAAATGATCTAAAATAGAAATTATCTCATCAATTTAAAATGTAGAATATTTTTTATCAATTTGAAATGTTTAAGAAAAGTTTTTCAAAGCAACTTGTAACATTAATACGATATAAAAAAACATCATTACATTTCAATATCAACTAAAATTAAAATCAATATGTCATAATTGCATTTAATCTTTTCTATACTTCAAGCTACTCGTATTTCTATTCCATTATTATCGTTCCCATTCGGCCATTCCCATTCTCCTTCTCATTCCTTCACGAAAGAATCCTGTGAGACAAACAAAGCCTTAAGGAATATAGTCATCAAGGATGCAACTAGCATGGAGACGTGGGAGGGTTGACGCTGACAACGAGTTGTTGGGCCGCTGAATCGTCCATTGAATTTGGAGTCTTCGTCAACATATATCAGTCTGTCCTCGTGTCCGTTTTTTTTTTTTTTAAATACAGTCAACTACCACCCCTTTTGCTAAAAAAAATAAAATAAAAAACTTATCTCTCCTGAGTCCTGACCCAACTTCAATTATAAAACGCCTTTTCTTTCCCCCCCGGCCTCCAGGCCCATCAAATGCACCATCAACTTTCTTTCACACTGATTTCATCTTTTTCAAAAAATTATTTAAAAAAATATAATTTTTGATTCATACATTTTGTTCGAATTTTATAATTAATTTTTTTTATTTTTTTATATTTTAAATTCATACACTTTTATTTTTTATTGTTTTAAATTCTTCAATCAACAAAATGTAGGGATCTTGAAGAAATCTAAAATAATAAACAACAAAATTGTAAGAATTTAAAATGCAAAAAAAAAAAATACAGGGACCAATAACAAAACTTGAACAAAGTCTAGGAGCCAAAGGTTATGTTTTTCCAAATTATTTACTCTCGTGCATAATTTCTTAATTTTATTCCTCCTTTTTCCTTGCACTCAGAGAGTTAAAGATAAAATCTGCTGGTATGCATGGTAACCAGATACCCTCCTGGTTCCTGTTTATAAATCGCCTTCTGTATGCCTTTTCTCCCTATTTGCGAGTTATGCTGAGAAACTATGAAAAAATTGATATTTTTTCAGTAGTGCTCTTGATATGGACATTCTTGAGTGATTATAGTAGGGGAGGGACTAAATTACAAGACACGAGTAAATTGAGTTATAATTTATTACACTTAACTAAGGGCATATGTGAAAAGACGGTAATTTTAAAATCTCAACTAGCTTTGACTAACTTTCCTAACCCATACGAATTAGTTAAGGAAGTATAAATACGAGCAGAATGAGTAGTTTAACTATCAAAAGTGATCGAGAGTATTTCATTCATGACTTGATAGATGAAATCACGGATCAGCCCAGAATCGCAGTAATAAATCATTTATATGCCGGACCCATCAGGCCATCACCACATCAAAGATCTTATGAATTATAAACATTAGATCTATAAACTTCGTCAGGTATATTTCATTTATCTCAATACCATTCAATATATAATTAAATTACTCGCAGTGCCTTGGTCACATGAGCACGCAACGATAACATAGATCATCAGTCACCATTCCAAAAAAAAGCCGAGAACCGCTCAATTGCGATGAAAAGGGAAAACTAGAGGCTTCCATCGCCAAGTCACTCTCCCTGGAAACATAACAAAACAAACACGAATGATGTGTGCAATGCGAAGTCGAAAGAGATTGATTTGATGGCTCAGCCCAACGAAAATAGTTTCCACAACAAGATTCATCAAGAAAATGACATGGCCCATCCAGGCCTCATCGGTGAGGCCCAGTGCTCCTTCACTCATCTCTTTCTGTGGCCATCTTTCTCTGCACTGAGCTGGTTGGTAGCTTTCCTTGTGTTCCCCTGTACTAAAATGGCGGCACAGCACAGTGGGGCTTACTGTTGAAGGAAGAAGAAGAGACAGTCAATATTGCTTATTGGAATGGAATATCTCGTGTTCTCAGGGATGATGATATATCAGAGACAGACACGCATGAGAATGCCAGCACTTTGGGATGATTCTCAGAGTTTATTCCCCTTGGATCACACTCTGCTATACCATTTGTTTCCCTCCATACATGATTTTTCATGTCGATGATGGTTAGGGACACCCTCACCATTCACCAACCAATGACACGTTAATATTCCAACTGACGCCGATAATCCTGCCCTGCCTAACTGATAAAAATATTAAATTCCAGTCAAAAATTAACTGGAAAGTATGCTTTCGAACGATCACTTTCATTTTCCATAAACAGTCTCTTCTAGGAATCTACACATAACTACAAACTGTATTGCTGCTAGTCACTAGCTGTTTGATAAATCGTGCGTACACGTCACCCTTTGAAGCTAGCGTCTGTTACTGCAGATTTGGAGTATCACTTTCATAGCCCAAAGCCAGTGGAACTGTCGCTAGATGAAGCAAGGGAGTGAATAATTTGATTCCTGCTATGAGTTGGGTCCACGAAATTTGTACCTAGTTTGATTAATGATCCTTTTAACTTTGATGATAAGTTATGTATATTACTGAGTCAGATCACAGGGAAGAATGATTAAAGCTTTAGAATATTAGAGATACAGGGTGCATATATGCATGGAATGTAATGGAGGGATAAACAGTGGACAATAAAATTGTTTGGACGTCAAGCCAGAAGGTGGCATCGCACTCTGATTCGCTAAAATACATGCTCTGATGAGGTTTGATACATATGATCATTTTTGGATATGAATGAGAGGCCACTAATTCTCTTCTTATCCTATCCCTTACCCTTAACCACTAGTATTATATTCTTCTCCTTCCGTCATCAATTAAGTCAAGGTTTTTGTCCTTATTTTGAAACTTTTGCATCCCTTTTTTATCTTGTAATAAATGATAATTTTATATAGTTTCATCCATTTAATTTAAACTTTTAAATATTTAGTTGAGGTTAATCAAGTTTAATTAGATATTATTTAATTTTATTATCCAATCTTTAACTTTTAAATTTTAACTATCTAAATTTTAAAATATAAACAATATCTTTAATATTTTTACACATTTGTTATTTTATTTTATTTTATTTATACAGATTATTTAGATTCAATTTAAAAGATATTGATAGAAATTATTTTAAATAAAAAATATGGGCATACTTAAATATTAGATCAAGAATCAAATTGTGAAAATTTTATTAAAATTTATTTTAAATTTTTTAGTGTAGTTTTAATTATAATTATTTAGGATTGTTTTGTTAATTTTATTAAATTATTAGATTTATTTAACAAAGTGGGCAGCACGTGACATACGGCTTTTTATTTAAAAGAGTTGGCGGCGGGAGCTACGTGAAGGAAGGAACAGAGCACGCGCCGGAGGCATCACCTTCAGAATTGGGAGAAGGGTGGAAACGGAGTTGGCGAAGGAATGGGAGAGGAGAGGCTATCGCTATTCTTCATCTTCTTTTTCTATCCTCCAATTTGTTTATTTTTTTGGTGATGGCTGCTCTCTTTTATTTGATTTTTAATTTTATAAAAAGTTAATTTTTATAATGTGATTAATTATAAATTATAATAAAAGATTTTATTTTAACTTTATTTAAATTTTTTCTTCTTCTCCCCACATCTAAATTTTATATTTTAATTATTATTGTTGATTAAAATAATTTTATTACGTAATTTTTGAGTTATAAATTTTATTTAAGGTTTTACTTGTTATAATCAATTGATGTAATAATATAATAATAACTTAACTTATTTGAATGATTATTTATGCTCTGTTTTTACTGTAATTAGTATAGAAATAGTTGTTAGGATGTGGGTTAAAAAAAATTTTAATTAATCTATGAATTAATTTTTTATTTAATTATTAAAAAATAATTTAAAAAATATACAATAAAATCAAAATAATGAAATTAAATAAAATTAATTTATTTTGTGGATGATAAGGATTAAGTTTAGTTGATTGAGTTGTGACCGTTGTTCTTAATAATTTTTTTAGTTGAATTTACTTTATTTATTTTAATTTAATTAACTTTTTAAATTAATTTTATCATAAAATTTTTTTCATTATTTAACTTTTTATAATTATGACTGATTTATTAATTTCTGGAGAGATAATTTAAGTTGCATTTTATTATAAATTTTAATTTTTATTAATTTTAATAGCGTCATCTTGTAATTTGGTGATCCCACCTGTCCTCATTATTATTCAATGCTCATGGCCCTAGAGTGCATGACTATTCGTGTCAGTGAATTTTAGGCGAAGTTTATCATCGCGAATCTCAGTACGGTTAAAGAATAGCTTGCAATTACGGCAACTTTTTGCTCGCATCAATCATTCATATGTATGAAATTTCATGTTCTTCTCGTTCACGTGATAATGTATATTTATCTTAATTTATAAGTCACTTTAAATTTTTAATATATTTTATTAAAATTAAATATAAAAAATTAAACTTCGTTAATTTTATTTACAAATTTAATAAATTACCTTTATTTTATTAAATATACGTGATTTAAAAATAAAAATACTCTAATGTTTGATAACTTTTTCACTATTTGGTAAGCGTGAAAGAGTAACAATGGATACAATAATTATTAACGTATCATATAAATAAAACCAACATAAATACTTTTTCTCTACTGTAAGACTAGGTGAGTATTGCATTAAAAGTTAATGTGAACTAGACGAGTCAGTGGAGTAATTGATCGTTGCAGGAAACTAATGATTAATTTGACCCGACCCTCATGACGCCGAGAGGTGAGGACATTTAGACCCCTGTTAGGCGCATCGACCAAACATACATGTAAGGTTCGAATGCTTTGCTTTCACCATATGATCCATTTTATTTCAACACTCTCAATCATTGTCGTGATGAAAGCCATTCACACAACAGATTAATGTTGATTGTCATTAATTTTCTCTAAGATGTAGCAGAACAGGTTTAACATGACTTGGTTATCGTGTAATATCCGTGCATTTGAAAAGGCGTCAGCAGATGAAAGCATCGTATAGGTACAATTTATTATTATAAATTGTAAGTATGTATGCGGTGTGTATGCCGGAGCAGAGTCATAAGCGCTGTATGTGATTTAATTTGGCTGTAGTTGGAATTAGATAGTAGCAACATGAGCATCAAAAAGCTAATAATATAACATACTCCCTCTGTTATTATATATAAAATATTTTTAATCAAATCATATAAATTAATAAAAATTAATTATTTAATTAAAAGTATATTAATATTTTAATTTTACTTTTAATTATTGTAAATAAAAAATAAATATCTTTTTTAAAGTAAATTAATGAAAGTATTTATTTTATTTTTTAATTTAATAAGAGTATAATAGTTCATTCATTAAATAATAAGCCAACAATCTCTCATGTTTAGAAATAAAAAAAAAACCTTAAAAGATTTTTTATGTATAAAGAGAAAGAGAGTAGAAGTTATGTATATATAGATTTACATCAGTTTTGAGTGCGATCGGATAGCGATGGGGATTTGGGAAGCAATAGCGGGAGCTGAAGCAGCCAAACACAATGAAACGGAAAACCTTCTCTCTGGATGCCATATTGGAGTTTGGTCCATCCACCATCATCATTTGGACCCCAACGTCTTCAGCTTCCATTCCTTTCTTCTGCTTTGTCCTCTCTCTCTCTCTCTCTCTCTCTCTCACTCATCTTATTTCGTTTCCACGATTGATCCACGAGGAGGTTAAAAAGGAAAAAAAATCTTTTAAGGACTATGAAAGTAATTTAACATTAAGGATCAAAAAATTCTTAAATATCATTACAAGATTAAGGGATTAATTTAAAAATAATTTTAGATAACAAAAGATTATAGCATCCCTACTTTTATTTTTTTTTAATTTGTTAACCAATAATAGTTTATTATTAGATATAAATGAACAATTGTTATTTAACAAATGACTATTTATTAAAATATAATTTACATTTATCCTGTCTAACAATTAAGTTTTTTTTAAATTATTAAACTCGTCAACTAATAAATGCATGGCTTTTTGTTAAATGAAAACAGGTACTTACTAATTAATAAATAAATATTTATTAAAATATAATTTACATTTATTTATTCTCACAACTAAGTTTTTTAAAAATTATTAAATTTATTAACCAATAAATCACTTTTTATTAAATACATAAATATTAATTCATGAGTGATTACTCGATTTAAAAAAAGGGTATTAGAATTTTTTTCATTTAAAAATTATTTTAAATTAATTTTCTTAATGTCAAAATATTAAATACTCTCGGTGAATTTTAAATGATATTTTTCCATGAAAAAAATACTATACATGATCATGAATTAATTTGACGGATTGACGTGACGGCCCATAGAATAAAAGTCTACGTGAAGCGAAGGTTGGAACTTCGAGTGCGTGAGCAGATTTTTTTTTTTTTTCCCAAGAAACTGTACCGTTAAATTCAAAAGTGTGAGATTTGTAGGTTCTAGGGATTTCTACTGAGGAATTGCAAAAACAGTGAAAGCCCAATACACCAATAAACCAGAGAGCACCATGTGTCTCAAGTACACCGCGCCTCCGCCGCACGTGCCACGTCACCTTACGATGAGGATGATGATAATGCCAGTGGGCCCTACTCCTCATCTCGCCGCCTTCATCTCTTGCCCCTCGCAGATTGAAACCCACGCTTTTTATACTTCTTTTTTGTATATTGCTGCATGCACTCTCTGCAAAGAGGAAGTGAGCCCAGTCCCACACACACACGCACTACACTCCACGCTCCTTCTTAAAGGCAAAGACAACCCTGCGAAACAAGAATTCCCAGGCAAACTTAAACCAATGGGAGAGGTCTTCATCTTTCTTCCCTTCCTTCTCTTGTTTCTTTCTCCCATCTCTCCTTCTCCTTAACTCTTTTTTTTATTATTTATTTTGAATTTGAATTCAGGGGGAGAAGAAACCGGAGGAAACCAAAATGGAGGAGAAAAAGCCTGAGGAGCCAGAGAAGGCAGGGCCAGAGGAAGCCAAGCAGCAGGAAAAATCGGTCGATGACGCCAAGGATGAGAAAAAACCGGATGAATCCAAAGACGCCGGCGACGGCAAGGAATCTAAAGAACAAACTCCGCCGCCGCCGCCGCCTGATATTGTGCTTAAAGTTTACATGCATTGCGAAGGTTGTGCTCGCAAGGTTCGTCGCTCGCTAAAGGGATTTCCAGGTGAGGTGCTGTGAGTTATTAGATGCCTTCATCACGCACCCTTTTTTGATTGATTGGAGTAATAAAGGGCATTATCTGAGTATGTTCGTGGGTGCTCTGGTTTAGGGGTGGAAGAAATTATCACGGATTGTAAGGCCCACAGAGTTGTTGTGAAAGGAGAGAAGGCAGATCCGCTTAAGGTTTTGGAAAGAGTACAGAGGAAGAGTCACAGACAGGTCGAGCTTCTTTCTCCGATCCCAAAACCGCCGGTGGAAGAGGAGAAAAAACCCGAAGAGAAAGAGAACCCTAAGTCTGAGGAGAAGAAAGAAGAGGTTTTTGCCTTTTTTTCTCTCGTTAACATTTCAGCCGCCTTTATTTTGTTGCCCTTGCATTTTCTTCCTTCTTAACGGCCAAACACTTCATGTCAAGCAGCCTGAGATAGTGACAGTCGTCCTGAAAGTTCACATGCATTGCGAAGCCTGCGCGCAGGAAATCAAGAGATGCATCCAGAGAATGAAGGGTGTGTAAAAAGTCTTCATATTTTTTCCCAATCTTTTTATTCACACTCCTTTCCCTCGTTCGTGCAAATCAAATAACGGTCTCCTGCGAGTTTAGATTATTTTCGTCCCTGTGCTTCAAATTAATAAACAATATAGTGTAGATTACAATCATGAGATTCTAGCGAAAGTGGTCCCGTTGAGGCCAATTTCGGGTCATTCGATCTAATTTAATAATGTATCGAATCTATATATTAATAAAAACTCCATGATTGGGTGCAGGAGTGGAATCGGCGGAGCCGGACCTGAAGAAATCGGAGGTGAGCGTGAAGGGGGTGTTTGAAACGGCGAAGTTGGTTGAATACGTGCACAAACGCACCGGGAAGCAGGCGGTGATAGTGAAGCAAGAGCCTGAAGAGAAGACGGAGAAAACAGAGGAAGGAGGGAAAGAGGAGAAGAAAGGGGAAGGAGGAGAGAAAGCAAAGGAAGGGGAAGAGAAGAAAAGAAGAGGGAGCGAAGGGAAAGAAGGCGCAGAAACAGAGGAGACCAAGGTGGTGGAGTTGAAGAGGAACGAATACTACTATTATCCTCCGAGGTATACCATGGAGATGTACGCATACCCGCCTCAGATCTTCAGCGACGAGAACCCAAATGCTTGCTCTGTTATGTAAAAAATGAGAAATGAGAGGGGTAATACGGGAATAAGGAAAATTTTTGGGTGATTTCCACCCCTGCCTATCTGTCCTGCACCCACTACATGTGCCCCTGTACTTTTTCCTGTGTTAGAATTATAAGTATAATCTACAGACCATCTCTGCTGTGGAGTTTTTGTAAGACTTGTACTTTCTGGTCAACTGCTTCATAAATGAAAATATAAATAACCGCACTCCAACAGTCCAACACCTTTTATATTTCCACTTAAATTAGTTTTTCCTGTTTTTGCCTTTTGTGGAAGGTGGAGCTGAAGTTTCCATGTCACTCTGAGGGCATGGTGAGTTGGGTACTCTGAAATTGAATCCAATGTGTTCGGTTTGGTAGGTTTCAGAAAGAAGAGATAAGGTCGGGAACGAAACTAGCCACGGCCTTAGGGCTTTGCGGCGTGAGGAGCAAATTAGAAACACATCCGAATCCGATTTATATACCACAATCAGGACAAGTGAATCGTGTTTCTAAGGGTATAGGGAATAGCAGAAGGGCACGACCATCTACGTGATTATTGTATGATTATTCCTCGGGTAAGTGTCTGGTTGCCTCCGTCTATGCATCCGTCTTCCTCTGTCTGTGAATTCCGCGATACAATCGTGCGTGCAATGGCTTTTTCTCCCTCGGAAATTTTAATGAAAAAATAGCATTCAAAAGTCACTATATAATATTTATATTTTAAAAAGATTAAATAATTTGATAATATTATTGTAGCTCTCTGGTTCTTCTAACATGTTAATTTGATATACGAAAAGACCAAAATGCTTTATAGTTAAAAAAAAAACCATTATCGTTGGTGCTAGTCGTCAGACCTTATCGCGAGGTCACTGGAGCTCGAGCAATATTTTATTTAAAATTAAAATTTTTAGGTAATCAAAAGGTGAATTTGATCTTATGACTCTTAACCACATAGCCACCAAGCCCTTTAATATATATATATATGTGTGTAATCTAATGTGTGTTGTTAATTTTGAACTGAACTTGTTATGTTAGGAATATTACTTGTTAATTTGGACATGGACAATTATAAATTGAGGGTTTTAAAACTTCACTCATTTTACTTGTTAAACGTCCCAATATTTTATTATCAATTACGAATAGATTGTATCAAATTAAATGGATACTTGTTACTAAATGACTAACACGCACAATTAAACCCTTCTCATCATTATTTCTAACTTGTTAAAATCATAATATATTCTTGTTAATTTCAAATGAGTTATTATTATTTTACAAGTGTCACTTGTTAATCTGACATGGACAATTATAAATTAAGGATTTCAAAACTTCACTTATTTTACTTGTTAAACATCTCAATGTCTTGCTGTTAATCATGAATAGGTTGTTGTCAAAATCAAACGAATACTTATTAGAATTTTAGTTGTGCATGTTGGTCATTCACTAACAATTATCCGTTTATATTCATGATTGACAACAAGATATTGGGATGTTTAACAAGTAAAATGAGTGAAATTTTAAGCCCTCAATTATAATTATTCATGTTAAATTAACAAACGACATTTGTAAAATAACAATAATTTATTTACAATTAATAAGAATCTATTATGATTTTAACAAGTTAAAAAAATGATGAGAATGGTTTAATTGTGTGTGTTAGTCATTCATTAAAAGTATCCATTTAATTTAACAACTTATTTATAATTGATAACGTGACATTGGGACGTTTATATATAAAATGAGTAAAGTTTTGAAACTCTCAATTTATAACTGTCCATGTCAAATTAATAAATAATATTTGTAAAATAACAAGTTTCGTTTAGAAATTAACAACATACATTAGGTTATTACTGAAAGTAATTTTATACTTGGTTTACTACTTATAAACTTTTTTGAGATATATATATATTAAAGAGTTCGGTGGCCTAATGGCTAGCATGAAATTAAATCCATCATTAACCATCTAAAAAATCTCAATTTTAAATAAAATATTGTTGGCGTCGAAGCTTCGATGATCATCCACTGGCTACTCGTAGCCAATGGTGGTCCAACTATCGAGGATGATAGAATCTTTTTTTTTAATTATGAAGGCATTTTAATCTTTTTGTCTATAAAATTAATATATCAAAACAACTAGAGAGCTGCAGTAGCATTATCAAATTATTTGATCATTTTGAAATATAAATATTGTTCAGTGATTTTTAAATGTTATTTTTTTAATCACGGTTCATAGTTTTTCACCTGAAATTCTCGGTAGTGTCCACTTTACGGACGTCCACACCCTAACTTGGTGTATTGGTCTCAATTTCCCAGGCAGGAGTTAAGGGGCGAAATGACTGATTTTGGGAAATCTCAGAACTCAAAAGCGCCTACATTGTTTGCAGGTCCTGTATTACTGCATGCAAGCTAACAAACTGATTCCCTAGCCTGGGCCCCTTTCTCCATATTTCACTCGCCTCCCCGGCTATTGTTACTTTTACTATTTGCATAACACAGGTCTGGTTGCAATTGGCAAATAAGTGAATGCAAGTCAGTCTGGGTCCTACATTACATGCCTTTTGTTTTAGCCTCTTGTGTATGGGAAGCTCTTCTCTGGTGTCTTGTCCGGATAATTTATTCTAGTTTTGACAGCTTGGGGCAACATTGCCCTCTGACTTTTAATACCCCTAACGTCCCTAACAGAACCAAAGGATAAAATCCCAAGCTGGTTTTCATCGATTTCAATGATTTATATCAAACCCCCCCCCCCCAAAAAAACAAAAGGACTCGAAAAAAAAAAAGAAGGGCAAAAAAAAAAAAACAGAGAGAGAGAGAGAGAGAGCCGGATGTCTGACAAAGTTGCAGGGAAGTAAAAGGGATGAGTGGGACTGGCTGGCGAGTGAATAAGACCAAATAATAATAGTACGAGCAAGGGGGTGATCTAATTCTAAGCACATGCAATGCTTTGTTGGTGTTCGTGTTGTCGTCCAAAGTGGCTTTTGGGGCGTGCCAATGGCCGCGACACCAGACCACACCACTCAACACATTACCAGTCAATCATGCAACCATGTACTAATAATAATCCTTCGAAATTCTCTCTTCATAGTTTGGTCAGGGAACTAAAAGATTCCACCCTCACATGCTCCCTCCACGGTTCCAGATTAGTTTGCTCTGTTTTATTTTTGTTTTCATTTTCTTGCCATCTTCACCGTATCAGTTGACAATTAATTAATCAACTCTAACGCTCACGAAGTCTTTTACAGACCGTTTTGAGAGTTTCAGGCGCTTAAGGGGAGCTAGCACTCAAAGAGACGGTGAATACATACACTTTGTTAGCTGTATGCATGCAAAGACTGCTGAATAGTTATGCTTTTTGTCACTCTCCACGAAAAGTCTTATTAATTAACTAATCACTTTTGGTTTGGTCAATTACATGGATCTCGACTCAAAGTATTATTATGAAACATTTTATAGAGATGCACATATAGCCAGAACTGTGGCGTTCTTAAAGTGAAAGGAGTGTGATGAATTTCAGTGCAAGCTTTACAGAGAAGAGAATTGCAGGAAGGGGTTTAATCTGCACTAGCAATGTGAGAACTCCAGAGTGATTAGTAAGCCGAGTGCGTAATAAATGAGAGAGAAAAAACAAAATTTGCAGGTATAAAAGAGAAGTAATGTCGAGGATTCGAACAAAATGGTGAGGACTCAGGAGCAGGTGGGAAAGGCTCTGGGTCTACACGCAACACCCCAAAATCCATGCCCCTCATGACTCATCCGGCTCCTCCATTTCAGATACGTCCCTTTCATGCTATATGTACTGTGTTCTCCATCTCCTTGTGTGTTTTTTAATTTTGTGAGGATGAGGAAGGTGCATCCTGGAGAATATGTATACATACATATACATATATATATATATATATATATGAGGCTCTAAGGTTGGAAAAGCTTAACACCCACACGCCTTCCACCGATTAATTGCCTAAATTTGGACGCTTCCCTTCTTGCCATTCTAATTTGCATGTTTTATTTTTCTCAAAAATTTCTTTTTTCTTTTGTAAAGTGTGATAGTTAGTATTGTAAGATATATATTATATTGCGTATCTAATTTTTTTTATTGTATGCATGTATTTTCCTAATAAGACCATCATATTTTAAATACAGCAAGTACTGCATATAATCACTTCATATATATGTATATGTGTGTATGGAATTTGAATTTCGTATCTAGTTTTATTTAACATAAGCACATCTTTTAAAAATATGGCTGGGTTCAATTTCCAACGGCAACGCACTCGCTCGTTCTCACAGAACCCCTGTCTCCTAGTGATAAGTTTTAACTGATTATTTTATCTTAATTTAAATTATTCAAAAAATAAAAGATCGAGAATGCAAAGAAACAGTATATTGAATCTATTTTGAGAGAATTGTAATATTGGACCATGAACAGAGTTGTTTATTAATGAGGTCCAAAAAATTATGAAAATACTCTGCAAGAATTTTGATCTGAAATGAAATAAAATTGTTACTTGAAATGACTGAAATGTCATTCTGCATGAGAAAAAAAAAGCAGCTGAATCGTTTGTTAATTTCATAATTTCACTTATTAATTCATTAATAAAACTTGTGAATCACTTAACTTCACTTGTTAAATTTATAAATCATTTATTTAAACTACGTTACTTGTTAATTTTACAACATATTCATTGACTACTTAATTTTATTTGTTAATCCATGATTCTCTAAGCTCAACTACATTACTTGTTAATGTTCAATTTTACTTGTTAATTTCTTGACTTAATTTGTTAATATTATGACAAGGCTTATTCAATCTATTGCTAAGAGAGTTAACTAAAATTACTTATTAATTATGTAACTCTATTGGTTATTAATTCATAACAACACTTGTTAATTGCCTGTCATCACTTATTAATAAATGACACTTGATATCTTTTCTTCTCAAACATCAAACCGTGACAAGTATATTACTTGTAAATTATTGTCTTAAATTGTAAACTACATAATATTAGTTGTTAATCAAATAACATTACTTGATAATGCCTGATCACTTGTCAATTTATATTTCATCTCTAAGTTAAAGGTAATTTAATCATTTATTATATAAATGATTTTCATTGTAGTCCCAAATGTTTGCAGTGTATTATCAAATTTTTTTTGTCATGAATTTTAATTAAATCTCTACTAGGAACCTGTAGTGAAATTCTCCCACCCATTCTCCCTTTT